TGCATTTTTTTTCCTGTCGTCCTCCACCTGGAAATCTCTCTAGAACAGCACGAGCTAATGTCCCCCTTTCCGGATACTTTTCCAAAAGCATTTTGCAGCTCTGCAGTGGAAATTGACGCGGTTGTCAAAAATTTAGTGTTTCAGCCACTTTCTTCCGCAAACAAAACATCAATTTTCGGACCGATAAATCTCTTTGGGACTTCCGACGCAAATATAAATGTATAAAAGAACAACAAAACATAGAAAAATGATCGAAGAACTTGCCATTTTCGCTTTCGCTGGCTATCATTCACCTTTCGTTCAAAATTTTTAATGTTGCTTTGACAGTCATGTGTCTTAAACAACAAAGGGGTATCACGTCATTTCCATTATTTAAAAAAAGCGCGAAAAATGTGTGAGTTTAAAACGAGACCAAACAAGCATAGGGCTCAAATCTTGATTGGCTGAGAGCTTGCGCTAAATCACGTGACCACTCTCGCCGCTGAGCCAATCACAGCCCCGGAAAGTGTAAACAAACTTACACTCCTGGCAAAAAATAGCTGAGACATATGAACGAAAAGGGAATTCGCGTGCTATATCTCCATATAATGTGCGCTGGTGACCTAAACCCCCCTCCCCCCGTGGTCAATGTTGTTTAGGATGGTTACAGAATAAGTGGGGATTACAACATTAGTTACCAATCCAATCACAACATTGATTCGGGGGAAAGGAGGTGGGTGATTTGTAAGTAGCTTCTTTTTTTGCAAGTGTCTCAGCATTTTTTGCCAAGATCACTCCTGGCAAAACATAGCTGAGACACTTGCAAGAAAGCAGCTACTTACAAATCACTCTGACGAACAACGCATGCAGTCTTTACTAGAGCTTAGATCAACGCAAAAATGAGAGAGTTTCCTTTTTCAAGACAAAAACTCTCAATAGCCTTCAACTGTTAATGTAAAAATGCTCCACGTGTCTTGATAAGCTTTTCAACTGATGCATATTGACTTTTTTGCGACTGTACCATGTCCTGAGCATCTCTGCTGAAACACAGGTATCTAAGTATTGTGGGGCGTGAACCGATCAGTTCTAAACATGTGCTGGGCGCCCAAACGGAATCGTAATATATGTACATTAAGGGAACAAAAGCTACTCAAAACCAAATTAGAAATATTTACTGTGTTTCTGTGAGTGTTGGAATCCTGCTTTGCCAATTTTTTCAATCATGGTTTACATACTGCGTTTGAAGGTAAATTTTTAGGTTATGCTTGTCCTTGTGACATAAGAATTCTGATTTCGAACAAATCTTCACGCCCATTTCTTCCAGTCCGTTGCAATTTTAAATTTAGGAGATAGAAATGCTGAAGACTCTTGAAAGCAGGAACTACCCACATGTTTCTTAAATTTCAAAAGTTAACAAATGATGACGTGTTGTAACAAAGTGAATTTTCATAAAATAAAATTCAACTTTTTAAAGTATTGCAAGGGTTTCGAAATTTCGTGACTTTTCAGTGTAAGGTCTACATATTGATTCTTCGAAAAGTAACTTATGATAGTTTTAGAATAAAGAGATGCAAATTGTTTGCCATTTTAATTGTTTTGCTTGAAGCGTTAAACTGTAGAACTGTTAAACGCTTCAAGAACAGGGCTTAAAAGAATAAAAAGTCATTTTTTGAACAGGGCTGATTTCTAAGAAAATCTTGCAAGGGGGCTCTAGATGCGATTTCATAAGACCGGGCGTGGTTTCTTATGACCACGACCATCTTTTGATCACACCCATCAAATGAAATAACCAATACTGAAGCAAATCAATGTTTGATATGACTGTTTTTCCCAAAAGAATGCAGCTGTAGGCGACTTATGAAAGCACGGTTTATAAATATAGCAGTATACTTTGAATATGAGACACTAATACAAAAGGTACCAGGGATGAGAAAATTAACAATTTCTGTGCACCCTTCCTCGTGGTCTTTGCGAATAAAACTTCATTGATCATGCTTTCGAAAATCCCCCTTGTCCTAAAAGGATCTAAGATCTGGATGAAAAGACCTGAATCTTGCTGCATCATTGTCAACAACCTCCTTTTGTAGATATATGAAAATAGGGTCCCAATCTGCTATATGTAAGATTTCCTCATTGTTATATTCTCCTTTAATGCCATGAATAATCCTGGCAGCTCTCATGTGTGTCTTTTTCTAGCTGGTTGAAAGTTGCTCTCCACATGTACCCCATATTGAAATGAAATATGTTATTGCAGGGATTATTGTTTTGAAATATAGATCTTCAAGAATTTGTCTCTTCAAGTACCTCATACTTTCAAGTCTCTTTATCTTGGCATTGTCTGCTTTTGTAACTCTACTTATCTGGGGAGCCCAACATAGTTTTGGGTCAAATTTTATCCCCAAGCACTCAGCCTCATCAGCATACTCTATACTATTCCGTCCAACTCTTAACTCATTTAGTGGTCCTATAAATTTGTGCTTTGGTCTTTCCATAGTGAAGTGTAAGTTTGTGTTGCATTGATAACTTTTTTAACATTATAGACAACTTTCTAGTTACTTCTTCTATTGAGTTCCCAATGCAGAAAGCAGTGGTGTCATCTGCATACATGTAAATCTGGCCAACTGACAAGCAATTTGGAAGGTCTTCTACATATATAGAGAAAAGTCTTGGTCCTGTAAGGGAGCCTTGAGGGACCCCGCATGATACTGACAACAGCTTTGATGTTCCACCATTTATTTCACAAAATTGTTTCCTCTCAGTAAGATAATCTTCAATCCACTCTGATACATTTCCATATATTCCTACACTTTGCAACTTAAAGGGTAGCATCTGATGGTCCATTGTATCAAAGGCCTTCTTTAAGTCTATCAGTAGAATCCCACATATTTTCCATTGTCCATGCTAAACGTATTGGAGAAAAACATCTCAATCTGTTTGTAAAGGAGCGATTTTTTGAAAAAAGCAAGCCTGTTACCCACCCCAGTTCATGAGATAATGGATTTACTCTGAAATTTTCAATACCATATCAGTAAAACCTTTAAATTTGTGAGCAGATGTAGGAGTTTACAATGATTGTGTTGAAAATATTTTTCTTTTTCTTCTTGTTATTCTAAGTTGTAAATAACCGCACAGAGCCGATGCTGATGGGGGGCATGGGAGGGCGCGTCGCCCCCTATAAGGCTGTTTGTCGGAAAATTTGAATGCTTGTCGAAAAATTTTAGGATTCTCCACAAGTCACATCCCAACAACTGGCTGATGATAGTCTTCTTAGCTTTCCATATTTTATTATTAGCAATTTTACTTTTAATCGATTATTTTATGTTGCATTGACTGAAAATAGCCAAAGTTGGTCCTTGCGGAATAATTTAGTGGTCCATTGCCTTGACAAGTCACTTCACCAAGAAGGCAACAACATCTTGAAGAAATCTATCTGCACCTAAAATATAGCAAATTGGGTTGGGCTACTAGACCTATACCTAGCAAATGGGAAATGACAAATGAGACGCATGCGTAGTATTAAATTTGCCATTGAAGTAGATATGTCTTCGGAAATATTATGATCAGCCTCAATTTTTAAAGTCCATAAATTTTTCACTTATACAGTCGAACCTCTAAAAGCGACCACCTCCGATTAGCGGACACCTCCCAATAGTTTTTAGTAAACCTCCCATTAACAGCCACTAGGCCTTGGATCTCAAAGTGGCCGCTATTTGATAGAGGTTCGACTTTACTTCACTTGCTCAATCCCAAGTGTAGTCATTCGTCGTATCTGAGTTGTAAAGTAGGTATTGTTTTAGAGTATACAGTAAAACCCCGCAAACACGAGCATAGGAAAATAAGTCGTCATTGTGGTTTGATTAATTGATATTCAGAGCCATGTCATTTTATTTTCATTTTTTCATATTGTAATTGAAATTGGTTTGTCCCCAACAAGATACCATCTCCTCTACAATTTGAAATTCAGTCAGACCATTCTTAAATCTAGTTACTTTTGTCTTCTGCATCATAGTTGTTAGTGTCCTTGCGATAAGAGCCACACCCTGAAAATATCATGAGTACCACATTTATAAGAACCTAGTCAGTCTGTTCTTTAGAAAAGTAGGTTCTTGTTTGCGGGGTTTTACTGTAGTTAAAAGGACATTTCTACTATTTGGAAAAACTTCATCAATTTCTTTGAGGCCTCAAGGCTAGATATCGATATTCAGCTAGATATCGATATAAATCTTTTTTTCGAATTCTCTACAGCGGACTCCACCTATAGCCAAACGAAATGTTTTTGAAAGTTCTGATTGAGTGTAACTGTAAAAGGAGCTCAACTGAACAATACTTGATGTTTTAGGTAAAATCTTATGTGACTGTAACAATGATGTAGTCAGTAGAGCGACTATAAGCAGGCCCGGTGAAGCTCATTTTAAAAGTGAAAAGACCAAAATGTTTGGAAAGGTTGATAAGGGCTGCCATCATAATGGTGGCATAAGGAATTTCAACAAAATGGTGTTCTAGGGACTGCCAAAACTGCATCTAAAATTTGCTCGAAGGAAACCCTAGGTTATATCTTTAAGCTTTTCACCAACACTTTGTCCTACAGCTTAATCTATTTTAATGTTGAGATAGAATAAGAAAAGTTTTGCAAAATTTTAAAGCAGCGGTAATCAAGTTCTTTACAAAAAAAGGAACCAAAATAAGATAAAGTACAGAAATAATTAAAACACGGTTTAGCAGTTTTATATAAAAATCCAGACGCGACTGATATCTGCTTATTCTTTATAATCCGGCTACACTTCTCCGTGTTACGCAGGTTTGAGCACGTGACTAAGCCCCAGGTACACGTGGAAGGAAACAACGGGCAAAGCCTGTCTTCGGTTCCTATTTCTGCAGATTATCAAATTGTTTTGTGAAGGAATTGCAGAAATTGTTCAACACAATCACTCTTTGATAGATCAAATCTCCCTAACGCACCTTGGACTTTCTGATCGGTTTTTTGCAGGTATTAGGAACTCCAATAAAAAAAACAAGAGGAATATCTAACCACTGAACAGTTTATTAGCCAAAAGCTAAAAATGTAGAAAACATCTAGTAAGGAGATTACAACGTGGAAACGTACAATAAAAAATTTCACACCATGATCTTAGATCAAAGATATAATCAATTGTTAGAAAATATAAACCAAACCTGTTTGAAAACAAAGTAACAATTTGTAAATCAATGGTTTCCTTTTGACAGTAGTGGGATTTTAGATAGCTGGAAAGTCTGTAAACCCATTAAACGTCTTTCTCGTCTACTTTCAGGGCACCTTGTTCGTCGGCATGTACACTGTCAACGGCTACCTTGTTGGAGAATGCTCGCACTGAAGCTGGGGTGCTTTGGTTTGAATTAGAGACTTCACCATAAGCACTTGGATTCGAATAAGTCTTCAATGGATAGTCAGGTGAATTTTTTGCACTTGCTGTGTTATCAAGCTGGACCCCTTTATTGACATGGTACTTCCGTTGATTTTTCTTCCACGCGATAATTCCAATAATGATGACTAAAAGCAAGCCTGACACTGATAAGCCTACAATCAGACCAACGTTGTTGCCTTCTTTTTCACATCTGTTGCCTGAGTAGCCACTGGCACACCTACAAACCCTGTAGTTTGGTCCACGCTCACATTTGCCGCTGTTTAAGCAGAATGAGGGAGTGCAGTCGACCTCGCAGGTTGATGATGCAGACGGCTTGTAGTAGCCTTGAATACAGGCGCAGTATCCGTGGGTGGCATTGCTTTTGCACTCCTGCTTCGCGCCACAATTGCCAACCAGTCTACAGTGGTCTGTTGAGGCAAATTGAGACAAAAAGATTAACGTGCAAAAGAGACATACTGTCCTTCCTTGCTAATGTATCCGGGACCCCAGAAGGAACAAATACTCTTTGAGTAATAGAAAGCCTAGTTTAAACCCGATGATTTTAAATGATTTGCTCTTTATAAAGTAAACTTTCCTCTCATCAAGAATAAAAAAATCTACATTATCTACAGGAATAACCAAAAGCTTGACGCAAATTAAAGGGAGATAGAAATGAATGGCTGGCAAATCAGGCTTAATTCTTAAACTGAACTTGATATTAGAGGTTGTGATAATAACATACTATCCATTTACATGGTTTTTCACAGTGGTAAAATTAACAATATAAAATAACGCATTGAATTTGTTTTAAATATAAATGATAAGATTGTTACATGATAACTATGAACCTTATAACCTTAAAACATAAAACCTTAAAACATAAAACCTTATAACTTTTGGAGGTAAAGAAAATAGTCGTTATGAAAAAGTGTCAAACTAAGGAATTAACTTGGGCTAAAAATCTATTTATATTATTTGTACGCTGAGCTAAGGTAGGCAAAGTCCGCGGATCCCATGTACTGAAATTTTCTCTTCATGTTGTTAGTTTTAGCTGATGGTAAGTATAACTCGTTGGACTGACGTGTAAAATATTTATGAACGTGGCTATTGATTGTTAGAGTTTCAGTTAGATATTGTGAGACGTTTCCTTGCAAGCATTTGCGAATCTGATTTACTATGTGTACAAATCGTCTCTTATCCATAGTCAGCCAGCCCATCTCACTGATAGTCGATGAAATACTATCATACTTTTGTTTCTTTGTGATACTCTGGCTGCAAAGTTCTGAGATCTTTGTACTCGTTGATGCTCTTTCTTGCTGGCATCTCCGTATATCAAAATAGTCGAGTGTTGATGAATAAGATACTTTGACTAAGTTTTTGAACGTTTCCGGATTCATGCATTTCCTAATCTTAGTCAATTGTATGAGCTTTCCATTACATTTGTTTGTTATACTTTTTATATGCCTATCCCTTTTAAGGTTCTGATCAATAGTAAGACCTAGATTTTTTGCTACTTCTGCCCTGGTCAAAAAAATATTGTTGTCAATCTTTAGTTTGGAAAACTCTTTAGGAATTTTTTTAGCATGGCTGCTGTACCAATTAGCATGTACTTAAACTTGTCTGGAGTAAGTCACTCTATGAGAATATGTACATCATCTTGGATCTGCTCATGTGCTGCCGAAATCAGATTTGCAGGTGCAGCATTGTACATCTAGATATCATCAGCATATCCATGGAAATAGGTTGGAAATGGTAAAGGCCTTGTATTTTCCGCAAGTGTAATGGTAAGTCATTGAGATAAATCATAAAAAAACTGGACCTTGAACAGATCCTTGAGGGACACCATATTGTAAGTGTGATTCCTTAGAAAGTGTGACATCCACCTCAACATGTTGAATTCGACATGTCAGATAATTTTGAACCAGAAAACTAAATGGTAATCAAAAACGTACTTTGGTAGTTTGATAAGCAAATTGTTGTGGTCAACTGTACCAAAAGCTTTACTAAAGTATATGAGTACAAGTGATGTAACAAGACCTCTTTCTATATTTCTTAGAATGTAATTTGTGATCTTAATTAAGGCTGTTGTGGTGGAATCAAACCTTCTATACCCAGAGAAAGTTCTTATTAATTAGACTGTTACTCTCAAGGTACTTAGAAAAGGTTTAAGTAAAAGGACCTTACCAACAATTTTGTATGAAGAATCAACTGACAGAGATCCAACAGAACCGGATGATATGGCAGTTCTAAGCTTGCCCAGAGGGTCGGACACTGATGTAGAGAAGACCAAATCAGTAAAGGCTATGACACTTCCATTCCTGTTGACGACAAAGGACATTGAATAACGCTATTTCTCATATTTTAAACGCAGCCATTTTTACATTATACTTTAAGCGACGTTTTACCAACCCTTATATAGTTAAGGTATTTAGGTGATATATCAATGATGCAAATTGAAACGATCGGTATACTTTGATTCAATAAACTTATGAACAAAGTTACATTCTACATCCCACTGCCAGATAATTAAAACTTATCATACAAATCAGCACTGAGCTGAGCCAAGCATAGACAAAATGGGTCTAAGTGGAACATTCGGCTTATGTATTGCCCAAATCAAAGAAAAATCAGCCTCATCAAAACGCTTACACATAGGGCACTAATGATTTGTTCCAAGTCTAAACTCGACTCGGAACTTGAAAAACTAACTAAGATTTTTCTGGAGAACGGCTATCCAGAAGATGTTATATCAGTTTACATTAAGGAGAAGATAGGAAATTTCTCGGCTGACGTAAAATTTGGTCCTTAAAAGTGCCCGGTCTATCTACAACTACCCTGGATCGGTAACAGCTCCCTACGTTTTGAAAGCCAAATATAACAGGCCATAACAAATTGTTTCTTCGCGGTCAACCCACGTGTTGTTTATAGTACGAAAAAGGCCCTTCCGTCCATTCAAAAGGACTGCGTTCCTGCCACAAAAAAAAGTTCTGTTGTATATGAATTTACGTGCCAGTTTGATTCTGGCTACGTAGGACGCACCACCCAAAGATTGGAGGATAGGATAAAACAACATGTTCCATCTAATATTAGAAACAAAACCCATCCCCAAAGAGAACAGCCACCTCGATCTTGCAAATCTAAAATTACAACTAAAACCTGCGATTCTGCTATCGGGCAGCATTTGCTAGAAAACCCAGATTGTGCAAAAAACTATAATGGCGACATGTTTCGGATTATTGGTAAAGCCTGATCGTCGTTCCACCTAGCAGTTTTAGAATCTATCTACATAAGCACGAAAAAACCGCTACTGTGTAGACAACAGGAGTTCGTTTTCACTTTAGGACTCCATTGGTAACATTCTCAATAGGCAAGCGGCACTGATTGGTCAACCTTTACAGTCATGTGCTCGTGTTTCTGATTGGCCTATTTCGATCCACAACTGGGTATATATATTTCTTAGCGTAGAGTTTTCGATCTACGTTCTGACGTTTTAAACTCTGAAGAGTGTCAGACGAAAAGCTTTAGTTTACTAAATGTTTGCTTTTTTCAAAGCCATTTACAAGTTTTGTACCACCAAAAGATTGTTTGCAAAATAACTATTATACCTTTTTTAACCATTTTTAGCTGTAGTTTAATGTAATACTTAAGGAGCTACCAGTACCTTTGATGTAAAAGACCCCAAGAATTGTCAATCATGATTTCGTTTATCAAGCATTAGAGAGTTTACGATTCAGTACGTAAATCACTACGGCTACTCAAAGGTAATATTGTGGTCGTATTGTGGTAATATTCTGGTCGTATTGTGGTTATATTGCGTGTAAGGGATTAACAGCAGCAGAACATACCTGAACTGGTTGATTTTGACAGACAAGAAGCCTACTTCGGCGGCATATATTTTCTCTACCTAGAATTAAGATATCATAGGCTTATGAAGTCATTATATGGTGTCAGACATATTCGATGATACAGGCTTAATGGTATCGCTGGCTGAATACAATTCACAGGGCTTGATCATCAGGGAGACAATTACTCCAGCATCATAAGACCTTTTCAGTTGTGATGCATTGGTCATCGCACATTATGACCGCATTTAAGTTCAAAGTTTATGATGCATTTTCGTTTAATTTTGCATTTTTTGGAAAGATTCCTCTGCTTTTAGAAGGGTTTCACAGGTTTAGTCAGATAGGAGAGATCAGTTGTTTCGTGTGTAATTACAGCCATTGCATTAAACCAGCAAGACTCAGGTTTTTAATAATATAACAAGCTCTGTAAGGTTAAAGCAATTAATTTGTATACTCACTTCTTTGGAAACTTTTGATGCCAAAGTTCTGAATTCTGAACTGTTGACATCTGACAGCTTGGAATTCCAAACTTCTCCTGTGAACCGGATTCCTACGCTTTCCTTCTTTGTGTTTTGCAGAGCTGTACCAATTAAAATCAAAAGATAAATTTTGACTTGCTCAAAAACGTCCAGTTGTATCAAATCGTTTTACTATCTCTGTTATTGTAGCAAACTTTGAAGGCGAGAATCAATTCAATTCAATATCAATTCGATTCAATTAAAAGAAAAGGGTAAAGTATCTCATTGTATGCAATGTATCTTATAAATTGTGAATGTAACTTTTTAGTAGAAGATATATAGAAAGTACATATTGTGAGACCTTTCTTGCAGAACATACTTACAGATACAGTTGCTGGAAGAAACACTTCCTGGCATTTTAGTTGTTCTTCCACTTGTACAGGCAATACAATGCGGCAAAAGCAGATCCTCCCTGTACAAGCCAGTTTGGCAAGCCATACATTTCATGCCATCTTTCGATACTTCTTTTCCACGTGGACAAACAGCTACAACGTATAAACAGAAAAGATTTGTGATAGCTTGCTTAAGGCTTGCAAGGATAGCAGAAATAAAAAATTCATGGAATGCATTAAATATCATAATGATTATGATGAAGAAATTATACAACATCAATACCTTTGCAAGATGAAGAACTTTTAGCTCCTAGAATGTATGTTGTTGTTGTAACTCCTCCAGTCACCGGGCAAGAAACACAGCTCGTTTGATTCGCAGCGTCCCTGTAGCTTCCACGTGGACACAACTGGCATGCATCACCCGTTGCTAATTGAGAGCCTAGGCCACATTTCACTGTACGAAGAGACGCACCAATTAGCAAATCTTAATTGCTAGCTATTATCAGTAGGAGTCGTAAAAACGGAGCAGATTCAATAAGCAGAAAGGAGAGTAATGAAAGCAGAAAGGACTTCTAAACCCTTAATTTCTGGCTATAAGCCTACTTGTCTCGTTTAAATAAGATTAATTTGGTCTTTGATCCATGAAACTGTTAACATGGTTATTCTTAAAGGCATCGAGTCATTATAAAATGGATTGGGTATACCCTAAGTGCCAAAATCCGCTGAGTCATGATTTTCATGACTGCGATTCTATTGGTTGACCTGGAACTGGTCACATGAACTCACCTCGTACTGACTGACAAAACAATTTCCGTCAATAGCAAGTTGTCATCACACGAAACAGCAGCGATCACGCCGAGACCAAATAACCCCCTATAGAGAAGGCCTATTTACCAAGACTTAATGCCTTCAACTAAAATCCTCAACCTGAACAAATTGGAATGGACTTTGAGTATCTATACATTTTGACATCTGCTATTTCGTACCATTTTCAAATATATATGTCATAGATACTTACATTAGATTTGTATTACATTAGTGTTAATACATATTACAGATATCACTGCTAAAAGGGTAACAAACTGAGCTATCATTTGTTTGACTTAAACAAAAAAGACCTACACATTCAGAAATATATTAATTTGTACTTGCCTACACATTCAGAAACATTTTTGGCTCCAAGACTAGAAGACCTTCCACTAGGGCAATAATCACATTGCATTTTGCCAGTATTTTCCTGGTAGAATCCCTCAGGACAAAGCTGACACCTGTCTGCAGTCATGTTAAAGAAACTTCCAGCGGTACAGATTTCTACAGATTAAACAAACGATAAGAACAAGTGAAAAATAACTGGTTTCGAGATGGGACCATGAATGTAGAAAGAGTAGCAGCGCAGTGTCAAGAAGTGCCATTATTATAATATTTTTCTCTGGAAATCTTTGATTAGAAGTCTTAATGATTGTAAGAACGTAAGTATACAACTTTAGAGTGTATACTCTACATATAGCATCATGTCGAATTAAAGAACCATGAGAAACTAATGAAAAAATTATGGCGAAAGGAAATATTGAGAAAAAGTTGAGCATATGTCAAAAAATAGTGCTTCAAATTTAATTGTTCGCGATAAAAATGGGACACAAACCTTTACAGGCAGAGCTGTGATTGGAAGCAACATTGAATGTTGTAGTTCCAGAAGGACACGCTGTACAGTTGGTCCAACCATCCATTTGTTGATATAAGCCAATGGGACAATCGACACATTCATTGCCTGACACATTGTGGTATGTTCCAGCTGGGCAAAAAACTGACAAAAAATATACAAATAGTTTAATGGTACAAAACTTAGGCCATTAATGGTATTCACTGATTATATAGTACAAAAACATTTGGTAGCATCTTAAGAAAAGCAGAGGTACAGTTTACAAAAAATTAAAGTCGACAATTTGAGACCTAGCTAATTCAAAAACTGGCTGTCAATTAAAAAACAAAAATGTGTTCAAAAATATTTTTCACATGAGGAACAGGGATTAATATCAAGTGCCTGATTTCTTTTCTTTGCACAAATAAGAAAAGTTTGTAGCATTCTGTCATTTTAATGGTTTTCTTACACAACATTCGGTGAGTTGGATGAAGCTGCTGCAATAACACAACATTGCTTGTTTGAACATTGTGTTTACACCCTTCACGGTCAACTAAAGACCTAAAACGGACATTGCTAATCTGGGTACATAATCTGATAAAACTCATGGCACACAATGCCAGGGAGTCCATAGGCTGAATACATTATATACCAAAAACCCGGTGCCAAATTTTGGTGGATCAAGTTCGGATGGAAAATTATTTGCTATTTTTTAAAATTTCGGTGGAAATTTAAATGCAAAGTTGAAAAATTTCGTAAGGTCAGGTCAGGTAAGCAAAAAAACACTTTCTATAATTTGTTTCTATCTTCAACAATTAACTATCTGGAACGCAATTATGAAAGTTACAAAAATCGAGCATTTCAATGTCAACCCCATAATTGGAACTGAAGATTAGAAAAAACGTCATCAACCTTAATATAGAGGAGGTTTTTTTTTTATTTCACTGTCAACAAGTCAATAAAAGAAAACAAATTGGAAGCGTTTCCAGCTACCAAAAGATTGACATTGGAAATACTGTACATTCTTTAGCACCTTTGAAATATCAAATTAAACATTTTTTGTTATCTTGAAAGACTCAAACGAAAATTTATAGATTTTATCATTACCAGCGTTGGAAAATTTCGGCGAGAAAGAATTCTTGTTTCGAAAAATTGTACTGGGATTGATATTTTGTTGGCCTGTTTCACCGAAAATTAATCCCAAAGAAATTTTTGGCACTTAATGTAATGCGTCGTCTAGTGTGAAGGACGGCTCTGCTGCGAATATGATATCCAGCAAATCGAGCATCGAGCTCCTTAGCCAAAATGTCTACTATAGACTACTCACTGCATTTTTTAGTTTGAGACTGGAGGATGCTTCCCTGGGGACACTTTGTAGACACAGTTGTTTTGAGGTCGTTGTTTGTGGAATTGATCGTGACGTTATTGACCGATATCGTCATGTTAAACTGCCCGTTTTTAAGACCACTCTGAACTTGCTGTGTGTAGTTCTCTCCACTGGTGGTGTTCACCGGGAAGTCTACTGTAATTGTTGCCGCCGAGCCACCCGTGCTTCTTCGCCGTCTCGATACACCGTCACATTTGATGCTTATCTGGCTGAAATCGCAGCTAGATCCACAAATAGGGAAATATTTCTGAATCGTTTGGATTTTGGCTTCAAATTCTCTTCGGAATTGTGCGATGAATTGTGCATTACATGAGCTGGCTGAATAAGTTACTCTGTTTGACGTTGCCGTTGTTGCAGATGCAGTTGCTGTTTAAGAATCACAGTTCGAATAATAAATGAGTGGTCAAAATATTGCATGAAAGCACAAAGAAAATAAGAAGATGGAAGGCACCTTAGTTTCCCTATTCACGTATTTTCCAGGCAAGTCGACCATGGTCCTATTTGAACTGAAAGTTTTGGCTACGGATTCTAGCAATGGGACTACTGAGGGTTAAAGTGGAATTTCTGTGCAAGGACGAGCGAGAACATACCAAGAGAATATAAGGTACAAGAACGATTGTCCACAGATCCAAGTTTGTTTGTACTTATGCATTAGTTGTTAACAATAGCATTTTCTGAAATTAATTGAAGATACTCACCTGCACAGGCAGGTAGTAAATTCTGTGGATTCTCTGGGTATGAGGGTGGGCCATGACTCCATGTTCCACTTTGGCCACAAGAATAGTATGGAGGGTAACGCACTGCAAATGCGTGGTTCGGATAACATTTTGCATCACAAAATCTACCGTAATCCCAGCTTCCACAAAATGCAGCGCCGTTTCGCGGGGGCTTCAAGAGTGGGCACATGTAGCCTGAAAAATAATTAGGTGCTAATCTCAGGCGAAATCATTCACATTAGAACCAAAAAAGGTATTAATTGCACAAGTCTGTTCTTCGAAAGCAAAGAGAATGAGTTGTCTGGCTTATTTTCTTAATTAAAGACTAGTTACAATTTTCATCTTTGGAGGCTGTTGACCAGACTTCGAAGGAAGTGAGATAAAGCACCCAAAAACCTTCCCTATCAGATCACAACTGTCAATTTTGCCTTACAACTTCTTTGTTGTATATTTTGTTTTCTTGGTGACGACAATAACGACAAAAACAGAAACAACAATGACAACAGCAACCACCGAAACAACAACAAAAACAGCAAAACAAAGCAGCTAATAACAGTAGAAAGGAGCTGAACTGCACCAGAACAGTAGTTTACGTAATTGCCAACTGTGTAGACTTACGCATGACATAAAGTTCAAAAGTGCAGGATGCAGAGTTGCCAGAAGCATCGCTTGCAACATAGGTAACAATGTAATCTCCCCAAGCCATGAAAGATCCGGAGCGGTGAGAAGTGGTGATGGTAGCAACCACTTTATTGTCACTGAAAATAGGCTCTGTCCATGTGACAACGGATACTCTGTTTGGTGTTACCACTTGGGTCACATTTGGGCATCTGACAACCTTTGGTGGTTCTTTGTCTAAAAAGACAAATTAAAATGTAAATCCAGGTACTAAGAAGTTGAGCCTATTTCTATCTTTGCACCCAGGAAAACTAGACAGCATTATAGAAGCATGAGAATATAATTTTCTATCTATCATCGAAATTTTCCACAAAAGTTTTTAAACAACACCCAATTGATTTATAATTCAGCCAAATTTTTTAATTGACTATCATCTTCAAACGTCTTACAGTTTGTGTCGAAGCAAAGAAAATTACTTGATTGTTAAGGTATTGAAATTAGTACATCCTCGGCCATGATACTCTCTTGCAAGATCGACAAAATTGTCAAACTCTAAACACTTGAACATATAAATAAAGTATATTAGGCTTTGATGCTGCCTCATTGCGCACTTATGTATTTAAGATTGAAACTACAGATTCACAAAAATTTTTTAAAGTAAAAAAAGTAAAAAATAAATAAAACAGATCTGTTCGATATATATAAGAATTTTAAAGCACGTCCCGAGAAAAGCTGTACCTTGACCTTGGGTGGGAATCTCTAAACCTCCGCAGATGGAGTAGACGTCTCAAGTTGTTTAATAAAGTCATAAACAATTTAACCCCTGACTACACGAAGGACCCATTGCCACCATTTCAACAGGTGCAATATTCATTTCGCGAACGTGACACAATCAGGCAAATACGAGCAAGGACCGAAAAATATAAATCTAGTTTCTATCCTCACTGCTCACTGAGTGCAACAAACCTGATCCTGAAAATAGATTGTCACCTTCTGTTGCTGTTTTCAAGACAAAGATACTATCCAGTATTTGGGATTCATGACCCAAAGGGCCTGTCTGATCTTACTCAACTCAGGGTTGGTCTCAGCAAGTTAAACTTTCACAAATTTCAACACAACTTTAGAGATACAATAACCCAATGTGCCCAAGTAACGATGGAATCGAGGATACGGAGCACTTATTGTAGCTCTGCTTTTTGGTGTTCAAAGGACTGATCTCCTCGCTGGAATATATACTCTTGTACGACTATATGGATATGCAAATCTTGCAAATGATGTTCTGTTGCAAATCTTATTGTACGGCGATAACAATTTTTCAAACCATCTCAATAGAAGCATCCTTGAGTTAACAATACGTTTTATACATTGTACTGGTTGCTTTGAATAAAGTATCTCGTTCCCTTCCCCTAGGAAGCCAACAATTACTTAGTTAAATATAATATGTAAAGTCTGTCTCAAATAATATATGAGGTGAGATCTGTGATAACGCAAAATTACATAAACTGCAGCAGACATCTAGTCTGCTGCTATTCGCTAATTTCTTCGCCTGATATCTAATTTGAGAGAGTGTAGTGTTCTTTGTTTTTTCTTTTGGTAATTCATATGTAAGTTGTCTTAGTTTTTCGTGATGCCACGGAGTAGTCATAGTATTTTGCACCCAGTGGCATCGTCCTTGTAATGTCGTTAAGTATTTTGTAGGTAGTGTAGCTAGTAAATTTGTATTGTAAATTTTTATTGGAATGTAAAAAAAAATTCCAAAACTAGATCAGGCTGCTTGAAACTTTTGGATTCTGCCTATTTCAAGAGCTACTTTTTAAATCACTTTGATACAAAATATATTGTACTAACCAATTTCAGTCTCACAGAATTGGCCTATGAAAGATGGCGGGCACGTGTTGCTACCACAAGTTGTTGGCTCCACGATTGTAACATTGGGTCCCTTGGAACCACTGAGGTGAATCCACGAACGCAGTGTATCTGCAAATAGAGTGGAAATCACATCGAAATTTATCATCTTTTTCATACTAGGCCCCAAGAAACGGGGATGAGCACAAACATGAAAAGATGAAACGGGTAAAATAATCTAAAAACTAAAGATAAAGAGGTACGAACAAATTAAATATAAAAAAACTATAAAATTAGATTCAATTCGTATTCTGAGTGCACGGTATAGTAGAAAATAATCCAAGGGAGACAACATAGAAGAGAAAGGGAGAAGAGGATTGAAGAAGATGGCTTTACGCAGAAAACAGCGGACAAAGTAATAAGTGAGATATTGTAAAGCAATGCAGCCGTAGCCTAACAGCATTATAGTATTAAACAAGGCTCTTAAACACCCTTTGATTTATTCAGCCATTGTATAATAGATTACAGTAAAGGAAAATTGAAAAAGCACCCCATCGTTATATGAGAACAAAAAGCAGATTGCAAGTTTCTATTTGTCTTGAGCACTAACTTGAATAGCAAAATGGCATACCTGTGAGGTTTGTAGAACAGTTTGCTGTCAAGGCAGATCTTTCAGCAGAGCTTAGGACTCTGTTCCAAATGCCAACCTGGCCAATTTCACCCGCAAATGAGTTGCTTAGAACTGAACCCATGTTCGACATTTCCTGACCGAGTATTAGCATGCCTTTTGGTTCAAATAATTTTCTAGTTTTCATGCCATTTTCAATCGAGTTAAAAACAACCCTGAAATAAAAAAATGTTTTACAGCTAAGGCATGTGAACCGAAATTGCATGTTTTTTTAAAAGAGCAGTTTGATGGCTTATCCATCAGGAATCTCAAAAGAAAAGAAGATGTATGATAAATCTTAGGGCTGACAGTTGAAAATAAATAATACTTCAAATATATGACAATCTTTCGGCTTAAATAGGTTTAAAGCGAGGTCAATGTCAAAAATACTTTGGTTTGGTACAAGCTACACTTACTCTTTGTCCTTGTAGACTTGCACACTTCCAGTTGCTGGTTCAATTGATACAATAACGTGGTGCCATAGACCGTCATTCAAAGGCTTTGTAAACGGATGAGTCACCCGACTGCCACTCGATGGAGTAAATCGTACGAATCTATCTTGGATTTCAAACAAAATATCATGATATGATGTGTTGACCATGTTTGTTAGCATTAAGAATGTGCCAGCCGAGGTCTTTCCGAGGAAACGCACCCAGCTTGCTACTGTAACCACCGGTACACTGCTGAAGTTCATGTAACTCAAATAAGAGCCACTTCCGCCATGGAAACGAAGGTCAAACCTCGGGGATTTCGCTGTGATAAATACAATGAAGCACTTAGTATACAGTAAAACGCACAAGAACGATAAATCTTCATTGCTAAATTACAAATGACCCTCTGCTAAACTTGCATAAGAATTGACGATTGGGACGAAAATTATCACAATTGAAGTGCATAATAACAGCAGCAACAACAACAACAATAGAAGCAACAACAACAACAACAGCAGCAGCAAAAGCATTTTCTACATAAGATATAAAAGATGGATTACCTTTCTGGCATCTTTGCCCAGTATGTGTAATTGGGCATTGGCATCGGAAGGAGTTGATGCCATCTAAGCAGACACCACCATTGAGGCATGGGAGAGAGCCATTGCGTGCAATGCAGTCATCAATATTGACTTCACAATTCAAACCAGTAAAGCCTAGCAGACAGCTACAAGTGTATGCTGCAACCTGTAGAGATATGAAAATTTAACTTTAAACGAGGGCTTTGACCGTAGTAGGCTTGAAGCAAAGATGTAGCGTCATCCATATTATGTTATGAAATATGATAAAATGCATGCTGATTTCAAATCAGGACTTTCAATCATTGATCATGAATTTCAAAATCTTCTTACGATTCCATTACTTATCAAAACTGTAAAGAGTAGTTCTTATTTGGAATACTGAATATGTTCAATGTGAAAAATACTATAATTTGTACCAGGTCAACGCAAGTTCCTCCATTCTGGCATGGATTCGATGCACACTCATTAATCTCGGTTCCGCAAGTGTCACCGATATATCCATCGGTACAATTACACTTGAACGAGGCTGAATCTTTTACATTCATGCATGTACTGTTGTACAAACAGGGATTTGGCGTGCAGTAGTCTATCTCAATCTCGCATGATCGTCCTCTGTAAGAGATAAAGCATTCAATCTGACGACAATAGCTATGAGATGATAACAATATAGCGCTACTCACTCTCAGCTGAAAGCAGCAATTACATAAATCAACTTGACGCAGAATGTTCACATACGAAACTTAACTGAATTTAAACATACTAAAACCTCTACCCGGATAAGTTTGATGTAAAAGGTCATGGAAAAAGCACTCAAATCGATTTTTCTGTCATAACCAAACGTTTGAAAACGGCATTTTATTAGCAGGCCCAGTAGCTACAGCAGACAAACAGAAGCTCAAGTAAAAGGAGGTATAAGAATATGTCCCTCTCCTTGTATTTGACACCTAATATAGAATGATTGAAAAATAATTCTTGGTGGAAGCAGCAATCATGAGGTCTTAGCAATCTATTTCCCTGTAGAACACAGTATCTTATAAAGATAGCAGTGCCTTTTGGTATAACGTTGACAAACTCTGCGCCTCCTTGCAGTCAAATTGCTGGTTTAGTTTCAGTTATTCCGCGTTCATTTATATACTTAACATTGATATAATCTCGAGTTCATATACTTTTGCTGCTAAACACAGTACCTACCTATACCCTGGTTTGCAGTTACAGTAAAATCCATTGATCAGATCTGTGCAGTTGTAAGCATTTCCACGGCATGGATCAGGACTACATTCATTGATGTCAGTCTCACAGTTTACACCTGTATATCCTGGCGCACATGTGCAGTTATAGCCATTAACGAAATCCGTACAATTCCCAGAATTCTGACACGGAAGTGACGCGCAGTCGTCGATATTATGATCGCAGTCTTTCCCAGTGAAACCAGCCATACAATCACATCTATCAAATAAATGGTATACCAATAACCAATTAGCATATCTCAGCAAAATAATTCAGTTAGCTTGAAGAATAAGCTGTATTCGTAAAAACGACAAAAATATATGAAAGTAAAATTAGACTTTTGCTTATGAGGCAACAACAAGGTTCGGCAAACAGGAGACTAAACCACACTTTCACTTGCGCTGGTCTTGGCAAAATTTAAAGACTTCACTGCTAACAATTAAAAAAATAAAATCACTGCTGTTTCGGACATCGTCTTGGTACTGAAGTAAAAATGAAGGTGCCATTATTAAGAAACTATCTTTTAATGACGGTACGATTTCAGTGCATTTACCTGTAGTCAGCAACTAAATCTACGCAGTCACCATAGATACAAGGATTTGGAACGCATTCATTTGTCTCATTTTCACAATGATCGCCGTAGAATCCAGGATGACAAGTACAGTTGTATGAATTCACCTAGAGAATGAGAGAAATTGTTTCATTAATAAGACGCAAAGAGACAATTGATTGCAGAGCTTACAAGTGACCTACAATATTGAGTATAGGGTACATAGCTAATCAACAGTGCTTATGATTGATGATGAAGAATGATTGATGCCTGATGATTGATTTGTTGTTGGTGATTGACAATGATGATTGGTGATGATGACTGATTCTCACGCTACATGATCTATAACAATCATACTCGATACGAAAGCAACGAACCTGGTCAACACAAGTAGCGTTATTTCTGCAAGGACTTGAGGCGCATTCATTGATATCAATTTCACATCGTTTTCCTGTATATCCAGCCAAACAAGTGCACTCAAAGCTATTAACTTGATCTGTACAGGATCCACCGTTTTTACAAGGTGTTGTGGCACACTCGTCGATATCAATTGAACAGTTCTTCCCGGTGTACCCTGAAGAAAAACAACGAAGCTGTTCGTTAACATTTTATCTCGATAGCAAAATCTAGCCTAGCGACTCTACATCGAAACAATCCTACAAATGCGGGTGCAAGTAGGCATAGTACACAAACAATTTTATCCTGTATACCCTTAACCTTATGCGATAAGGAGCATATTTGGATGTAGAAATGAAGGACTGATAGTGAAAATATGGGATTGATAATAAAACAGAATTGAAAATTGCTTGTTTTGGACGTTGAAGTGGAAACTAGGACACTAATTGGCACAAACTTAATTTCAAAGCAAAACGACATAAAAGGCTTCCTATATATCAATTTTGACAACATAGCCTAAAAGATCACAAAGAAATACCTCTTAATTTGAAAAATCAGTAATACAAAAACACTATCTACCAAAAATAACTTTCAGGGTGATATTTTATCTTGAAAGTTGAAGAAACGAAAAAAGAAAGAACATTTCACAAACCTGCCTGGCAGATACATTGATAGTCATTAACTTTGTCCAAACAAGTTCCATTATTGGTGCATGGGTCAGTCAAACACTCATTGATATCCACTTCACAGATTCTGCCTGCAAACCCGGGTTGGCAATCACACTTAAAATTGTTCACCTGATCAATACACGTTGCATTGTTTCGGCAAGGCTTCGACAAACACTCATCAGTCTCATTTTCACAGTTTACCCCTAAGGAAAGATACCTCAGTTAATTTTATATTTCTATTAGCTTTTCCATTTTGTTTGATTAAACAAATGAGATTAGTGCACAGGTTACTTAATCTGGCATTGCTAGGGTAGGATAGTTTATCTCTTTTGTAGAATAAAAGGGGAAGCTGAAGTAATTAAAAATGAAGCATCGTCGAATTCCTCAAAGTAACCATACCATAATAGCCAGGCGAACAGAGACATAAATAACGGTTCACTAAGTTGAGACAAGTCGCTCCATTTTGACATGGACTAGAAGCACACTCGTTGATGTCTGTTTGGCAGAACTCTCCTGTCAGGCCAGGCCTACAAATGCATGTCACCTGAAATGAGTTGAGAAACAGATCAGTATTATATAGCTACGTCCCACCTTTGAATTGCATACGCTGCATCAGGAAAATTGCATATTCGGAAATTCGGCCTAGATAGCTCTCTCTCTCAGTTTTAAGTGGATGTCTTACAGCTTGTTGAAATATTTTATTACCTATTGTGTGCTAGTTCATCGTTTTTAGCTTTTGAGTTTCAAATATACTGTGAATTAGGATTTGAGATTGGTGCTTTATCTAGAAATGCAAACGTCACGGAGAAGAAGGGAGTTGGAAGTGGATCTTGAGTTTAAACGAAGAGTGTGAGATCTATAGATCGAGAGGAAATATTAAGTTTTAACGGGGATTTAGAGGTCTATAGATTGGAAGGTCTATAGGCTGGAAATTCTAGAAAATTAAACATATTTTGATAAGGGTCGACATTTTGAAAAAAAAGGTATAGAATTCTGTTTTCTGGAACATACCGAATTTACGCCATCAACGCAGGTACCCCCGTGCATACAAGGCTGACTTTCACATTCATTGATGTCAATCTCGCAGTTCGATCCTGTATATCCAGGAGGGCACGTACAGGTATACGAGTTCACTAAATCGGTGCAGTTGCCCCCATTCTGACATGGCGCCGAAGCGCATTCATCGACTTCGATCTCGCAGTCTTTGCCAGTGTAACCATCTGCACACTTACATGAGTAAGCAAATTCACCACGAATGCACGTGCCGTTGTTCTGACAGGGCGAAGCGTAGCAAGAATCGTTGGCTGCAAGAGTTCACAAAGCACAAAGTAAATTGAAGGTACGTGAATGGATAAGGAAATTGGATAAATTGATAAATGATAGAAAAGACATGCATGTGAAAGAATCTCAAGAATCTTTGGTTTAGTGGATGAACATTTTCTGATCGAACTCTGATAAAATTCTGACTGCATCATGATTTGATCATACTCACATCATGACAAGACCATAATCCCATCATGATTACATCGTGATCAGACCTTTAGTACATTTTGATCACGTTTTGATCACAATCTGATCACATGCTGATTACAAAACAATCAGAGAATAATCACACCATGATCCAATATTTTACCATTTTCTGCTTCTGATGGCATGAATTTTCTAATATTGGTTGTATAGCAAATTTAACGGCGTGAATGGAATAGTGCGCAGCAAAACACGTAAACATATCTACCAAAAATTGCACTAATATTACCTAACTCATAAAACTATTCGTTAATACCAACCTGTAAAGAGCAAACGAGGATATAAATTGTTGCCCCACTCAAGACTTGGGGACATTTCTGAAAACTTTCTAAACCCTAGATGTAAAAAGGGTTGTTATAAGCGAGAAATTGGGACGCCAGCAGACGGGCTGGCTGATGCAAAGCCACTCACTTGGACATTCTGAAACTGAGACTGCGCCTGTTTTGCCGCCAAATGTTCCTCCGCCAGGGCAAGGATAACAGACCACTCGGCCAGTGTTGGGTTGGAAAGTGCCAATGGGACATTGTTCGCAAGGGCTGTATCCATCACCTGAAAAGTTACCCGCAGCGCAAGGATCTAAAAGATAGAACGTGAAAATTTTCAACAACAAAAATCACAATGCTTAAACTTATACTTTGGAACAATTTTTGGCGGTAGAAAATTTGAAAATGGCTTTTAAAAAAGCTTGTTTTGCTCGGTATATTTGAAAAAAATAGAAAATTCTTTTCTATGTTAACCGATCAAATGAACTTTATTTTGATCATAATTTCAATCATTCAAATTGTATGCATTCAAACTAAAACTAAAAAATTTGATACTATAAAATTCAATGGAATACTAATAACATGGTGTTATGTATCGGCGATTATTGCAGCCAATGTTCTGAGTTGAAGACGACGAATTACACCATAGGAAAACCAACCTTAAGACCGACCCCCCTGTCTGTCTGTATTTTCAGCTGCTTAGTGATTTAAAGGTAATGTGTCCAGCTATAGCAAGTGACTCTGCAGGGGTTTTTAGAAACATGTGATTTTTCATGTCATCGCCCCAGTCATTACGGTCGTTCTGTTTATTTATCCTGCTGCGAGGTCAGCTTTTCATGTGAGCAGTTTTGCATTGCAAGAACACTAACCAATCGCAAATAGTTATTTTGATGGGTGGCTTGACAAGTTGGGTATACGCAGTCCTTTTATATGGACACATTACCTTTAGCTATATGACTAGAGGTTATGCACATTCGACTATGTATTTGTCCAGAAAATGGCCCCAGGAAGGCCGATTTTGCATACCTACACATTCCGCTATTGACTTTGCTCCAGTTGATTTTGTTGATTGGCCAGACGGGCATTTGACACATTTGGTCGACTTCTGAGACGATTGGTACTCGCCAATTGGACACGGGCGACAAACGGGACCGAAACCATCGCAAGAAAATGTGCCAACTTTACAATATTCTGTGGAGATAAGAGTTATATTTATAAAAGTAAAAATGTCATTCAGCCCAGGGACGTCGTAAGCATTTCAAAGCAAAACGGTACATATAGAAAGAGGCATTTTGTCTTAGGAAAAAAAACAACCATCCAAGAAAGCAACTTTAATATTTGTTCCAGGTTACCAAACAAAAACCGTTAGCAAATAAGAGTAAGATGGTCCTTTCCTCTCTACGTCTAACTTCAGGTTATCTTGTGGCGTGTGAGAATAAAACTATACCAAGACAAAGTTTATATACCCAAGGCCAATGTACACTTGCACGCTTGTTGCTTAATCCGTATAAAGACACAATGTAAAGCACTGCTACAATAAACACAAACTCCACAATCGTGCAATCTGTGTCCGCATCAAAAGCCCAAGGGGCACCTAAACGACGTACCTTGTCACATATTAAACGTGATTAAATTTCATTAAATCAAGCTTATAATTAAGCAAACAGGTAGCGTTCTGACTCAAGGATCACAGTCAAAAGCCTCAAGAACCTATTAAAAATAGCAATATCTAAAGGTCAAATCACTGCCTGATGACTCGTAGGTTTTTACGATTGTCTCGTAAAGAAAATCCGATGTAATAATAATAATATAATATAATAATAATGCAAAAATTTACTTGGTAGGCATAACTGAATATATTTTATCAGAAACAGAATCAGTAGATTTTTTCATAGATTTCATATTGCGATATTGCGAAATTAGCCAATTTGCTTAAGCTTGTCCGAAATATGAATCTTTAGTATTACCATGTCCAAAATGAAATTTTCCGTCCGAAATTAGTCGCCCGAACAAATATTCGAGGTTAATGTATCATAGAGTAAGCTTACAGTACCTAGGCATTTCTTTGAGTGGGTTCTTAGAGTTCCTGAACCGGACGGACATTGAACACAGCTGGCTTGGCCGCTAATGTTTTGATACATGTTCACTGGGCATCCAAGACAATTCTGCGTTGTTGAATCATAATACATTCCAGGGGTGCAGGCGTCTAGCAATCGAAAGAGATTAATTCAAAAATAGGAGTGACTAGTGTTCTTTATCTTCTTGTATACAATAAATTTTCTGGGGAAACAAACAAGGAAAAGTCTCTTAATAAGTGAGGCAACCCTCCGTCCTTCAATCAAAAAGCATGCGCACAGAACAAGTTCATTACTACGCATGCTCTTTGACTACAGGACGGAGGGTTGGCTAACAGATTTGCTCGTTTTCGCTCGTTTGTCTCCTAAACAAAGATCCTCTTATAGCATCACCTGATCTGCGTGGCTGAGCATGGCAATAATGGTATCAAAAAATTGAAAAATACAATGTTATGTAGGCAAAGTGCTAGAAAAAGATAAAAATAAGGAGACTAAGAAATAACTCACAACAATAATCCGTAGCCAGATATGAGGTCTTGACATAAACATTGTTGCCTGGGCAACAGGTTTCTTTAGTGCCATCACAACATGTCCGGTCTGAATCTACAAACACACGTTGACAGGAATACGACCCGATTGGAACAACCGCAGCAGTTACATTTGATTGAAGGTTATTTATGTCGGCTTTCAAAGCGGCAACACAGTAACTTAGCCTCACATGGGTCATGTTTTGTATGGCAACCGATGATGCAAACGAGACTCTTATTCTTGACTTTACTTGTAGGGTTGATGATGAAGACGTATACAAAGAAAACCTTGATAGCTTCATATCTGCACATGCTGGCAATGTCCGCCCATTTAGGTAGGTGACCAGCGAATCAGAGACACTGAACAGCTGGGATGAACTTGTTACTTTACTTAATGCAGCAGAGTTGTATTCGGAAACTGCAGTAAACTCGTGGCAAATATCAACAGGCTTTTTCACTGCAAAATTAAAATAAGTGGCCAATGAGTAGAATGAAATTAATGTTTACTTGTGCAAGAATTTGGATGCTTATCTCAAAAGCAGAACGGAAGTGATGAGAGGCATAACAAGCCCAACAGCCATTACTGGCACACGAAGAAGGTACCAACAAAGTAGAAAACAACTATGCCTATTATGAACAAATAGAATAGGACTCTGCAAAAAACTTTATAGAGCACCGAAGGGATGACGTCACAAAAATCTATTTTTAGAATTGTTCAACTAAGACTATATAACTCCAACAAGCATTATGAAATACCTCTATACGTGCAAAGTCACTTGAATATGTTACAAATTGGCTAGGATATGGCAACTTAAGCACAGGCTCTTGCCTCATCAAACCTCTGTAATTTGGTCTTGGTTCATAACTTTATGAACCAGGCCAGAATAACAGTGATCCATTAGCAAACTTGAAATCTTTCATTGGCCATATCTCGCCCAGTTTGGAACATATCCAACTAATTTTGCACAATGAGAGGTATTTTATGCCGTTCTTTCAGATTATGCGGCCAAATTTTAGAAAATCTAAAAATATATTTTTGCTGACGACACACTTCGGTACACTATTGGAAAATATGTCGATGAATGTAAGTTAATTGTACCAGAAATAAAAATTTGATTGACTGAATAACGACATTTCGAGCATAGCCAATTATCAAGTGACTTGATAACGGGCTATCTTGAAATTGCTCCGCATGCAATCTAGTACACTATTGGGAACTTACATGCACAACCAGGTGATGGTTGAGTCCAGTTTCCGCCAGGACAGTGTAAGGTGAGTGATGTCGCAGTCTTATCTGCTATCGTGTAGTTTGTATTGCAAAAAATATTGCAGGATATTGGGGGCAAATTGACATGACAAGATGCAACACCATTGTCCGGATGGATATTGCAAGTTCTGCTGTTCGGACAGCCACATCCTAAATGAAAGTGTAAACATTGAATATTTACAATGTCTACAGAAAAAAGGTGGGCAGACTAACACTGAAGTTGATGGCTAGTAAATAATCCCTTGCTCTGTGATGCACATTGGAGCAAAGTTTTTCAATCTTTTCTTTTACTACTTCGTCTACCCTTTTGACTCACAGTTTTTGATCACTTGTAAGTAATACATAAACAAGAGTAGCGCAATCAAACAAAATCATCTAAACTCTGAAAGAAAATAAAAGCCAGAGCACCTGTGAACGTTACTCTTTGTTATTATTATCAGATCCATTAAACTGTACCACCACTCTGACATCAATATATTTTTGATGTCTCCGTAGGTATTACCGATGATAAAAGTGGAAAATAAATAACATTCATGAAAATTTCGAATACATGAAAATTGAAGGAACTATGTCCCGACGCATTTCGCTGGCCATTTAAATTACCATTGGTTGGATTACACAATAGAACTATTGTTTGCTGACGGAATATAGTGGCTTAAAGACTCTTGGTTTGTGATGATTGTGTTATTGTTAACTGTTTAAATAGAAAAACCCCAAGGGGACTTTATGCTCGTGCATAGTTGTTCACGACAGTTTATTATTTCTTCGAAGTTGAGTGTTCTGAAAATCAGACGCGTTATTTTTCATGTCTCGTTTTGCTAGGCCATGTTTTAAGGAAACATAACATTTTGGCGCATTTGACAGGTTAACACTGATCCTTTGCGCGCTCGCGAGCGCAGCCAGCTAAACAAAACAAAATTTGATTCTAACCGAGCTGAGCTGTGGTGGCACTTTGTCAGTTTGGTCAACCATTCAGAGGTAACAATAGGGTTTGCAGAGCATTTATGGTATCGGAATACTGGATAAGTAACAATAGGTATATTGTGCAATGTAACCAATGGAAAATTCAAATGACCAGCGAAATGCGTCCGGACGTAGGGCCTTTAAGAGTAAAGATTTGATCTGAGTTAAAAAACTGATCAAAAATGGAAAAAACCTGCGTGTACCTTTCACAAATACTTCCATCATACATGAAGCTTGATTGCCATAAAGATCTGTAGCATTCATCGTCACTAGATTTCGAGAGTCAGACATGAATGTTGTTCCGTTTGGAGGGTTGAAGACGATACTTGCAATACGAGTATTATCTTTGGCATACCCACTTCCCCAATAGGCAATAACAGGCAAGTCGCTTGATATGATCACGTTCTTCGGACATTCAGTTACTGGTGCTTCTTTATCTATTGGAAAATGAATTATTGAAAAGTTACTTTCTGCATAATTCAACCTTTTTGATAGCTAATACTGTAAATCATCGAATAAGCGCTCCTCTCGAAAAAGCATCCCCTTGAATCAACGCCCATCCTATCAGGAAAATTATCAAATAAGCGCCCCCTTGAATAAGCACCCACCACCTCCACCTTAATAAACGGGCTTTAATTGGAAATTTTAGCCAAATGAATTTCTGAGACATAAGTGTTTGTCTTACAGGAACAGGGAAGGCAGTTAGCCAAAAAAGAGTAGAAATAAACAACAAATTTCTTTCTAGCTTTCATTCTTGTCAGTCTTTATTTTCATTTCTTCATAGCAAGGAAATGTTTTAACACACACTTTATTTCCACTATTATCTTTTTTATTTTCGAAATCCCTCATTTACATTTTTGCCTCTGCTTGAATTGCTTTGACGTCCACAAGCTTTTCGCAACAACATGAAAGGAAATTCGTAACCAAAGAATCACTTAAACCATCTGAAAAGATTGGCAGTTTACCTTCAACTGTTATTGCAAAAGTGCAATTGGCAGTATTTCCTTCTGCATCTTCCGCAAGATAGGTGATTGAAGTAACTCCAGGTCCTAACTGGAGAGGGGGCATCGAAATTGGCGTTACTGTCACATTCGGTGGTATTCCACTGTTGTCTGTTGCTGTTGGCACAGTCCAAGAATAGTACATGGTTGCTTCTCCTTTAGGTAAAGCCACGACGGTGCTGTTGGGACATGTGTCTCCGAAGGAAGGAGGCTGAGAATCTAAACAAGAAGAATAAAATATGTATGTTAAACTCAAAAATTAAAACTGTCATGATTGGAAGCATAAACTTTTCGTATTAAATAGCGATAGTTCTTTGCAGACAAAATTCATCAAATACACTGTTTTTTAAAAGAACAATTTTATAAGAACAAGAGCTTCAAAACTGGTCAAAATAAGAACAAATTAAGAACAAACTGAGGCTGAGCTACTTTGAAATGTTATCTTGAACAATGTTTCGTCTCAAAAACGGTGAGTTTTTTGCGGCAAATAAAGAATATCTCATTCACACACTTCGTTGGGAAATGAGGCCTACACACCTCGTTAGAGCACAATAGCTAGCAACTGCACTGGTTACACCATATTAATTTAAGAATAAATTAAGAACAACCTTAATTTCTAGTCTAAGATTTTCGCAAAAATTAGGAACAGCTAGCCTGAACTTCAATTGACTGTTTCTTACAAAAAAAGAGTGTAAAACAGGGAAATCTGAAAGTTGTAAGAATTGGGATTTAAAATTAGTCCTCTACAAAGGAATTGTATTGAAAGTATTGGTATATAAAATAGTGTTTCAAGATCATTTTATCGCTGGAAATACATCTTGGAACATTTTTATGAAGTTGCCTCTTGCATCTTGATAATTCACAAAAATGTGCTTAAAATGTATGTAAAAATGGCAAAATAAAAAGATGTTGCGTTTTAAGGTATTATTAAAAAAACATGGTTGGTAAAACCTCAGCCAAACGCTCTCGACTTTTCACCATTCAACGCTCAACGTTTTACGTCAAGTCGAGCGACTATATACCAATTTTAAAGAAGGGTAGTGAATTTCATTTTCATGTTGCCTAAAAATATAGTGTTTTTTATTTTTGCACCGCGCAATATATTCTGTTGTAGGAACATTCGTGTCAGTTATGGGAATTAGTCCGTCTCAAATCAAAAGACGAAGAAAATTTAGAAAAAAGAGTGTCATAAGAATAGTACGAACGAAACACTGGTTAATATACGCAACTTTGATATAACAGGTTTGATTAAATGGTATGAAATGAAATTAGAGGTGAATTTCGCCTTCGCCTTAATGCGCATGCCCATATGACGCACTTTCTCATTGATTCAAAGGGTAGAATGATGGATATAAAGAATGGGTAACAAGACTCGTATTCCCAACAATTTCATGGTTTGATAGGCATGCAACTAATCTGATTCTCGTGTAAACTATCTGTACTGGCCTAAACAGGAATTCTTATCCCTAGGAAAAAGGTTTTATAAGTCCCTACCTTTACATTGAGGCAAAACGCCAGACCACACCAGTCCTTCTCCACTCACAAAACTGCACGTGCGGTTTTCATCTCCAGACAGAGAGTAGCCAGAGATGCAGCTATATACGACTGTTTCTCCAATTACAGAAATTCCTTTCCTTTTTCCGTATTTTGGAACACCAGGATCTGGGCACGGTTGAGCTGAAAAAATGACAAAATATGGTTTAAAACCCTAAGCAAAAGGCAAATTCCTGAATTTTTCTGTTTATAGTGAAAATTGTGTCAAAAATACACAAAGTCCCTTACATAAATGCTTAGAAAAAATGGACTACTTTAAGATTCAGCAATTGAATCGGTTACCTTGGCAATTTGGTTCAGTTCCTGACCAGGTACCACGCAAGGAGCATGTTCTCTCCTGACTCCCTCCTGTCAGACTGTATCCGGGTTGGCATTCATACACGACTTTATCTCCAAAAAGAGTTCCATTCAAATACACCAGTTTGCCATTGGCGATTTCCGTTAATCTTCCACATGAAATCCCTGTAATAGTATTTGTCAAATAAGTCACAATTTCTAATAAAACATGCTTCGTAACTCGATACATTTTAGAAAAAAGCTCCTTAAAAAAAAACTATTTTCCTTAAAAGACTTTTTTACACCAAGTTCGAATGCAGTGGTAGGGCACATGTTGCTATGGAAACAAACTTGTATAAACTTTGGTCATAAAATGGGACGATTTTCAAATTAATGAAGGTCATTTCCACTGATCTGATGTTGGGCGGAATCTCTGGGGATCCTTGACCAAATCCTGAGAGATCCTTATTTCCTTTTACAGTCAACAAAACACTATAAACTTAACAATACAGCACTGAAATATTGTTCAAATAATTTTTTGGTACTTTGGTGTGTGCTATGGTTCCGGTATTTTGTACAATCTTCATATTTTGCAAATATACATTTGAAAATTTGAAATTTTAAGATCACAATTAAAAGTTGACATTTACTTTAGATTAATACCGATTATCTCCTTTCACTGAGAAATCGCAACAGATTAAAGTATGTTATATTTTTAGCTTTAAAACAGTCAACCCAAAATGTAAACATACTTTTGCAAACAAGGGGCAAGCCTGTCCAGAAGGCATGTGTCTTGTTTGCTAGACACTCTCTTTGGAGTGATCCATTCTCTCTGATGTGTCCCTCCAAACATTCGTAATTGATTTTTGACATAAAGTTCGATCCATCTGTGACGTTGGTGATCGCATTTACTGATGCCCCAGGATCTCCACAATTAACCGCTAGAATGAAATAACAGAGGTTCGAAAATAGCTGCTGAAAATGCTCTTAAAAAATGCACATGAAAATAACTGCTAAAATAAAATGCCACTTCTTAGGAAAAAATGTTCAGGTTGATAACGAAGACAAATTGTTGGGAAGTTCATTACAAGGCCCTATGAATGAAATTTGAATAAGCAAGAGATTCTTGACAGTACTGTTGTCTGTTGGTTGTCTTCAAAAACTTAGGCCAAGGGAATATATCGTTTGCGATCGAACTTGTAGGATAAAGATTCCATGTCCTGCAAAGATTCGCAACAATTTAATTGATTCGCACTAATCAGCGTTAAATGTACATTCAAATGCTTTAACAAAGCCCACAACAACTTCCAGATTCAGTCCTAGGCGTTGTTTAATCAATGCATGATTTAAGGTTAGAATAACATAAACTTACCATTGCACGCAGCATAGCCACCACTCCAGCTGCCTGATTTCAAGCACCGAATCTCTCTTGGGCCAGTTCGTAAATATCCAGCATTACATTGAGATATAACAAGCGCTGGATATCGGATCGATGAAAACGCTCTAACTCCATTCAGCAAAGGTGGTGGTGGTGGGCACTTGACACCTAGGGAAAATTTCGTCGTTCGTTAGAGGTAATAAAGATTATTTTCGCTTCTCTTGATCATTCTTCGAAAAAACCTAGAGCCTGATCTCTTTAATGAATTACATTGCGAATGAAACCGGGGGTCTCACCGAGAGCTATCACCCGAGAATTTGAGGCATTTGTCTCAATTTGAGTTCTTGAGACATACACAAATATTTCCCATAAACATGAGTCGCTTTGCTTACTTGATTTTGAATTTGAGTAAATGATTTATTACACTTACTTTAATGGCAACAACGACAAATAAAACTTGTGGTCGTCCCTTCATTATTTTTAAATAGTGTTCCAAAAGTGACAAATATGCATTTCTGCAACTCCCTGATTCAAGTACCTTAAAGGAACAGTTTAACTTTTAAAAACGACAGTCTCCCCATATAAGCATATTCTCCATTGAAAAATATTTTAGGCAAACAAGTCCCAAACAGCAAATACTTTATCAAAGAATTATATAGAGCTAGTGTTCAAATTAGTTGACATACTCTTACATATGTGTCTAGCAGCTTACCTAAACAAGTGCGGTTGACAGTCGCTTCTGGAACCAAACCTTCCTTGCCATCATACAAATAGTATCCTTCCCAGCAACTGCAGTGATAGCTCCCAGCCGTATTAGTACAGTTGTGGGCACATCCACCATTGTTAACTGCACATTCGTCAATATCTACCAAGAAGAAGAATGACTCTTAAAGGCATTATGTCCCGTATGTCAACGGTTCAGAGTTGAAAATAGGCCCCTCGGCGCGTTTATGATTGAGAAAACGTTTTGAAAGTCTTACGTTGCTGATTGGATACATAACGACAGTTCTTTTGTAAAATCCAACCAATGAGATTTTGAACAAACCATCAAAATGCGTCTGGACAAAGTGCATTCAAAATGATACATCTCTAAAGCACAAATGTAAATAACAGGAGTCTTTGAAGCAGGCCAAATTTTGAAACGTTTTGGAAACATATCATCTTCTTTGAATTCAAAACAGCAATTCAATAATTCTTTCTCCATATTCAGTATACTGATTAGCTGTTCTCCTTTTATTTCAAGAATCAGCACAGCATGACAAGGTAAAAACTTTCTACTTTATTTGAATATACTGGTGTTAGTATTTCCTTTAATATCATCAACAATTCTTTGATTAAATGTCAGCTAATTAAAGATAAATTTGAACACAATGATACCAAATTTGAAACTAACAGAAATTTTGAAAATAGAAAAAAATCTCTTGTAGACGAACGATTCCATAATTTCTTTATCAGAACTTTTAGTTGAGGCCTTAAAGTCTCTTGACCTGTTAAGCCGATTATCGTCGCCTCTTTTCGTTGTGGTCGCATGTCTCTTTTACAATATCGCATGGCACATCTATGTATCCAATGTACGGCCGTGTTTATTTAAACAGGCTTATTGATCTTAAATCTTGGTAAGCAAAGACAGATGCCGGGTAAGCAAAGTGTGTCTCAAAATTTTTGTAATTGCTATGGTCTGTCTTTTATAGGCAAATACAGCTATGAGAGGGAAGAAAAATTGTTTGCCAATTTTTGACAGGCTATAGTTTCAAGGGGAGGAGGAATTTGAAAAATCTGAGACATACTTTGGTAGCTGAGGTTCTGAGCTTTTTGCAGATTTAAGTCAAATTTCGTTAACTCAAACGCAAGGGTACAAAATAGATTTTGAAGTTGGTACACTCATTCAAGCAATAAATTTGCCTGGAAAGTATCATTTTGCAATCCTTGCCAATTATATTGATATGGCTGGAATCGCCACATTCTTGTGCATCGAATGATGTATAGTTTAATCTGATTCCGTTAATGTATAGTTTTGCTTTTAGGGAGAGAAAACGAAATATCGCGTCAAAAACGTTTACCGTAACCTTAAACGTAAAAGTTAATCTTTTCAACCTTCGCAAGTGTCTTTCTGTCCTTTAACTTTCTGGTATCCTGCTCTACAGCTACATATGTACGACCCAACAGTGTTGGTACAGACAGCTCCAGGTCCTTTGCAAGGTACATTGCTACATTCGTTGATGTCTATAAACGTAAAGAATAATGGAGAATCTAGCAGAATAATAGGCTTCTGAACAATCTCACGTAAATATAATTCGAGTAAAAACTGGATATCTAAGTATTGTTTCAATGCACTCATGATTGATGGTTGAAAACATGGACGTGTTCAAAGATAGAGGTAAAGGGAAAGGGGTAAAGTGAATACAATCAACTTCCTTCAAATCTGGTAAATCTTTTAGCAAAATCATCGATTAATTTAATAGGCCTATCTTCACAAATGCTCCAAAAAAATAATATTGAAATAAGTATCGAAGGCGATGTTGTATATCTTAATAAAAAAGACCAGAGCATTGCTGCACTCGTCAATGTCTACAAATATTTTGTAAAAGGTAATTACAAAACTGGTAAACCTTTTAGCAATATCATTTATTTCATTAAAAGACCAATCTTCAAAATTGCTTCAAATTTTGAAACAGATATCGACGGCAACACTGTAATTTTGATAATAAACCTAGAGCATCGATTAAATTGCAAGTGAAGATAGGAAAAATAAAACTTTTGTACATTCCTTTTCAGCATTAAATATATACCAATGCTGTCAAATACTAAACTCGTGTCCAAAACATTCGATATTCAAAAATGGCGGAAAAAGAAAAAGACTATCTGTTTCCGATAAATATTAAGTAGGTAGTTCGTTTTGTGTAACCGTATGTGAATACACGAATTACCAAAACATTGAGGAGCAGTGTCGTTGAAATTTCCATTAGCTTGGCAAATGATCGACTCTGAGCCTCTCATGAGATAGCCTCTATTGCAAGCAAAGGTAAGTATTCCGCCATATTGGATTAGAGCTGGAACTGTGCTGTTCGGGCCTAGCAAGTACTTTCCATTGACCGGTGGTGGTACGACCGCACAGAAGATACCTAGAATGTGAAAATTTAAAAATCAATTGAATTCAATTCTATATATATCGCCTAAGATATAGGAAATGCATTTTGAAATAATGATTAAGAGTTTCGAATACTTAATAAAATCCAACTTTGATGGCAGGTTTCTAGTTTACTTTGTCATACTTTTTAGCATTGGAAAAGAATTGTCAACTAGTAAAGTAAAAACAATCGTTTCATCTTAACCAGAGTCACTATGAAACTTGAAACTCAAGTTATTTGAATTAGGGCAATCTTTCTCACTTCCGCTATTGCAACGAATTTAGGTACAGAGTCACAAGACTTTCCCAAAATTTATCGAGAAAATCATTTTCCTTGATTTCATTTGACAATAGAAACTTGCTTAATTAGGCACGCAATTATATATAAACCATTAGGCCCTTCAAAATTCGAAAAGATGCAATTTCTGAGAGAAGAAACTCATTGTATAAGAACGTCGGCTATATGATTATTGTAAAAGGGAGGAATATTGGGGCATTGTGGGGAATAATTCAAATACTTTAGGATTACTTTTCATAGCAGGTTTGTGCTCTAGGTGCTTGCAAAAACATAAGAGCCTTTCAGTAAAACATCGGTTGAGACTTTTTCGGGTGAAAGTATGACGTGAGTTAGAATTTCAACTCTTTGAATGAATTATTACGGTTGATGTTATTTCAAGGATGTTATTCCAGAACTACTGCCTTAATACAATACAATATAAAAACTATTACCCTTTTAAATCTAAGCGAAATGCGATACTATCGATCCCAATCCGAATGCAAAAAAATTTTCAAAATAATATATCAAGCTATTAATGTCGGATCAAGGGAATTGTAATTCCTTTGCTCTTCTGTTTGTTGCAACTTTTTTACAAAAAATTTTCCGATGCGTAAATTTTCAGTTACAATCAACAACATTGCTTTTCATTCATTTTGTTTCATTTTGTAACATTGAATCAAAAGGTGATAAAATCGAGAAGTCTTTCTTTAATGAAACTAAATTGAATATAAACTGCATCAAAATAGTACATACGTTTACAGGTAGGAATGGGTCCGGACCACTTTCCATCTGCGTCACAAATTATAGTTTTTGATCCGAGCAAGTTGAATCCGGAGTTGCAAGAAAAAGACATAACTGCACCAACTTTAGTATTGCTCGTGCTTCTTGCTCCGTTTGCAGGTGTCCCAGGGTCTCCACAACCAACGTCTATGAGGACAGTGAATATTCAAATTGATGCCACTACATAATCATTCTACATCCGGCATGTATTGGTTGAGACTTATGACTAGGCTAATTTTTACCTTAAGTTACTGATTACTTTAACAATATTCGACCAGAACTGGAACAAGGCATAAAGAGTGTGAATATAGGTTTGAGAAAAAAGATGGAATGTCATTGTTTCGAAATTGAATAACTGAAAACAGAGTATCTACAAGGGAGGTGGGTGATTAGGGGTGTGACTAAAGGGGCACGTCTCACAACAAGTTCTTGGCAGGATTGATTTCGCATTTCATCTAAATTCAATGTTGGAGAAGGAGCAATATTTTGGTGAAGCATTCTTTGATGAGATTATATGATTATGAAGCTCAAGCTAGTCATGGGCATCCCCTATTGCCAAAATTGGCCTTTTCTGTTGTTAAAGGGTATTTTGTTACCGAAAAAGGGCACGTCCTAACATCCCCCTCCCCTCCCTCTCCGCAGCTAAAACAATAACAGTTAAGTAAAATAAGGCGAGCGAGCTTACTTATGCAAGTTGGCAAAGTTCCGGACCACAGTCCATTTTCTTGACAACGACGAACTCGACTTCCGTTCAACTGGTACCCCCCAAAACAAGAGTATGTTGCTGTGCTATTGAAGTTGTAACTGCCGTTGATTTGATACATGCCATTTGTAATGGTTCCGGGGGGACCACAAATGATTTCTGTCATTAAAAAGGATATGTAAATAAGTGACAAGAAAATACCAATAGTTCAAAAACAGTTTTAAAGAAATGTGGAGAGAACGGTGATTTTATGAAAATAATATAGGATGATTGACGAAAATACCTTGGCATTTTGGAGCTTTCGCAGACCACATTCCTCCAAAAAGACAAGTTGTTGTCGCACTGCCATTAAGCCTATAGCCACTGTTGCATTTGTAAGTAACCCGAACTCCAAAGTTTGTTTGCATTGTGCTTATGGATCCGTGCTCCGGAACCAGTAACTTGGGGCATCCTACAAAATATTGACTTTGAGCAAGGGAGAAGAAAAGAATTCGCTGCTTATTACAAAAACAGCATGGAAAAAAGAGATAAGAATAAAAAAAATTGAAATAACAACAAAATAAACATTTAAGACAAGGAAAGAGAGTGTTGAAAAGAAGGCGGGCATGTTGAAAAAGAGTCCAAGATCTTCGCTCTTGTTCTCAGATCTCAGAATGCTATAAAACACAAAAACAAGAAGAAGCAAGGAAAACGACATCAAAATCACTGAATAGATTTTATTTGAGATCGTGACAACAACTTTTCTACGTACCAACGGAGAAAGAAATTCGAAATCCCTTTTTGCTGTAACTGTAATCTGACTTAAAGGTAACATCTAACTTGGACGTAGCTGTATCTAGGATCCAGGCTTCCGAAGCCAGCCTCGCAAGTTCTCCAGAATATCGTTTGATCGAGGCACCGGTGTTGCCGTTCAACACATCCAAAACATCAAAGTACAATTCAGTGTCGAAAAAATGAAACAATAAGTCGATGTTTCTTCCGTTTGGTTCGTTGATTTTCCATGTGCAATCTAACATATTTGGGTAGTTTTTATAGCCAAATCCTGGACTGGAAATTACACCTTTCGTTGCATTAAGTTCGATGTTACAACCTGGAAGGTAAATGATAGAAGTCTCAGTAGTCTCTATCAGGAATGGGCAGAAATATAGTTGCAGAACAAAAACAAGCTACAAAACTCAAATGACATTTATAGCATCTGCTGGCCTACCAGGAAAGCGGTTACATAATATCACTGCTTACTAATCCTAGAAGCTACAGAACGTCCACGGCGGCACTAAAAAAGACAATGTTCAACTGTTAGAAAGCACGATTCATAATTAACACTATTTTGCCTGATTCATAATATTAGTCTCAATCTTTTATCAAACAATTGCATAACAACATTGATCTTAACATCGTGTGAATTATTTCAACATTATGCTGTATGATTAGAATCTGAATTTTGTACCGTTTGAATTTACACTATGTATGTCCAGCCTTTAGCTTGCATCTAGTCTTTTTAGCTGGTCGTTTATTTTAAATTAGAATTTTAGAAGCAGCCTAGGCTCGATAAGCTTTGTTTTTCCTGTTCGCATAAGATGTAAGTTTAGCTTTATCTTCAGACTGCATTGCAAGAAAAAGCTTGTTACGAAAATCCCACACGTTTTAACAACAATAGGGCCTATGTTACTACGCAAAGCATTCTATCTACCTCCGTACACGACTGCCTTAAAACCTCTTCTCCCAATGGCATGATCTGACGTGAACTTCATCGTGAATCCTGCTCCAGTCGAAATAAACGTTTGCCCAGTCTGTGCGCCTGACAATCTGGCGATCAATTTATCTGTGCTCAAAACACCATCCCTTATGTCTACCACATCATTGATAAGTTCGGTTTCAAAGTCAATAAAACGGAGGCTCAGTACACTGTTTGGGTCGGCAGTAATCGTCCAAGTGCATTTGGAATTTGTTGGATAATGTGAAGGATAATTTGATGAAAGGATTTCCCGCACTTGACCTTTACCAACATTCAATGCTCCTCCACAAGAGCTGTCCGTCACTGAAGAAAAATGAAAAGCTATAGTTAACGCTTTAAAGAACTGAAAGCCCGTTTAAGGATTCGTTGCTGCTGTTGTTGTTGTTGTTTGTTATTGCTGTTGTTAATTTATTGACCCGATATTTTCAAAGTCTACAGGATTGATCTTACCAATACCCTCCGACGTTTACAAAACTCATATCCATTTATACTAAAATCACAGTGTTTGTTAATGCATTTTTTCGGAATCGGGTATTTGTATTTAGTGGACTGTCGACGGGCAAAGTGGTTTAAAGTAGTGTGATTACTGAAGAGACTCCCGGTTTAAAGTATTGTGATTACCGAAGAGACTCCCCCGTAAGGGGAATATTTGGAACTACTACGCAGCAAATACTGCTTGAAAGTCAAAAAGAGCTTTTCCAGTTGCTTCATCTTTTAGTAATTCTCTAGTCTTCCAATTGCCAAGAACCGTGCAGTCACAACAATTCCTAGACTCAGGCTGCACAATATAAATTAAATTTCAAATTACTACAGAAGAACGCAAAGATTTTTCATTATAATAATAATAAGCTAAAATATGACTGACTGGTTAATATGACACAATACTAACCTGCCCTGTAGTTAGCCAAGAACCCTTTATTCTCGATCGACTCATCAGATACAAATCGGACCAGCATTTGGTTACCAGATGACAGCAAAGGTGTCACCTTGCCTAGACCCATCAATCGAGCAATGATCTTTGAAGACGAGGTTGGCCCATCGTAAACATCAACATAATCGAACCCAGGCTCCAGGTGAATTTCTTTGAATGACAGTTCCACTTTTGTCTTCAAAGGAACCGTGATTATCCAAGTGCAGTCTGAATCAGATGGGTAAAACTTAGGGTACTCTGGTGACGTAAAAGAGCCATTTGTTCCCCCAAGCTTCCCTCCACAGTGTTCTAAAAAGAAAAATTTACACACACTCATCCAAACCTTACATTGCCGTGCACTATTCACACAAAAATTAAAAATTCACAAAGTTGTGAGTCACGTAAACAGATTTCTAAAAGATACATACAAACTAGGGGCATAGAGCTAGGGGACTCCAGGGGGCTAGGTTCCTTTCCGAAGCCAAAAAAAAGCCCACTCTGCTTTTAGCAAAACATTCCTGACACAATCTGATGATTAGGAAAATAATTTAGAGTAGATGGTTTGGCATTGAGAATAGCAAAACATAATTTCGAAAATGACAATGACTAAATCATAGGTTTAAAATGATTGGAAACTATTTTGATATGTTAACCTTTTTGTTGAAATTCAAAATGAGCTACGGTCATGCTCTGAAAATGAGAATGATATGATGTTTGAAGCTGCTTACATATCAGACGGACAAATACAAATAAGCAATGAGGCAACTCAAGTAGCCATTGAAATGCATTGGCTAAGTCTGTTTGATCCTGCCTGTTGCGTTAAGAAAATATATGGGGTTTCTTGCCAGATATGTAGTTGTAGGCCTAAGTTAAAAAATAAGGATTTTAAAGGCGACGGTAAATTGAGGTCGATTCAAACAAATATTTAAGACCATCTCTCTTCTTAGTCATAAATTGTGACAAGATATGAATCTGCCAACTTCAAACTACATGTCAAAAGCTTCTGCAACGACCATCGAATTGGCATTTTTAATTAAAGAATAAAGGAATTAAGGGGTGCAAAACCATAGGCACGCACTGCAATTTCTCTCATCCGAATTGTCCCCACAATCATTGATACGGTCGCACACTGCATACTTTGTAATGCACTTTCCATTATCACATCGAAATTGCCCTGCAAACAATTACATTAGCTGAAACTGTACCTGAAGAGAACAATTTACAAAAGATGCAACGAAGCAAATAGTTTTCAAGCTGCAATATTTTGTTTCGCTTTTACATCCCGTCACAAGCAAAACGGTCTAAAACGATCAATGGCCTAAACTTTTGATAGGCCTACTGGCCCTCCCTTGACTTGCAACTTATTCGAAAGGATTCCAAATCAATTCTAGGTAACTTATTGCAGAATCATATATGAGTTTTATACGTATCTCATGTTCTTCGAAGATGAATGTTCTAAGAAAAGAAACATAAAAACGCAATTTCAGAACATACCTTCGTAACAAGCGTTGGCCTAGAAAGAAATGACCAGAATTAAATGTCGTTTACGAACAAACAAAAATGTTGTCAAAAGGTCATGGCTAGTGCCAATTGGGTGTAACCCAAAAAGGGAGACAGCTTTCTCATTAGGTACTATTATTAAAGTTAAATCATGAATGACATTGGATTTAAATAGAAAAGGAAGAAGGTACTAAGGAATAAACATGGTAGCCTGCAGAGATTTCAGGTCGCTTTTGCAAAGCCTCCCGATTTTAAAGGAAATAGTCCAGTTTAGTTGCTACATCATGTTCAGTTGGGTTGTTATATCATGAAATGATGAATCAGCATCATCTGCCATTCTTAACCATGCCTGATCAATGCTTTAGGTGCCATAACAAGATTGTAAATTGCATCTTTCTTAATAGATTCATTTCTGAAAAACTGCAGAGTATTTTATAACTTATTGACTACCACGAAAATAACACGCAAACGTTCTCAAATGGTTTAAAATTGCTGTAAATTTACTTGACGACAAAGAGGGTGGACTTGTTCATTCAACGTTTTAACAAATATATCTTATTTTTGTTGCTTTTTCGCTGATTCAGTTGAGAATCGTATTACTGTTGCAGCTTTTATTCATGTTCAGAACGTGTAAAGCGCTGATCTCTTGAACCCAACCTACAATCCTGCGCAAACACTTAATCCTTTTTTGGGATGCTTGAAATACCATGATTAAGTCAAAGCCAACAATCTTGACACGAATTAGCTCGTCGATTCTGCAGTCACTTAACAAAGGTCAATAAAGAGATCAAAGAATTGCAATTGCTTTACTTTTCCTTAAATAACTAAATGTGTTATTTAATAATTCTAACAATTCAAAACCATATCTTTGTAGAGAAATGCGGGGGCAGACAAGTGTTTTGAGTTTCTGAGTTCAAGGCTAAATTTCTTTGCACTTTCAGCTAAGCAAAAACCACAAATCCAATATCTTCAGCAAAGAAACTAAAAGCTTACAATCGTTTTAACTTTCTGAGTTCAAGGCCAATTTTGTTTGTGCTTTCAGCAAAAACCACAAATCTTCAGGAAAGAAACTAAAAGATTACAATCGTTTTGACTTTCTGAGTTCAAGGCCAAATTTACAATGCTGCCTGAGGTGATCAAACGATCCAACATTTCACCCAATACTTCAAAACAAAAGAATTGTTGGATGACGGCAGCCAACTCTTTTACCACAGTCAACATCATGTTGGGCGAAATGTTGGGTGAAATGTTGGAATGTTTGATCAGGGCTTAAAGCTTGTTGGATGACAACGCCACTGATATTTTCATGTGCCACCCCCCTCCCCCTGAAGTGGATCATTGATTTACATTTGCTATAAAGATTGGATAACCCACAAATATTTGTACTATGATTAAAATCGAAAAACGTTAAGCAATAATGACATAAATTGCATGAATTCACGTTGAATCCTTACAGGAATGCACGTTAACTGTAGAATCGAAATATTTCTAATTCTGTGTAATATTTCTGTGACACCTCTTGTTATTCATCTCAACAGATGAATGATGGTTATCTAAGACGCATGGTGATGACTTAAAAGCTTGAATCTAGAGCTTGCAACAGTTATGGTTTATGGTAAAACCAGATCGCTTTGGAATGCATGCGTCATAGCAACTTCCCAAGCAGAAGCTGTTAAATAATATAAGATATTTGCCAAGGATTAAAAAGAATTCAAAAAATTCAATCAAAAGTAGCGATGTCTACCGAAAACTGAAGTGACAAACAAAGCCGTTACAGTGATTCATTGCAGCCATAATTACATTACGCAAACTAATTATAGCCCGTCCAAGGTTAAAATGATCCGGGTTTGTTTCGGATCGAGCCCGGTTACCCGGTTAATTTCTCAGGTCAATCCAAGTCTGCATTCATAAACCATTTTTCCAATAATTAAGTCGGGATAAACCTAGGTCTAGAAGTTGGTTAGTTGGAAGTCGAAGTGAGGATAAGTTTAACCGAATGTGGGTTGGTCTGTGTAGTGGAAAGTTGGCTCAAGAGATTTCAGAAACGGAGATTCAAATCCATGTATGCTTCCACACGCTAATCCTTGCGAAGGGATTTGTTTGGGAGACGAACCAGCATTCGTCCGTTGGCTACAAAATTTTGCATTAGATGCACAAGCGGAGTAAAAATTGATGATGTAACTTTCACATTACATAGTCTATTCTGTGGAAGAAATATTCGTGCCTTTATAGGAAGAGGCTCTTCCGATGCAATTTCTTGGCCTTAACCCCTGTGTAATGAATGCAATTTCATTAACAATTTTTGGTGCTGAGTACAATCTTTATTTGTACTTATATTTGTGTTTTGTTATTTTGTGTTATTTTCATTAAAAAAATGACGCGAATGGTCGCAACATTAATTTTGTGACGACATAGAATAAAAATCTACCAAGGTCCTTGATTAGCGACTGAAGGCAAAAAGTTTCTCCTAGATTATTTGCGGTCAAATATATTCTATTAAGTATTTTTTCATTTTTTCCATTTCAAAATATTCATAATATTAAAGCTTGATACAAAATATTCTTAAACGTGCATTTAGTTTCATATATATATAATAAGTTTAAAACAAAAAATTAAGTCGTCAAAATCTACAATAAAAGCACCAACACAATTTGAAAAATTGCATTCGGACGAAAAGTCTGATTGGAAAACCTAATCTGAAGTAAGAGAAACCGTACAATGAATTTGGGCTTGAGTTTTAAAATTTTAAAAGTAAAGCTTTTATTTAAAATGGTTTATTGTCGTTAGAGCTTCTAGATTAAGAAGTATTGCCAATTCTCCTAGCTTTTAAGACCCACTGTCAACCAACAAAGAATCTCTATATTTTAGAAAGAATCTTTATAAGCCTCTATATTTTACGGAGCATTCTTTATTTCGCAACTTCTCAACTGTCTGCTCAATTTCACATATTTCTATGTCAGAAAATAAAAATGTGTGTCTAGTCTCAACAACTTGCAACATTTCAAGCACCTTGAGCTAATAGACTGAGCTAGTAGACCAGGCTGTTTATCTATGTAACATTAAGATATAAGTTTTTGGCTAAGGCCCCATTTACACGAATACGTTTTCAAAAAGCTGCGTTTTCAAAAAAATCCACTCTGGAAAGCTTTTTTAAAAAGTTGCGTATTCATTCGCAGACTTTCCGTTTTCATGTAGACAGTAAGCTAACACGCAAAAATAAAGTTGCGTTTTCATTTGAAAACGTACTCCTGTAGATGGGGCCTAAGGCTCTTAGACCAGAACACCTAAACTCTCGAGATTAGACGATTATTTTGTACAGCTGTGTCTGTGTTGAAGCAAGGTTAAAGATCCCCTTGTTCACATGAGAATCACGTTTCTTTTAAGAAATCCATTAACCACTGCGATCGTGTTACTTTCCCACGCATAACAGACCGCCCTAGTATCATATTTCAAATTTACAGCTCAGACAAAAATTTTACATTTGATTATTTCAACACGTAACAACCTCCCTTTAAAATCCTTATTCTCCATACCTTATGAAGAGGCCTATTTTTAATGTGTGTCAAAAGCCTGAACTAAAGCATACCTGACAGATAAAGGTTTGCTCGTCCTCGCAAAAATGATCATACCACAAGAATCTGCGTCTGCCCCGCGTTTGCAGTTCGACGCAGTCTTGGCCCGGAGATTCGTCATCAGGCTCCCCCGGAGCAAACCAACGGAAACTGTATCTGCTAGCTCTAGTTCCATCAGACCATTCGAATGTGCCTTCGGTTCTGCGATCGTTAGCACCTGATCAAAAATGGGAGCTAATTAATGCTACGCACTATATAAATTAAAAATACATTAAAACGGCTAGAATGAAGACCAACAAAGCAATACCTTTCCACTCACTATGAATGATTTCCTAGCTGCTCTTTTAACGGAACACCTTCTGCTACCATACTTATCATATAGAAAGACATGATCTTCTCGACTATGTGTAGGCGATATTGCAACCCGATGGATCAAGAAACCTTTCAAATGCTACTTTACTGCAGTTAATTCTTTATGACTTCAAAAATTATCTCGAGGCAACATTAAACTATATTCAGACCTCTGAAAGGTTTAAATAAGTAGTTTTAGAAATATTCTATCCTGTGTAATTTGTCTTTCCTTATTTTTGTTTTGTTAATGTGATATGACATTCTTAAAAATCTTAGATATCTAAATTGTAAATACTTAATAAATGCTTAATTTTCAAGCAGAAACAACCGGGCTAAGGACATTGGCAATTAAAGGTACAAAATGAAGAAGAGAAACTCAATCTTGTACATAACAACAGGAAGGAAAGCTTTTTTTCAAAAGAGGATGACAACAGGCCACGTAAGTCCCGTGAAGTCCCGTGGCTCTCGGGGTATTGCAAAAAAATAATATAAAAAAAATCTTTAAAAAATCTTGGGTACACGAGCACAAATATGATAAATATGCATATCCCAAAATGCAGATCCCAAACTTTGACAACAGAAACGAGAAATCTCACCGATCCATACTGTTCTTCGCCTCCGATCGAAATGCCTCACGATGCGGAACATGAAGTAGTTGGTTGCCCAGTCACGAATTGTGACCAAATCACCCCCAAGCCTAAAAAGAACAGTTATGCAATTATTGAAACAGCTGACAATAAGAGCGAATTGGGGTGGGGCAGGAGCGTCTGGAGGGGGATGGGCGGGGCAAAATGTCAAGGACCCATGTTCCAACGGGGTCAGTGATAATAACCATACACCTTGCTACTTTAAGGTTGTTATAAGATCTATTTACAACGCAGACAACTTATTCCTTCAGCTTCTTATATTGAATCTATGCCTGTAAATTTATCACAGAAAAAAACGATGTGTATGTCCTTGACTTGTGAATAAAATGTTTTCGTACAATATTGTAAAGAATCCTTGAAAAACTTCCTTAACAATGGTTACTAAAGAGATTTCCCTGGTTCTCGGAGATACTGCAGGGCGTGGCCACATCAAATTTTCTTAATCAAGGAGGCCCAGATATGTAAATCACTCCTGGGCCTGAGCTGCCTCTCAACGGCCCTGATAAAGGCTTGTATAGAGAGAACTTAAAAAAAGCCAATCGTAGCATAGCCTGATAACCAGACCCCGACTTCAAATATTTTGTTGCATGGAATTGAGGTTCTCCAACACGATTTGGCGCTGCACTGAACAGACCCTTTGAAATCGGGGTCTGGTTATCAGGCTAATCGCAGAAGACCTTTGACGTCATCGTGGGGTCTTCTTGAGCCTTCACACTTTTGGAATACTACCAAACCGAAAGGGTAGACTTAATAATACATATCCATGCTGCCGTCAATTAAGAAATAAAGATGAATCCCGTTTACTCATACCACAGAAATTCGAACTTTCATTAAGTTGGTGTGATTTTCAATCTTCCCTGGATTCTAAATTCAAGTTTAAAATTGTACCCCGGAAATATTGGACATGCGCTAAGTCAGATCGATTCGTTATCCGTCTCCCAACCCCTTTAAAGGTCCCGATTTAACGAGGTTCAACTGTACTATAAAATGATTCTCAATAAAAATCTTGCTATGCACAAAAAATGGATACAACAAAAGCAACAAAGTACGATAAAAAGATCTTTGATAGAAAAAACGTGATGATGTCATACCTCCTGCAGTAATATTGGGCATCAACCCATTGCATTGGCTGGTTTACATATAAGTAGCATCGGTTGCATCTCTGAACCCATCCTTAAAATTTAAATGAACAAAATCATCTAACGTGCATTGCTTCATTAGACTGGGGGGCCTTTTAGGACCCTCCTCCACTCAGTGGTGGTTTTAAAGGGGGTCCAGGGGGCCATGGCCCAAGGCCCCGCGCGTATGGTAGCCGAAATTGGCCCCCCCACACCTAAGTAAAAGATAGAAATTGTAAAGAACAAGGGCCCCGCAGATGTTTTTGGCCCGGGCCCGCAGTCCCTAAAACCGCGGCTGGGTTCATTCTAACCTTGAAAGGAAAAGTACTTTTTCCAATCCATATGCTGCCTGGTACTAAAAGCCATTGGTAATGGTGAAATCGTGCAATCGATCAACAAACAGAAAGTCTAGTTTTTTAACAAACAGCTAACTTGATACATAAGTTGATATTTGCAAAGATCCAATGTTAACCTTCGAGAGACTAGAACATTAGCAAAATAAGGAGAGCTTGATTCAGTCACAGCTATACGAAATGAGTGAAGAAAGAAAATAAAGGGAAGCAAGGTTCTGTTCCAATGCTCTCTTTCTATACAAGTACAAGTCGGCATCTTTCACTTTAAATGGGATACGTTCAGGGATGCGGTGTTTATCTTGGTGCTATAATAGGAACAAGGAGGGCTCTTGTGATTTTTGATGCAAAAAATAACAGCTAGGAGAAGAAAAGTGCTACTTTTTTGCATTAACAAGAGGGCCTCAGTCCTCGAGCACCTCTAGCCCTACACCCCTACACCCCTACAATATGATCATTCCTGTTGGGTGTGTTCTCCTCATATTTTTTCATCGCAATATACGCAATATGCCTTGGAATTCTATGCATGCTGCGTGGGTAGAGATTTGAGAATCTCTTTGCTGACAAGCACGTGGTTGAAAGCCAAGTTGGTGACTAACACTTGTAATTTCTATAGCAACCAAGGCATATCAAACAAATACTACTGTGCAAAGACTTTGAATACTTTTTTGTTTAGCCATTTAAAAGCATAAAATATATGAATCAGTATGTCTTCAGTGCTATACGTAAATCCGTTTCCACAAAATAAAAAGCCCTCATTGAGTACGTTTCTTATGTAACAATGGTTTGTTGATACCATCAATTTTATCATGTTGCAGGAGTTAGTTTTTTGATGTTTTCGATTTAAACGCATGTTAAACCCCTTCTAAAGCGGTGCTATAAGAACTTGGCTTTTTTAAAATAAAATTTTCTTTTCGGAGATTTGAGTTTAAATGACCCAATGAAACAAGCAATATTGCGTCACTATTTTGTGTGTCATAGGTCTTTCGGCCTAGGTATAAGGAAAAATTTCGCAATCTTTATTTGGTGGCTTTTCCTTGATATTGGTCTGAAACAGAGTATGGCTTGGAAATAACTCGACGACAAAAAAATGTATTGTCTCTTTCAGTAATAACTCTGTCATTAACGGTAATAACTTTCTATCTCTAAGATATTTAAATTTATAAAAAGAGTACCGGTCTCAGTCACTCGGCCAATCAAGTGGTAAGGTTCTTCTTGACAATTTCAGCAAAGATTTTGACACAACCTCGCTTTTGACAATACGGAACGAGGAAGCGCAAAAAAATATCCCTGGCGATTCAACTATTCAGTAAATATTTTATCTAAGTTCATAATAGACAATTGTTGGCGTAAACCAACATTGTCAAAGCTTTGTAAACAATCCATCAAAAGAGAGCGCAAGTTTCGAAACATTTTAAAGGAACCAAGATCAACTGGTCTTGATCTTTACAAGCAACAGGTAAATATATAAGAATTTTTGTTTATTTCTCTAAAATAATTTACTTGGCATAGAATCCATTAAAAATTGAGCATCGTGAAATGAATTATAACTGTCGAAACGAAAACTGATAATAACGGCTTTAAGGATATCTGAGAAATTTATGAAAGACATTTCGAGTATGGAATTGTCCGGAGCCGGTTTGGAATAGCCGTCCGGAGATATTAATACTGGCCAAAAAACCGGAAACTGGCAAAAGTTGGAGCCAAAGAGGGATTTCAGAGCGACATCTTGAAAATAACGTTTTCACTATTTTCTTTAAAAGACGCACGACGGAAATAAAGCCACTAACACAAACCTACGAGTTGGCAAACAAAGCTAATCCTTTTTTTCTTTTTTTATACCGCTTTTTAACTTATAAACTTAATTTTTTCGTCTTTTGAGAAAGTGAACGCAACAAACGATGAAAAAGCAATCACATGCGAGATCTCACAACCGGTCGACATCGGTTGTCTATATTCAGACTACCCAGACCCCTGGCATGTCGGGTGTTATTGAAAAATTTGGAAATGAGGATGTCCCCTCCATGTTTTTGTTCGGTAGAGCTCAAGGTTTCGCCTCTCTATAATTTTTCAAGTGGGCCTAATCAAACGTAGAATTATAAGAACTTCATTTGGATAAATTAATAGTCTTTTCCAAGGGAAATTAGCCATAGGGCAAACCTTTGTTTATATAGAGGGGAGGATAATAGACTATTGTTTAAAGCAATGGAAAGCAACTTGGGCTCCAAGGGGCAATTGTCCCTAGTTAGTATGTTAAAAAGGACTCTGGATAAATTCCTTTAAAATCCGTTTTCTTTGTTACTTAGGGATACAGAGGGTATAGATACACACACACAGGCCCCAAATTTTGATAAACCCATGGTACTTCATGTATCATAAATAAAACCATATGGGTTTTATGCCTATGAAGAAAGCATGGAACTTGGATTTGTACACAGATTTCAATAGGGTGCTGGAACAGTTCCAGAACTTGGCATTTCCACAGATGAACATTAATTGATTAAAATAACAAAGTATTTACCTTGAGGGCACTGATAGTGTCTTCGATAATAGTCATTATTCTGGTTCTGCAATAGAAAAAAGAATTCATTAGAGAACAACAAAGCAAAAGAAATTTTGAAAACCTTAATATTAAATTTTATAAAATATGATCATTGATTCAAATTTGTAGTCTTGGAATTTGAATTTTCACTTTAGATTTCAATTGCATTCTAGATTTATAATCAAAATTAAAAAAACGAAGTTGCAACTGCCAACCCTAGTAGTTCTTTTTCAATACTATTGCGTGAAAATAAATTGTGATAAAGGGAAAAAATTATTAAAGGGGTAAAATTTTGCAAATTAATATCATGCTAATAACGGAGAATAATAAAGTTCTGGATCGTGTTTTTAAAGGTTGCAGATGGAGGAGAGAAAGTGTTGTAAAAATACAATGGATGCGAACGACGTTTGAATAAATTAGAATAAATTAATGGGGAAGTAAAAAGAGATACATTAACAGCAAAAATTTTCGTCAGATAGATTTTTGGCGGATAAACTTCGTTGAAAAAATTTCGGACAACTTTTCAAAATTTTGTCGTAGATTTTTAACATAAAGATAGCAACATATTACCAAAATCTTCAGAGGCAAAACCATACAGATTGCTTTATACTCAATCTCATAGGTAACGACTTCATGGAGACGTGGGAGCTTGAGCACCCGCTTAGAAACTTGCTCAACCCCCAGGCAGCATGTCAGAAAAACCAATTGAGCGGTTATTTACTCAGTTTAGGCAAAGGCGGGGTCAACAGAGATGCGTTGAGCATTCAAACAGTCTCTACTCTATATCAAAATGGTATGAAAGTTTATGTAGAAGTGTGAATATAAGTATAAGATTCGGAAAGCATAAGACAATTTCCAACAGGAAATGTTGGTCTGGAAAGTTCGCTTCTGTTGAGTTCAAAATTTGGGTTGAAAAATGCAAATACCTTGAACGAATGAAAGAAACAGTACAGTTGAGTAAAAAAAGACAGAGGTAGAATCTTTTGAAACCGGAAACAAAAGACAGTGTAAGATGGGGGGAGGCAAAAGCGCGTTGATCAAGGGAAAATGGAGTCTACATCCTTTAGAACGGCAGATGACGTTTTTTACAAATATAACTTTTGCCATGGGGGGCACCCGCCCCTCTTGCCTCCCTCTCGCTACGCAACTAAGAACTATTTTAATTGAACAATGATGATAACGAAGTTAGTTCAAGGACCGACAATGGTGATGATGATTATGATTATGATATTTTGTCATAACGAAATTTTTTGTAGTTAATGTAGAATATTGGAAATGACGATGGAGCGAATAGAGAATTTAGATTTAGAACAACAGATGGAGGGTTGCACTCCTTTGGTATTTCATAAATAATTGCTTATTATTTTATTGTGTATAAGTTCCTTGCTTGTTTAATAGTAAGTTTGTTCCTCCTTTGTTCGTTTAGGCCGGGGCGGGGGGCTGGGAGGCATTCCCCCCCCCCCCCACTTATCTCAAAAAAGAATTTTGAGCCAAAAGATGAAAGAAATGTACTTCATCATTCTCTTACTAACTGTGCTTAGTAATCCGTTAAATGTTTCCTTAGCTTTTGCCTGGTTGTTATGTTTTCACCATAGAAGATATAAACTAGAAATAGCTCTTGCTAGTACTGCCCGCAAACAATTAGTTCCTTGATAATGATTGTTTTGAAAATGTAGGTCAGGATATTCGAAGAAGACACCATCTTGGGTTTTCACAATTCTATAAAAACAGCTGCTCTAGTTGATGCTAAACTATTCTTTTTATCAAGAATTTTTGGTGTTCAGTTTGCCTTTGATTTAAGTCCAACGCCCTTTTGAAAATCATGAAGTTTTTCGAGGGTTTGACATTTATTTTTCGATAATCACGACAATCATAACTTTTGCTCGTACGGTCTCGAGTTTTTGGGAGAAAAGTGTGGCATTCGACTGGTTTTGATTCCCAAAACTTCAAATCAAAACTTCCATCCATTGCGGAGAACAGAGCTGTGATACAGCACCGTTTTCGTGCCAACAATCATAACTTTTGCTCGTACGGTCTCGAGTTTTTGGGAGAAAAGTGTGGGATTCGACTGGTTTTGATTCCCAAAACTTCGAATCAAAACTTCCATCCATTGCGGAGAACAGAGCTGTGATGCAGCACCGTTTTCGTGCCAAAAAACCGAAGGCCTTTAACAGAGTCTTGGCAGAGCAACGCTCCGAAGATAATTCCCTTCCGCACAAAGAGGTGGCGGTTAACGACCTCCTCGACAAAGCCGATTGATTGACAATGAAATTGATTGACAGTTGTCATGGCAGCAGAAAAGTGACAAAATCTGCTGAAAAAGTGCTGACAACATGAACTGAAGCTTCCATATGCTACTTATACGCGGGGCAGACTATAAGCCCTTCACTCGCGCGCTATCGCGCGCGAGTTGCGGGCAATAAAATTAAATATGGGAATTTCATCGAAGAAATCGGTCATTGTGAAAGGTGTGCAACGAGTAACAGCTTGGCTTAAAAAATAGGTCGAGAAACTTGATCCAGAATAACTTGATGCAAACACAAATAGACGCAGTTTCCTTTATTCTATGGCCTAAACTTGGCCAACAAGGTCTATTTTTTTACAAAAACGTTCTCAGAAACATTACAAAATGAGAGAAATCAGCTGTCGAAGGAAAAGAAACAGCTCGAAAGAACATTTTTTGAGGATATGAGAAATAAAGCACGGGCAGATTTGTTCTTCAAAGTTTGATCATATCGATAATTAATCCCGAATAAGAAATAGAAAATATAGACGCAATTATAAATTCTATTAAAACTCGTTTTGGCCAGCAGATTTTTCAAATCTAGAGTCTTCTTGTAAAAACACTTTATTTCCGAAAAATTTAAGATCAGGTCTTTCCTAAGCCTTTGGAAGACTTCGATATTTTGGCACCTCCACATTCAAATACGTTTCGCCAGCCCTGCTGAATATTGTAATTGTGATAAGAATAATAATAGCCAAATAAGGAGCCAAATGACAATGTCCATCGAAGGAACATATTCTCGTGGCCAAATGTGTTTCGTAATATATGAGACAAATACGGGTTTGAAAGTAATCTTACGACAGTGTTTGGTTCTCGACTTTCTATTCTGTTTGCACACGAGATTGCCGTGCCTTTAGTTACCCTGTGACTGACTAATACCATATTTTGGTGTAATACATACGATTATGATGCCAAAAAACATGAGGTCGAAGAATCACATAGGCTAATAGTTCACACAGCAAAAAATACAGGGAAAGGAGTTCAGGAAAAGGACTGAAAGGCACGACATTAGATAATGCGAGCTCAAAAGAAATGAAAAAAAAACTGTTTAAATTATGGCAAAGTTCAATGTTAGGGACTGCAATATAGGGGCTTCAATATAATTTTGAGGAACCTTTGGCAAAAATGTAATTCATAACGCCCCTTTTCGTCGAGAAAAAATTAATTAATTGTTTTGTTCTGCCCAAATTCCTTCATGATGAATCTTTAGGACAGTCAAAGGACGGCGAATGTACATCCACTCCTAGAAGCCACCCTTCAGCCGAAGTCAGTGGATTACACTATGCGAAAATATTAGTGCCAAGGTCGACTTTAAGTTGTTTATAACATGTCCAAAAGCTAAACTTCACACCCGCCTACAAGTTGAACTGACGGCCGTTGTTTGCATTCTCCTTCTTTGCCCCTGTAAGGATACCTATGCAATCTACCAATGGGACATCTGCGGTGAAGTAAAACAAATAGCGGAGGATGCTTGATAAGCTTTTGTAGGTAGCATTTGTGGTAGCATCATTTGCGATCAATGAATAGAGCGGAGGAGGGAGAAATCCCAACTTCTTGTCCTTTGTGCTCACATTTTCGGACAGACTTGAAGGGCAATGCCGACAAGCGAAAGACAATATAAACATATTGGATGTTCAACGCAAGGATGGAGATTTCAAGATAATGACCAAAATAATCAAACTTATGGACCTCAAAGCTTCGCAAAAATGTATCTGGAAATTCTTGGCATCTTGAAGAGAAAACGTTGTGTCTGGAAAAGGAAATCTCATTTGCAATTTTAATGAGAAGGATTTTCAGTCTTCAAAACGCTAACTAGACCTAAAAGGAGCCTTTTAGCACAACGGATTGCATTCAATTTGGCTATGTTTGGAGGTAAACATACAAAGTAATTTATCCATGAAAAAGCCAAACTTAACCCCTTTTCCATTTCAAAACATTTGCAACCACTAAAGTGAAAATAGTGGAACTTTTCTAAGGCAGCTGCTGATAAAAATGAACCAGAAGTGTGTTTGCACCACAGTGAGGCCAGAGAGTGGTGTGGCCGACACACCATTTATTAAACGTCAAAATATCAGCTCTCTTTCATTAAAATTTTCCATCTTTACAAATATAAAATGGCAATAAAACTGTCTAGCGATATGAGACTGTTTTGAAAAGGTTCCAATTAGCAAGGACAAAGTACGAAATAAACAACTCAATCAGAACGATTATTTCCAAATGGTAATTAAATTCCAAGCAATTCAGAGGGATTTATCAGAAAAGCTGTACGTCGGTGACAAAGGGGGCAAACAATAAACAAAATGGGGGTATAGGCTATATAGGTTGGGAGCATAGGTTGGGAGGCAGTTGGTTTGGTTGTTCCGTCTGTTGTGAAATGCCTTTTCTACATACCGTTTGCATTGCAACTGATTCCATATAAATGAAAAAATGATTTTCACCAATTGCTCGTGTTAAAGAATATCGGTATTGCGAGGAAACCTAATCGCTGTTACCAGTTCAGTTGACGTCATCGATTTAGCATCTCGATAGCTACAGAACTTTATAAAAAAAACCAACCTCATATTTGAAATTGTTATGTTGAAATAAATCTACACGGTAACTTGCATGTTTTCGGCACACACTAATTTCAACACGAAGTTTCCAATTTCATAATCATTTCTTGGCAAATATGATTATAAACAATTGACAACGCTATAACTTTGAATCGTGAATACAAGAAGAAATACCAGACGGATTACATATCCTCGCGAAGAATGGAAAAAGACAAAAGGTTTTGCAGCTCTGCAGGTAAATCTCGACTTGAAACGTCGACAAATATGATAAAAGGAACCCGGAATCTTAGCTTTTATTGCTTCAAATAAAGAGATTGGTTTCCCAAAAACATGTTACTGGAAGCAATTTATGCTTTGAGGTAGTTTTTTTATTAAAGTTAAAAATCCTGCTTTATATGATAATAGGGCGGTCGGTTTAACCTGGACCTTTATATGGACGATAGTTTTCTAAATTTACTTGCTATCGCTACAAACAGGGAGAAACTTTCTCTTGAAAAAGAAATGGACATACCAAATCGTTTGTTCACAATTACTTTTATTTTGTTACCGAATTGCAAAGTTTATCTATGTTTGAATTGTAATACGACGGGTTGATTACTCACCGAATCTTCAACTTGACCAGAGGCAGCAACAACGAGCATCAAAGAGACGATGATCCTCAAATTCAATTCCATTATATCACGTACTTCAAATCCAGTTATTTCTTGTTAAATATCGACAAAATTTCTGTTCTTGTATATTCAGCCGGACCAGCCAGCCTAAGTTATCTTTGGGTCACTGGTCTACAGTGCTCGCCTTTTCACTTAAAAGAAAGGAACTGACAAAGGGTTTCTTTTATTTACCAAAGGGCCCTATTGTTCCAATACTTTTGTTGACAAGTGCAAACAAGGAAGCGGAGGACTTCATTTCGTAACAATACCCATGTGGGTTGTCAATGTGCGTGTCAAAGCCCCTGGATACGCCCGTGACCTCTGATTACCGTTAATTTTTATGACGTCACCTTCGTGATGCAACCATCCGAAGTTTGTGTGGGGCAGGGGATGGAGGATTTGTACATTTCTGTATTTGAGAAACGTATGCCCAAGGTGTTGTTTTGGGTAAGCCACTTGTGTCATGAATATCAAAACCTTGATAGCAAAAGTTGGGAGATCACACAGCTTGATTGGGTATGAAAGTTTAAAAGAGCTTTCTGTTGATTTATTCTTATCCCAAAAATTGTCATTTCGGTTTAAATTTATAGCCCCCAACAATGTATAAGAGAGCATCCCCCTACAGGCAGATAAAGCAGGCCCTACCTTCATGGAAAGGATTAGTAAGGCTGTAGAGTCCATGGGCTCCGAAGCAGGTTGAAAAGTGGAGGGGCCAAGAGAAAATTTTACAATCATAACAAAAGTTTTTAAAAAACGCTCTATTGTTTTGCAAGAAAGTTAGGGGGCCATGGCCCCCCGGCCCCCCCTTCGTCGGAGGCCCTGGGGTCACGAAAAGTAATAAAGTTAGTGCTACGCTCACAGTTGCAATTTCTTGAGGTTCATAGCCCACCGATAAACCGTAACCGCTGACCCTTTTGGTCTAACGTGATTCAAAGTTTCCTGTCACATTCGGGGAAGGCTATAAATAAAGTATGCAGGAATTACGAAACTAACTTGCAATTGCAATTCGATACAATCAATTTTATGATTCAACAAGTGTGCATGACAATGGAAGTTAGTTGATTTTCACTCGTGATGAACACATAAACAGGGCATAAACACCTTCATGAATATTTTTGAATCAGCAAATTTTCATTTGTGGATTTTTCACAAAATCATCGAAACCACAGTGGAATTTTTTCAACATACGAAGAATCCGATCCGGATACTTATTTAATCCCATGACGTAATAGTGACTCGACCCCTATGTTAACCGGTGAAGCTGTGAAAGCTATGAATTCAAGTGGACGGCCAAATTACTGACGAGTAATGCAGGAAACTAAAACTCCATGTTCTGTTACGGTCTTAGGCACAGATCTTAATTAGGTGAAGGCCTTGGAACATCAGAATATAGTAGGAAAGGTTGGGGTTGGGGTGCTGTAACACAAGGTTCTATTCCAGGCCCCCTTCTTTAAGCAAATCAATTAACGACATTGTTTTCAATAGAAAGAATGTTGTCTTTGTGACTGTATTTATGGGAACATTTTGGTTCAAAGAGCCAGTAGCGGCGCCACGGGGAGACTGGGGGGGACACGTCCCTCCCCCAGTTCTTGGCAGGATCAGTTTTGCATTTCGTCTAAATCCGATGAGAAAATGTTGGGAGAGGGGTCATATTTTGGCAACGTACTTTTTGTGATGTAATCCTATGATTTTCAAACTGCCTTTACATAGCCAAAAGTGAGTCATCGGCGTTCCCTTCAGGTAAAAATTGCGTTCTTTGTTAGTAAAAGGGCGTTTTCTGGTTCTAAAAGGGGCATGGTCTGAAATCTTTTGTTTTGTCCCCCCCCCCTCCCAGAGTGCAGTGGCTGGCGCCGCCATTGCAAAGAGCCACTATTCGCAATGTAAACACAAAGCAAAAAGGAGACATAGAGTGCCAAAGTGATGACGTCATAAAAATCTATTTTTAGAATTTCTGAATTTTGATCCTGGAATCTAAAAGAGCATCACGAAATACCTCTTAATATGCAAAATCAGTTAAAGGCATCATGAATTGGCTTAGATATGGCCACATAAGGACAAGCTTGCCTCATCAAACCTCTGTAATTTGGTCTTGGTTCATAACTTTATGAACCAGGCCAGAATAACAGTGATCCATTAGCAAACTTGAAATCTTTCATTGGCCATATCTCGCCCAGTTTGGAACATATCCAACTAATTTTGCACAATGAGAGGTATTTTATGTCGTTCTTTCAGATTATGCGACAAAATTTTAGAAAATCTAAAAATATATTTTTGCTGACGTCACACTTCGGTACTCTATATTGAGATTGTCTAAGGGCTCTACATCAGTAGAGGCTGCTGATCAAACTTTTTAGATGTAGAAGCTACATGAAAATCTCAATGTGTCTTAAAAGTGAAAATGTTATGGTATCAGTGCCACAACCAACAGAGGAAATACTGAAACAATTCGAATAGCTAAAACAGGCATGCACAAAATTGAATTGTCAAGTTAAAGAGAGCCTAATTTGCTTCGCGTTGCCATTCATAATAAACCTGATGATATGGAAAGAAGCAGGTAAAAAGAATTGCATCTTACTTTTAAGATCTTCAATAGTTGGACAGAGATACCACAGAATATCTATCTATCTATCTATCTATCTATCTATCTATCTATCTATCTATCTATCTATCTATCTATCTATCTATCTATCTATCTATCTATCTATCTATCTATCTATCTATCTATCTATCTATCTAATCTATCTATCTATCTATCTATCTATCTATCTATCTATCTATCTATCTATCTATCTATCTATCTATATCTATCTATCTATCTATCTATCTATCTATCTATCTATCTACTATCTATTTATCTATCTATCTATCTATGCTATCTATCTATCTACTAATCTATCTATCTATCTATCTATCTATCTATCTATCTATCTATCTATCTATCTATCTATCTATCTATCTATCTATCTATCTATCTATCTATCTATCTATCTATCTATCTATCTATCTATCTATCTATCTATCTAAGTACCATGTCCTCATAGGACGTAGGTGACTATGGATTCCCACAAATCAGCACCTTCTTCGCTGTAAAATTTCCCTGCTCCTCAACAGGCAATTGGGTCTGTTAGAAAACATGAAGACTCTGCGGAGGACACGTTGTAAATAATGAGTATTGTTTAATTTATTTTCGTGATATATATAAAGGGATTTAATTGAGGTTGGGGGAGACAATCACTGATAGGTTTTTGGTTATTGGATTGCTTGAATGAGGAACGCGTCTACGGAATTAAAATTGGATATGTTAAGAGTATATATTATGGATATCGGTTTGTAATCGTTTATATTAGAATCTAGATTGTAGATTCACTGTTAACCAATATGACTGACTGAGAGAACCTTGGAATCATAGCCAGTTTGTTTTTTCCTCTTGTTCATCTTGACCTTAATTTATCGTACGGGAACATTGCTCGGTTTAACTATTCCGGCAGAAATTGTTTATTTGGCAATGTTACCCAACATTTTATGATGCCGACGCATGCGCACATACAAAATTGGCAAGAAATGTTTCAAGAATTCTACCATCTTTTTATGCTTCCTTTCCGCGTTCAATATCTGAACGTTTTTGGTAGAATAACGCTTTATTTTGAAACAAAATCTAAAATAATGAGCCCACGCAGGAAAATTGGAAATGTGAAGTTTCAACTTTTCTGCGTGGCCTATCTTATCTTCCACCCTGTCTATATTTACAGGTTGTCACTGTTATTAATGCTTCAAATCGATGATAACTTTCATCTTATGAGCGTTTGCTAATGATAGCATACAAGATAGCACGGAATATGAGTAAACTGGAATCATTTAATTCGAAAACCGAATATCGGGGTTATCCTAAGCCCCTAACCCTCTGCTAAATTTGTCTTTTTGTGTTTTTTGGGGCTATTACTCTATCCATTTGTATGAATCAATAAACAAGTACATCATATGCATATGTACATTGGCTTCAGGGGCGCAGTGGGAGTTAACTTTTTGGGGGGGCAAAGCTGAAAATTTTCCGATAAAACTATGATTTTTCCGACAAATTTTTTCTCAATACATTCCTTGAAGATTACCCTTGCTGCATATACTACAACACTTGATACTACAATATCACGAATGGATCTGGAAATCGTTAACGAATGAATCGTTCGTTATATACCTTCAAGTTCAACAATAGCCTTTATTCTAACAAAACTTACCAAATATAAATCGCTATGAACAAAACTGCAACTAGTTATAAATTTACACCCTACAAGTCTTCTCGCTATACTAGACAATAAACTGCCAAGTTAGTGTTTATAGATGTTTATAGCAAAAAGTTTTTGGCAAGTTTTAAGTCGCATCATAATTACTTTGCATTTATTTATGCTAAACCTTAAATAGATATAACGCGTCCAAAAGAATAGTTTTCTTTTAACTGAATTTATATAAACTGTTACTCAAGCAGCATCTTTCTCAAAAGAGGTGTGGCAGCATACAAATCGATGATGTCACCATAGTCTATCGACTGTAAAATATCACTTTTGACGTTGATTGTTAACAAAGAGGAAAGGCGGTCCTGTCCCATCGTTGACCGTAGCCGATTTTTTTACAATCCTTAGCTTTGAAAAAGCTCTTTCATAGTTTGTTAAACCTATTGGCAAAGTGACGAGAACCTTGTAAAGAAGGACCAGCTGTGGAAAGGCACTTTGCAGGTTATACTTATCATCAACTGAAGAATTGAATGGAACTGAAAAGTTTTCTCTTCCTCCTGCAGCCGGGAGAGGGTTGCTCTTTTCTCTAACTTTTCAAAATTTACAGTAATCATTGGCGAAAGAGCTGTACTCATCTCTTAATTTTTCGTCATCCAGGCCGTAATTCTTCGCAACCTTTTTGAATTACACTGCACAGAACTGCCTTTCAATTGTTTTTTGAAAACATTCAGGGTTGAGCAAGGCAAAATCTGTCAAAATTGCCTTATGAGACGTAATTATTGTATTCATTGAGCTGATAGCTGTATCCACTATCACGATGATATACGGATTCCCTATTTCCCTCTAATTCATCTCTGCAATTTTCCCCTGACATCTTTTTCTTTCTGCGTATTCGTCGCTCGACAAAATTTTCCTCTTCTAAGTCATGGCGTTGATTATGCACTATTTTACGACAGGTTTAAAAAAATATGCGACCTTTTAGACAAGATCGATGAAAACCTTACATTTTGTCTAATATTTCAAATTTTCCGACAAACGTTGGATTTTCCGACAATCCGACAAAATTTTTGCCAGGGGGGGCGGCTGCCCCCCCTGCCCCCCCAGCCACTGCGCCCCTGATTGGCTTGTAGACAAATTTACGTCTCATTGCATCGTACAAAAAAGAGTTTCATTGTTACTTTTGATTCGAGACAGGCTGTTTCCCATCAGAGCCCAAATGCTCTTACCACAGGATATATTTAGCGACAGGAAAATAGCGTCATAGATTTTACTTTCGCGTCGCAAATGATTTTGAAAGCCAACGGACCTGAGAAAAATGCTATTCTAGCTTGCCACCAATTTCATTGTCGATAATTTACGCATCCAAACTTCATAATCCAGAAATGTCCTCAACCTTCCTCCGGTCAAATTCTTCCCCGTCAAAACCTTCCTCCATATTTCCAGGCAATATCCGTGGACTGGGCGTGGCTAAGGAGTGGCTAGGGGATAAGGGGTGGCAGACGCAATAAATCGAGACAAAGTTATGTGTTTGGGTCGATGGTAATTATCGCATACGATAAAACTTTGTTCGTCTGTTCGTAAAATTTTACGTCTGTTCGTGCCAACATTCACCATTCGACTCTGCGACAGATTCAACGTGTATTTTAAAAGCGCAACAAAGAAACAATTGCCAAATAAGTTGTCTCAACTATTTTTTTAAATTATACTTTGCCAAAACCTTCTTCCAAATTTCTATTGTTTCTCAAACCCTCCTCCGGTCAATGACCGTGTGACCGTAATATTTTCTGGACTCTACCAAACTCACTCTTGTTGTACAGATTACGCAATCACTGCAATTTTTCAGAGTTTCCAGCGGGCAAATTTTGACATCAACGGGATTTGCCCTTTGCGCTAGTTTCTTAGAAATATAATCTTTATTTCAAAACAATTTCCTTCAAGTATTACTTTTATGACGTAAGCAGTTAGGAAATTTATTATGATTCGAACTCATCTCCGTATAAAGGCTTTCAAAAACAGAGGAATCTTTGTGTGAAACTGTTGCGTGAAGCAAAGCGGGAATATTATAAGAATATGGATCTTAAATGTCTCAAAGATAATCGAAAATTCTTGGAAACAGTGAAGCATCTCTTTTCTGAAAATTAAAAACCCTTATAAGCGTATCTTTACTTGAAAAAACAATCGCAGATATTTTTACTATTTCGCGATAAAACAAATTTTCTAGTATCGAGGAAAAAGAATCAAACTTTGTATCAACAAATCAAATAGACGATCCTATGAGCTCGCTGTTATTAAGTAAAGCTTACATCCAAGCATTAAGAGGAAAAGGATAACAGAAAACTTTAGTTCTTCTGGTAAATTTGAATCTCGACCTTGTTGTACCGTGGAGTCAAATTTTCAAATAGCAGACCCAAAGAAAGCATCTCCGATTGATAGTATTCCAGGTAAAGTTCTGTTAAAAATTCAGATCTGCTCGTGCCATGCTTGAGCAGCACTTACAACACAAGTATATCTAAAAGCACTTTTGCAAACGAACTGAAAGCTGGGGATATTTTTAAAAAAGATGCCGCTTCCTGCAAGAAAAATTTAAGGCCAATAACTGTTCTCGTCAGATTTTCGAACGACTCATATATGAGCAAACAATGTCCTTTGCTGGGTGCTTTCTGTCTCCCGTGCTTTGCGCCTTTCGGAAATTTTGTAATACACAACGTGCGCTTTTGAAGTTATTAGAAACTTGCAAAATAGCGATGGAAAATGGCAGATGTGGCGCTATGGGGTGTCATGGGGGGCCAGCTGCCCCCAAAAGTTTCCAATGACACCCCGTCGGCAGCCGAATATATGAAAAGAAAAAGAACTGTCGGCAAAAGAAAGTACTTTGAGACCAATTATGCAACTAGGCAGACGATACTGCCTTATACGCTTCAATCTAAGATAAAGAATATAATACAAATATTAGAGCGAGATGTAAACCTACTAACAACGTAGATTCCAGAGAACTAAATGAAATTTAATGAAGATAAATGTCACCTCATTCTGTTTGGGGCAAACAAAGAAAGAGTTAATATACATATTTGTGAGACCCAGATAGAAGAAAGTGACAAGGAGAAACTAACAGGTCTTGGCAAGAAATTGAGTTTCAAAAAACATGTCCAAATGCTCTGTAAAACACTTAGTCAGAAGCTTCATGCTCTAACTCGTGGAACCGGAGAAGCTAATCTCAGCTCTCATGGAACCGGAGAAGCTAAAACTGTTAATGAAAACATTTGTTATGTCCCAGTTTAGCTATTGCCCGTTGATTTGAATGTTTCACGATAGAAACTGAACAATAAGATAAATAAAATTCACGAAGACAATGTCTCTAGCTTTGAAAAATTATTGGAAACCGATAATTCGGTCCTAATTTCATGAAGCAAATTTTCGAGAAAAAGAAACACCATAAAATGTAAAGCGTTCGGATAAACTACAACTACCAAAGCTTGCCTTGGAATCGGTACAGTCAGATTTATTGGGGAAAAATTATGAGAGGCACTAACACCAGAAATGAAAAATTCAGACTTCCTTTAGATATTAAAAATCTCTTTGAGCCTATAAATGCCAAGCTTGCAACTGCAGATTATGATATTTTATGATATTAAAACATTTTATCAAAACATGGACTTTTTATCTTAAATTGTTTTTTTTAATTGTATTCCTTTTATAGGAACTTGTAAGATTGACTGAGCATTCATATAGAAGACAATCACAAACCCCCCACAAGTCAAACAGCACCATCTGCACTACCCCTTGATCACCAGGTTCTATTCTAAGACAAAACGGTGCGTGGAAAGGTGCAAACAAGAAAAACACTTTTTGAGGGGCATGGCTGGGATTCTCTAAGGCGCCGTAATTTCTGCCACTCGTATGCGATGATTAACAAGCAACCTACAGAATATTTGCAAGAATTGGCCCTCTTTTAAAAAGAAATTCCTTCAAGTTACGACAGGCTGTTTGTTGAGAATGATGATTCTTCGACATAAACATATTTATAAGGCGTTGTTCTCTCATCTTTGATAACAGGGGCGTAGCTGGCGGGGATATAGAGGGCCTGACACCCCCCAAATGGTCATGAATGGGTCGGTAAATCTTCAGTTGGTCCATAAAATCCTTAGTTTGTGGGTAGAATCGCCATTAGTAATTAAAAAAGCACCTAAAATCTTCTTCATCTATGTCTTCGTCGGTAAATTTTACTCTTGATGACCCACGGCTCACGCCCTAGTCTGGAAGGTCAATGAAACAAGCTCAATAATCAAATTAAAATCTGTTCAATAATATCCCAGTTCAAAAAACCCCAATTTCAATAATGGGATCATCGAAGAAATAACGCGCTTCTTTTATGATATTTCTCTAAATTATCATCATTAGGGGGAAGGGGGCGGAAGTAGCAATTTTTTTCATGAAAGGAATGAAAGATATCAAATGCAGCGTATTGCTGGATGTTCCAATTACTTTTGACAGGCATTGCAGTTCAAAAAACCCCAATTTCAATAATGGGATCATCAAAGAAATATCTCTATGGAATAACTAACAGGTATCAGTATCACCCACTGATCTATAAAAAAGACTCTTTTTTATAGATCAGTATTTTTTATAGATCAGTGGTATCACCCACTCAAAGCTTCGATTCAATTCAACGACATAAACGAGCACAGGTTTCGCCACAATATATCTTGCAGAAGCCCACTTAAACCAGCAAACAGAGAATTGAATCAACACTTCACTATTTTTTGCTTATTGACGTATCATTTACTTAACAATAATATGACGTTTCTTAAAGGTCATTTAGGCTTCCAATAATTTTAGATTAACATTTATTTTAGCACGTACCAACGTTCAAAGGGGCTGGTCGGCCTTGGACACTGTTATATTTTGTAAACCTAAGTTTTAACCTTAATCTTGTACCAATCTATCCAAGGGAGGAAGCCGGAGCATCTAGAGATTTTTCAGTTCGGGGATCCCAAAGGTTTAGCATTTTTAGAACAGTATAGACAAACAACATCATATGGTAATCAACTGACTTTCCATTCATTTGGATTGATATATCGTAAGGCTTAGCGCTCCCTGAACTTGTTCATTATATCCAAAATACCACCCTCAAAGTAAGATTACCGAAATTATTTTTGCTTGGGGTCCTTAGGTTTTGAACTAAAGATAAATTTAGTCCATTATTTCACTGAATCGATCCTTAAAATATAAGTTACTTGGTTAGAAGTGACTCGATAACGTATCTCTCTCTCTCTCTCTCTCTCTCTCTCTCTCTCTCTCTCTCTCTCTCTCTCTCTCCCTCTCTCTCTCTCTCTCTCTTCGATCCTCTTCTCTCTCTCTCTCTCTCTCTCTCTCTCTCTCTCTCTCTCTCTCTCTTTCTCTCTCTCTCTCTCTTCCTATCCTTTGACTACCTCACTATGACACCTAGAATGCAGAATATTCTCAAAAGATCACGTGTCAGAAGAAAGGAACTGAATAATACGCAGTAAAACCCAAAATGTTTCAGTTTATTTACGTAAAGATTTTTAAGTATTAAATACAGACTGATTTACTTCACAACAGTAATTTCAAGGGTATCCGAAGACACACTGATTGAAAACAAAGTAGGATAGGAATCTATGGTAAAACAACAGAGATAAAATGCAGTAAATTCTTTGTAAACTCAAATCTTTGTTTTCAGCAATTAACACTATAAGGTACCAGGTAATACTTGTTTAATCATCTCCGAGTCGTCGTCCGCCACCACCCCATTGTTGACCCCCTTGTCTGTTTCCGTTGTCCTGTCTCCTGCTTGCAGGAGCTTGTCCGAAGCCAGCCACCCCTCCGCGACGATTAGGTAGATAACTGTACCTAAGAGAGTGGAATGTGTTATCAGTTTATCAATAAAAACAAGCATTATGCAAGGCAGGTAAGGTACAGAAGGTAGTATTGCACAGATAACAAGAAAGATTAATCTCTGCTTACGACCGTAATGACACGAGCAGTTCCGAAACCAGCTTCGAAAGTCGGAGAAAAGGGCATCAGTTCTACCTGTTCACGGAACAAGACGTTTTCAGACCACTTTACAACGTAAAGATCACGACCAGATTAACAAGGGCAATGCACCCCAGATGTACCACAGCCCTACCTTTTATGAAGAGGGCACTGACGTCCAAAATCCTGCCCCCTATTAGGCTAAAAAACATCCACTTTCCGGCCTTTTACTATGCAAAATATCCTTATCAGGCTCAAAACAAAAGGTGAAAATTTCTTTACATTGGAGGCCCCTTCAATTTAAGATCAGTGGCGCGGGCCCTGCAATATGGCAATTTATCATCATCAGGTACCATCTTCTATCAGAAGGTTGGCTACCATGACCCTCCAATTATCCCTATCCTCAGAATATCATTTAGCTCTCCCAATACTCTCACACCCCCTCCATCCCTGTCTCTTTTTCCGTCCATCATACCTTCCAAAACAAGCCTTGCCAAGAACACGGATGATCCCCTCATAATGTGGCCAGCAAATCTCATTTTTCTTTTTATCATTTCGTTGACTAAAACTCTCTGATGGCCAAAGCTTTTTTAGTCAATTAAGGTATAATTAAAGTCTCAGTTATTAAAATATTAACAAATCAAATGGGTTCCAAAACGTTTAAATGATATCATTGAAAGATTACATAGCTTCAATATTAGCTGCATCAGGAAACAAGCGTTTATTGACATAGAAGTAAAAACTGAATTGAAGTGAATCTTTTACAGTATTTCAACTTTCTTAAGTAGAAACGATTCTAACGTTTAAATGATTTTGTCGAACTGATTACGTCTAGCCTGGATTGTAACTGATTATGTCTAAACCTGAGTGTTTCACAAACTTTATCAATCTTTAACTACGGATTAGTCTTCATTTGAATAAAAGATGTCAGATTATGAATTCAAAAATATGTCTCTTTGTCGCCGTGGTGACAATCTTTATCATCGTAACTTGTTTCGATAAAAGTGATAGGACATAGCAGCCGCGTCGTGGTTAGCTTTAAAACGGCTTAAGAATGGCTGCACAAAAGTATCAGAGCCTGGACAGTGGATTCCAAGAAAACGTTCAACACTAGAGGAAATATTCTCAAAATATGACAATAAAAATTAGATAAAAATAAATCATATCTTGTGTTGTTACGGCAAATCGCCCTCGAAACTGTCTATTTGATGTAATATTACCATCAAGCAGAAATATTTACTCTCATGATATAAGTTTCCAGAAAGAAAGCAGTTTCTCGCAACCACAAGGTCAAGTGTCTATTTTTCAAACTATTAATATACTGATATTAGTCAGGATCAAAGCAACACGGCGACGTGAATCTAATGTAGTGAAATAGAATTTCAAAATAAATTAAATTACAAAGCCATTTTTAAATGTTTACCGCCGAAAAAAATTAAACTCTTAGGCACAAGCACAGAATAGGAATTACGAGAAGGGGAACCTCGACCCATCAGGTGAACCTGAAAATTCTAGCACATGCGTTAACTTATCCGAGGCTAAACATGTCTCTGTCGCTAAATCTTTTTTTAAAAAAAAAGTAGACAATTTTAGTAAACAAATTCAATAATGTATCATAATTACTTTACTATCTGATTAATTTATGATAATTTGGCATGGCTAAGTTCGTCTAATGAAATCGAGGTTGAAGGGGAATTAAGAAACTCTATAGATAACTCAGGCTTAAAAAAGAACAAAGGAACCGACAAGATTTACCCTTCTGCCTATTTCCTATTCTGTGGTACAAGTAGTATTTAGACCCAAGGCAGACTCCTTAGGCCATGCTCTTTCATTTTAACCAATCTTGATTTACGCGCAGGTTTAAAACATGATATAGCTATTAGTGTATGAAGAAATATTGCAAATAACTTACAGAATCTCGGGAGTTTTAATAAACTGCATTCCACCAAAGTCTTGAGGGTATTTAAAAGCAAGAAAGAAATACAGATGACCCACAAAGATGCCAATGATCTCCATAACACCGCTAAAGAGAACAAAAATCGTACCTCGATTACAGCACAATCAGAGGTTGGAAAAGAGGAAGGGTAATAATATGTGTAACCTGCATCAATTATTGCGCATATTAAAACAGGGCATGGCTAAAATAAAATGCAAGAAAATAAATCGAAAAAACATATATGTTCCACAAAAAACAAGACTGTAATATAGCGTGGTTATTGTGGATTAACCAAAACAAGATTAAACGTCTTCACTCTAAATCGCAACCACTCTAAATGGAATCGAAGAATCTATAAAGAACAGGTGCCAAATATTTCTATTTAGTATGGTAATTTTACTTTGATAAATTTCAAGTTTTTAATGGATGGCCTATTGTAGATTAAATTGTAAGTTTTTAATGGATGGCCTATTGTAGATTAAATTGTAAATTTTTAATGGATGGCCTATTGTAGATTAAATTGTAAGTTTTTAATGGATGGCCTATTGTAGATTAAATTGTAAGTTTTTAACGGATGGCCTATTGTAGATTAAATTGTAAGTTTTTAACGGATGGCCTATTGTAGATTAAATTGTAAGTTTTTAATGGATGGCCTAATAATAGAATGAATGAATGAATGAAAGTAAGAATAAATGAATGAATGAATGAATGAATGAACGAGTGAAAGAATTAATGAATGAATGAATAAACGAGTGAAAGAATGAATGAATGAATGAATGAACGAGTGAAGGAATTAATGAATGAATGAATGAATGAATAAGTGAGTGAGTGAAAGAATGGATGAACTAATTGATAAATAAATGAATGAATTAACTTCCATTCCTGTGTTACAAATGAATGATTGATTAAGCGGAAAAAAATTACACTTAAAAAATCTATTCAAAACAATTTCTCTCTTTTTAGGTGAACATCTTACTCGACAATGTCGCCGCCACACTACTTGTATACACACTGGAGAACGCAATTGTCGACCAGAAGCCGAGGACCTTAGTTGTCGAGCGCAAACGTAGTTTTATCACGACTCTATAGTTGTCACAACAACAATTGGCCGACTATCCAATCCCTAGTCCGTTAAAAGAAAAGCCTTAACGAGACGAGGCTCACACGCTAACAGGAACCAGAGGCTAAAACATAATTGCTTGCTCTTCTAAAAAGGGACCAATTTTCAAAGATGAAAATATTCAAGAGGTTGCTGATCTGCCGGTAGAAATGATTAACATATTCAGTCATCGAAACAAAGCGTTAATTTTAAAGAAAGTGAGACCAGGTCAAAGCTGAATTCCAATCAAATAAGATCACATCGACTAAAATTAAATCAAGTTAAATAAAATCGAATCATCTTTGAGCTTGTTTATCTTGTTCATGCAGCTCAATCTAGCCCGGAATGCTTTTTTAATAATCCTAGAAGCATCTACGCAAGCGATTTTATTAAAACTAACTAATTGGTCCTTTTTCAAAAGTCAATGAATTTCAATCCGAATCGATGAAGAACGACACTGAAGGAAAAAATTGAAAAAATTAAAACTGCGGAACACTGAACAATATCACGCCAATATTTGAGTTGAAGACAATCGAAAGATATCAAAGTGGCTTAAGTGTCATGTCAATCAATATTAGCCAATCAATAAACAGATGAGTCGTATCACACTCATTGATTGGTCAAATTTTGATTGACAGATGGCTGAAGCCACTTTGTTTCTGCCGGTTTCTTTGAAGTTGCGGGTATCATTATAATGAGGTTGATGGGCGAAGATTCTTACCCTTGGCCAAGAATCATATTGAATGCAGCTAATACCCAAGGGAGATACATTGCCTGTATAAGGAAGATAAAAAATATATGTTATATTGATTCAAGCTTTATCAACTGTAAACAAATATAAAGAAATTTGAAAAAATCGATATTTTGATAGAAAAAACAAAAATCGACCTAAAATGCCAAGATGAGATACAGGTCCTGATTAAGAAAGTAGCCTTAATGTCGGGGCTCAATATCAATTAACTTTTGTTATGTATTATCAATTTTTAAAATGCTGATTGTTCATTATATATTTGCATTGTCCCTGCCCCACAGAGTCCCACAGAGTCCCACAGAGTCCCACAGAGTCCCACAGAGTCCCACAGAGTCCCACAGAGTCCCACAGAGTCCCACAGAGTCCCACAGAGTCCCACAGAGTCCCACAGAGTCCCGCAGAGTCCCGTAGACGGCCTATAAAAGAAGCTCAACTACAAGAGATTGCCGCTATGTACCTTAAACTGGGTTCCAAACCAGAACTGGACGATTGTATCTTTGTTGATTTGGCACCATACATACAAGACACTCAGAATCAAAGCATCCATAAGAAACTGCAAAAATAGAAAATACCAGCATTTCAACATATTCTAACATCTTATCACTACATACATCTTTCAACCATATTTTTTGTAGCTTGATGTGTTTTGGTATCGTTATATTGATTTCAATGGCAAATTAACTAAATTGGGTCCTAATTATCGTTCTACAACGACTGAAAAGGGATATCATCTAGTGATTAAAGCATTCCTTGACATTATCAAGGAACTTCTTATTACTATCTTGGACACTAGATTAGATATATGCTATTTGCGTTAAAGCAAATCAAAAACGAAACTGACGGGAGTACATGATATGAAAAACACTTTCTCAGAGCAAGAGCATTGCTACAAAGTTAATTATATGTTCTTCTACCTCACTCAGATAAAAATAAGTTGTGTTTTGAATTGAAATTGAAAGTATTATCCGATAAACTACAGGATTATGTAACAAACTTGCATCACATGCATCCTGAGATCCTGAGAAAGAGTTCCCACTGTTAAGCATTTCTCTTAATGTTTTGCTTACAGAAACACCCAGCTGCGGAATAAGATCCCAGGCTTATTTGTAAGGGGTTCCATGATGACAGGATTAAAGCTTTGTGGAAAGGACTTTGGGCAAAATGAATACATTGGAGCCTGGATTTTTGCTAAATCTTTTGAGTAATAGTGTAATCAAAATTGGCTTCGTTTGTTACAAAAGCTCCAACTTGCTTTCAATTTCAATTTTCTGTTATCTTTTACTTTGTTTCTTGCTTCGCTATTTGCAATTTTGAGATTGTTTTAATAAAATGTTGAATATTTTCTGTGCAAAAATTATCGTTTCTTTGTATTTTATGTGGCTCTCAACATGCGGCCAAAATCCGGCCAACTTTTACTTTTTCGGCCAAATCAATCTTGGACGGCCAATAGCTTTGAAAAAACAACCAGAATAGAGGAATTTGGCCTACAAAACGGCCAAAAGGCAACCCTGACGAAAACTGTTCAGAGCAGTGCAATTGTCTAATATATATAGGTTCGTTGTATAGAGGCTGTTATGAGAGTGTTTTGAACATTTGAACAAAAAAATCTGCCGTTCAATAAGAGGTGTCCGTTGTATAGAGGTGTCTGTTAATTTAGGTTCCATTGTATCAGGTTTGAGAAAGAGAGAAAAAAACTAACATGCACATTCAACCCCCATTCAACCCTGCCTACAAGGTTAACATCATTTGATAAAAAGAACAAAAGATGTAACGCAAAATAGATACATACTGGGATGAAAACAATAAATCCAATTATCTATAAATCTGAATTAAGGAAGGTCTGTTTCAAATAATTGAAATGTTATTATGAATGAAAAGCGTCTAATCCTTGTATCGAAAGAAATTAACATATCAAAGTGGATAATCAGAAGAGGCCTAAATGGATTGATCCAGGGCCTACAAAGCAAGGGATCTCAGTATGCTGGGAACAAAGAACAAGATGACTCACTGAAGGGTTTTGAGTGGGCTTCAAGAATTATCGAAGAGGGCTTGAAGCCTGCCACTCCCTTACCCTGATTCCACACAGCTAGTGTCGATAGGAAACTAAAAAGCACAAAGAGGTGCTCTGGTAAAAGGCCATGTTACTTGAATCTCCAATGTTCACTTTGTAAAGATAAAGAAAATGAAAAGGCTTTTGTGTTCATTGTCTGGACCCTTAATAAAAACGATCATAGCTAAAGTTGGTCATACTTTACCTAAGGAATTGTAGTCAGTGCAATGCTACAAAAGCAGAATTTGTTGCATATAAGATTGATGACTTTTTGCTATTTTCTGTTTCATTAAAATTTTTGTTGCACCAGAATAATTTAACCAAATGAGAAATACAATTGGTTTTAAAGGTATAACACTAGCGAGATTTCTCATTTCTATGTCTAGAGAGGTAGGTTTTTAAAATTGCATGATTTTTAAAAAAACGTCTTGGTAACACTCCTGACCCCTGCTTTTAATAGGTCATATTTTCATCTTTGACATGATTAGGGGGTATATTTGTGGCAACATATCCGATTTTATCAACAAGCAAACTTTTATAAATGAAGAAAGTTCTGTAAAAGGCAACTTTAGCAAAGAAAAGGATACAATCAATGCTAAACTGTTCAAAATTATCATGAAAAGATAATCAGCCGGTCTTCCTTCAAATAAACCTGCAAAAAGAAAATATTGCATATATTTTATGATAGGATGTTTCAATTATAGTATAGCAATCAATCTTATAGACAAGATAAGATCATAGAGATGCTGATGATTCTGACACTTTGAGCATGGGTATGCATATGAAATATTTAATGTAGAACTTAAATTATAGCAGACCTTGCTCTGGGAATAATAAAGGTGCTCTCTAAAACGAGCTCCTTAGAAACTTGAGATACTCTATTTCGCATCGCTAAAAGAAATTTAATGGGGTAACCAAAAAAGCACCAGATATTATGAGATAAAAAACATTAACTTTCAAAACAGGTTTAGATTTTGCTTGATATTCCATTCTTGTTTTTGTAAGCCCCCGTAACTTGAAGAACTCTTTCCTTATCACTATTGGCTTCATCAAGATGCATCGCTTTGTTTCTCACAACAAGGATGCTGTTATTCTAAGATGGCATTTTTCGTCCAACACTTTTCAGAATATAAACCCTCTCTGTTTGTTCAGAGCAAATCCTTTGTTTTGATGTAAATGTTTTATTTTGGTACTTTCGTTTTTGCAAAAATACTGTGGCTGTTTTTTTCAGAACCTTTTTCTTGTATCATGCTCATGCATATGTTCCAACCCTCCCGATTTCAGAGGTCATCTCCCGACCTCGCGACAATCAAAAAATCCTCCCGATTATTGAAAAAAACTTATAATAAAAATAAAAAGCTGGTATAAAATAAAGAAGAATCAAGATCACTGTCAACAGTGCAACCTTTTCATAACGGAAGATGTATTCGATGTATTCACAACATTACAATAGTTACGACATCGGATAAATGCAGACGCCAAACTGCCAGAAGCCAGACGCCAAACTTTTTAACTTTTGCTGTTGTTTATTCATCATAAAAGATAACCTTTCTTATAATTTCAAACTAATCTAAGTGACATAAAATTGCCAAAAAAATTTGTAGGAGTTAAATCGGGGTTCGCATGGGTTCGCACTGATTGCAATAAAAACATTTCCTATAAAAATATAATTATAATTGTGCACAGTTGCGTTTCTAAACCCAGAACTTGTTAAGCCTCTTTATTTGCCCCCCCCCCCCTCCCTCACTTTCTAAGAAAGTTCTTCGATATTACTGACCTATTGATTACGAAGAACTGTTTTTCTATTAACATATTACAGACAGAGAAATTAAAGAATCCTGAGCCATTTTGAGGCCTCAGAAATGACAAAATGTCAGGAGCTTCCGGAGGCTTTGCGCCCTGGACCCCTACAAAGGCGCTGCCCTGGACCCACTGGAGGGCTCAGAGCGCTCCCTAGACCCCCAGCTCTAATTTTTCGCTCGCTCCGCTCGCGATGTCTCCCGCTTTTCCTTCTCTACAGGTTGGAAGGTATGCTCATGGAAACATGTTGGTTTATTCTATCAACTAATCACTGACTGGTGCATCCTACATACGAGCTTCACATCAACATTTAAATTTTAAAAAATAAAAACAAAGGATCCCAACTTGTGTAGACAAAATAGTTCATCTTCTCTTGGGGACTCCTCATGTTTTTGAATAATATACATTGCATTAAAAGAAACCTAGATATAAAATGTAAGCTAAAAATAAGTGGTTTTAACACTTGCTGTGCAAATTTTGACCACTCTTTTCTAAGAACACACTATAAAGAACAACAAGACTCAATTTCCCAAAAAAGCATTGTAGCCATGTCTAGTCTCAGATGAAAATTTGAAGAAAAAACAATTTGTTTTTGAAAATTTTCAGACATACTTATCACAACAAGGAAGTTAAGATCATGATTCTGATATTAATTTGATCATAACACAACTAAATGAAACAAGAAGTAAATTAACTTTTACAAGTTAAGCCAAATTTGTTTGATCGATAGATACTAAGAATTTGTAATCTTCAGGGGCATTAGAAAAGTATACACTAATAATCAAATACAAATCCTCTTTTTATGGTCTGGGACATTAAAAAATTCTTGTTGACTAAAAAGGGGTTAAAAATGAAGAGGCATTCAATAAAATATATTTACAGTGTGCTTAGGCAATGATGATGTGCAATTTTGGTACTTGTTTGTATTCATAAGAAATACATTGATTTCAAGGTAATATTAAGTAATGAGGAAAAATGTTTGCAACATACCTGACTCAAGTCTTGATGAGTAGTTGTACAAAAAGTATAAGTTTATAAGATAATGAAACCCAGTTGCTGGATTCAGAGGGAAGAAAACCAGTGATGTAAAGAGTCTCCATATCTAAAAGTAAGAAAATCATATAACAAAACCTGTTTAAATTTGTTGTGACATAGCATTGAGTTGAGAAGTAGGGACTGAATCAGAAGAGCTACATATTCATTGTGTTGTGGCAAATATTACAAAGAGTGGTGGGGGGTAAGGAGGCATCATCCCCCCCCCCCAATTCTTTGGAGCACTATGGTTTTTTATTCCAAAAGAATGGGAAAATGTGATGTCATCTTATTAAAACAATAGGCTTGCCTCCCCAATATTTGACAAAGTGCCTGCCCCTAAGCACACAGACAAAGTGTTATGCCCAAACTGTTCTGTCCTTACCAAAATCAGTTATAATTTAAAATACCTGGCAGTGACCAATTGAAAAACTGTAGTTTTTAAACAAAAAGACTGTGTTGTCAGAGCTCTCTTTTTAATACAGAAAGCTCCTTGAATTTTTCAATCAATTTTTCAATTCGCTGAGTTATTTCTGTTTCTTTCCCAAACACAAATGGCTAGTTGGTTTCAGTAAAATGGATCATCTGGTAGATCTAAGATTCACCAACATACTACTTGAAAAATGTTGCTGATATTTCAGGCTATGGAAGGCACTTTCATAGCAAGTTTTTACACATAAAATCAGACCTTTTCAATTGAAACTTTCAACTGATCTTACCCTGGTTTCTTAAAGAAATTGGCACAAGGGCAATAGACTGCCTGCAAAGCTAGGTTTATGAAGGAAATTTCTCTTCTAAGACATAAACACAATAAAAAAGCCCCCAGCATCCTGAGTTTGCACTGATCCTTCCTTGTTAAGCAAAGGTTACATTTTTAAAGTATTATACAAACTTTTAGTTTTTAAAGAATTATACAAACAATATATGTAGAAAACAAATGCAATAATATGATGCTTTGCTCTACCAAGGGTTCAAGAAAAAGTCCTGTTTCAAAGGTTCAAAAGATATTCTTTAGAAATTCTTTTAATATGAACAATTAGCTCTGTGACTCAAATATTGTTACCATCATTATTGCAGCTTTTGAAATAATAAAAATAGAAAGTTTTCTTTGCAAAATCTAGCTTGTTATTGAGAATCTCAAGATCTTCCTATAATAAGTAGTTTTATAAACTGAGCTTTGGGATCTTTCAGTAATAGTTTAGATCAGATTTGCTGGGCAGAGGTCATTGAAAATTATCTTTCTCTGAAACTGTGAATCTTGCAATCAAGTGACTTTTTGTGATGTAGCTGCCAAGGGTAATGGCTTTGTGGTGAAACAAAAGCGCCTGAGAACGCTTGTTACTTGGTTGTTACTGGGTTGTTCTGCTAGTTACGAAGTTGTTCTGCTTGTTCCTTGTTTAAGAATCGGCGATCAAAAGATACAAAATTTCTCTCTTGCATTCTAGCCCTCTCTAATATTTCTACCATTTCAATTATATTACAGCCTTTATTCTACATATACTTTGACAAATTAATTCTGACTCTCTGATGATCCCACATTCTGGTTTAATGGAAGAAGGAACCAATGCATTATATCGAGCTTGGAGTTTTGAATGGGGATACCGGAGAAGGGGGCACATGGGGTCAACTGGCCCTGTTGACTTTTGATAGAGGGGGCAAAAGGAGCCAGAGTGCTCTTTTCATTAAAGTGCTCTTGAAACAGGCTATTTTCAATAATCAGAGAGATTCATATTATGAAATTTTGATTCTAGTGCCTAATTCATGATGACTTATCAAAAGGTGTATATATAATAATTCCTTGTGCCAAAGTTAGCCAGTATTCAAGATACCTACAGAAGATTAAAATAAAATGGCAGTTATGAATAAATTAGTAGTAGCTTTCAAATGCCTTTTAGCCAAGCTGGCCCCCCTTGCCCTTTGATCATTCCGGCGTCCCTGGATGAAAGCAATGATGAATAATGTTTCAACCAATAAGCATCAACTTTCCAACAATGTTTCTGTGCCAAAACATAGTAAAACAGGTTGAAAATTGAAGCCTGCTTTCTAAAATCATGTTGAAAAATTAATCTCTAATTATCCAGCATTAAATAAGATGGTTTAATCGGATAAACCAGCAAAAATTTTGAAATTACAATTTGAAATTAAATTAATTTTGAAAAAATACAACAGACTAACTATTCATGAACATGAATTTTATTTCAATTATTTGAAACCTAGGGTGAAATCTATGTATTTGACCCAAATATCTTTGATGTACACTCAAGTTTTTTTCTGGCGATCAGTGTGAAAACCAGTAAAAAAAATTTTGGTGTACATAAATTTTTTTTAGTTGGCATGCTAAACATCAAGCCACATACATACATAGTTAACATGAAAAAGAATAGAATAAAGACTTGTAGTACCAGTTTTCTCTATTAATCAGTTTTCTTTGTCATACAATATTTACAGTTTTACTAACTGCTCATATTTATGGTGTACCTAAACAAATGTGCCAGTGAACCTTGGGCATACAGTTGACATGAGATGTACCCTGGTTTGAAATTAATTGTTTGGGGTGATTTTTATTGTAGCCTAATGGGTTTGATCAAAAACCATAGCAGTAACCAGTAAAGACCACCTTAATTCAATCTCAAGGTAATTTATTCATTTTGCAATTTTTAAAATTATATGTATTGAGCTGTTTTGTAATTGTTTGGCATAATAACATAGAGCAGCAATAATGTTTCCATTCCAATACAAATATCGTAAATAAACTTGGGTACAACAAACAAACCTGAAATTTATAAGCAACAAGCTCCCAACTCAGGAACATGTACATTGGATTCAAAAGTCCTATTCTTCCAGCAAGTGGGAACGCTATTGACAAGATGAACCACCATCTTGTTATAAGTGGGATTCCTCTAAACCAGTCTCCTATGTCGTTGTCAGGCATCTCTTTTTGTAAGATTGATTTAAACTCAATTGAGCTCCTTTCGTCTAGCGAGCTGTTATAAGTATTTAAGAAATTTTAGCACAAAGTGTGAAGAAAGGTTTAAATGATTATTTAATAAAACAGACGATCACTGATGCAGTAGTGCCCAAATCTTTCGCTTCCCGCAGATGTGTAGCTCGTCCACCATGTTCGATCCACAACATAAATGGACACAGGGGACCAATATGCTTTGTGCTGACGTCATTCATATACGTGTTCCATTTCTAGGCGACGATGTTACGATTTCTTAGATTTTCGCAATGTTTGCTTATATAAACTACCAAATTATAAATTGAGCAAAATTTAGCTTTTAAGCAGATAAACTACATTATATAATATATGAAGTAGATCATAATTCAAGAGATAATTCTCTCAATGTTACAATAATAGAATAATCATGCATAAAGAAATACCGGTATAACGAACTTCTCGGTACAACGAACTAAATGTCTGGTCCCCCGGATATAACGAACTCTCGTTATTACGAACCAATTTTAAGTCCTTTCATCATAATTATTAATTACCATCGATATAACGATATTTTTGTTTATTTATTTTCGGTGTTCATTCATTACTTTCTCTTGGGGAAAAATAATTTTTGTAATAGGCAAAACATGCCGATGATACATTTCAAGCACTGGCTGATAGACTCAGAGCACGAGATGAAAGCTTGATTGCGTCAAAAAATTGCTGCGAATGCACATTGACAAAACGAATATCTCTTTAAAACTGCCTTCACGTAACCAAAAGTATATCATGGGTGGATCATGTGTTTTTTGTATTGGTAGAAGAGCGTGTTCTAAAATGTTTTTCCAGTTCAAATTCAAATTCATTGCAATTTTAAAATAATTACTTACAAGGATAGGATTGTGTAAAGGCATAACGAAAAAATCACAACTTGCTTTAAACATTATATTTTATCTTTAAAAAGACAGAGGTGTTGCCTTGGGCACTGCGATACCAGGCGATTTTCGGGCCCAGTGTCCTATGTTTCATGTAATGGTAACAATAATAATTATTAAAGGAAAACATATAAGTTTACAGCTTCGAATTTTTTAAAGAATTTGAAGAAAAAATTGTTAACGGAACAAAAAAGAGACAAGAAAGGGAAAAGGATAAGTACGAGCAAAGGGAACATTTTTTGCCTCCTCCCCCTTCCCATAGCCTAGTGGCTAGCCTCCTACCGCAACTGAAAAAGCGATCCTTTTGAGCAATTGCTCGACTTAACCGTGGTTTGATTTTTGACTTGAACACAGTAGGAAAATCCAATGGGAAGCGAAAAATAGTCTTGTGTTGGAGAAGGACCCAGCTGAAGAACTCTAAAGATTACAGTTTTCTGAAACGAGGCCATCTAGCCGCAAAGAGGTTGAGATTAAACAAGTATTGCTCTATCTTGTCCATTGTAGAAAAGATGAAGGTTACATTTTCAGTTAAAGCTTACTCAAAGATACTTTTGCACGCTTGCAAGTATCCACATAAAGCTGTCAATGGAGTACTAATATCAGATTCAGTTCCAAATGGGACCGAAACCATAGTTGTAGACGCAATTCCGCTTTTTCACCAATGTTTGGGCCTAGCGCCTATGTTGGAAGTTGCTTTGGCTCAGGTAAGAGTCATTGTTTCATCTTTAATACGCTACAAACAGATGCAGATTTTTTTCAGTTGTGACTTTTTTCAGTTGTGACTGTTTCCTTATAAATTGCTTATATTCAAATCTAATTCAGTAATTTCCCAAGTTTTTCACCATGTTAAGTTAAAGCCCATGAATTATCTTTTAGATTGATGCTTACTGCCGTTCAAACAAACTCCAAATCGCCGGATACTATCAGGCCAACGAAAATTTCAATTTCAATGAGTATGCTTCTCTAGAGCTTTTTATGTAGTATTGATATTTCCATCTGGACTTCCTCTTCACAGGGGTGGAATCCATCACGCTAAGCAAGCTTATAGTCCCAGAGGTTGTCATTATAAAAGAGACTATATTATATAAGTCTTTTGAAAGTTGTGAATGGAAAAACGATAAAGTAAAAAGAGAATTTGATAGAGACTGATGGGACTCTGTATTTTGTTTGCTATACCAGCTGAGCTATATGGTTGTGGTCACAACACAAAACGTTGAAATCTCAAATAACTTGAAACAGGCTCAGTCATAAGCAAAGGATGCAAATGTGCTGCCCTGTACTGTAGGGCCAAAAGTCAAGTCCCAGAGTGCAAAGTATTTTTTGTGTGTGGGGAATAATTTTCAGTCGCTTATCCTTGTGCAGAAACAAATCATGTTGCAAAATAGCAGGTTAAAATCTGCAAGATTTTTTTTAAATGGCATTTGTAAGCCTCTTGGTGAGGCTGTGTGTGGGATTCGCACAAAAGTCTGTGCTGCAAATTCGTGCATTAATCAAAAAATTTTCGGAAAAAATTATTGCTTTCTTTGTGCATTCCCAAACTTTGCAGTCTTGGACAAGTCCAATTTGACTTTTCGCTTTTCACTCAGGCCTCAGCATTGGCATCTACTGTGGCCACTTTGGTGTATTGAAGTGGTTAGAGCCTATGATTCACCAACAAAAGTTAAGGTTAAGGCTGTGGAATCCAGGTTTCTTAGCTAATGATTTCATTGCAAAGATGATGAGTTTTTTGCCATGAAGGGCTGCTTCACAGACAAATTTTCAAGCTTATTAGCACATAAAGATGTCTAATCCAATTTTATAGCAAATGGGACCTAGGCCATCCCCGGGTTGCAGTTGATATAGGGTTGCATTTTTTATGATAATGTAATCTTTGATACTTCAGGTCAGTTTTGCTCTGCTAGCCGAAGTCATTTGGAGCATTTCATTTTATACCAGTGCACAGTCTGAAGTGATTCTCAATCAAAAGCCATGGTCTGTCAAAGCCATGAGTGTGCTTTTCAAGGGCAATTTCTCTGCCAAACAATAAAAACAATATCTTTTTTTGCAGGGCCTTTTGCTAAATTTTTATTTATTCCTTGCTTACATAAACTTATTCTATTTTTTTTCAAAGACCTGATCTGGTTGCTTACAAGATAGCTGAAAAACTGCAAGAGCATGCCAATCACACTTTTTTAGTAATGGTCAGTATTTGGAATTTTGCATCTATCCATGTATTTTACCAGATTGTTAGGATTAATTAGCTAATATTGTTTGTGTAGGAATAGTAAGATCTTGTGATGTGATTTGTTTCCTGTTCTTTTTCTTATATTCCATATTCTGCATTGTTCACTTTTTGTTGAAGGCTGAGTTTAAGAAACAATGTCCCAATATTATATCTTGTATTTTAGGTTGATAACACAAAGATGGGAGCTGAATGTGAAGACCTGGCCCTTAAGGTACCATAGTGATTTTGAAAGATGCCTGTTTAAAAACCTGATGCTTTGTCCATTTTAAAAGTATATTCCTTCTCAACCTGGGCAAATAAAATTATAGTTGAATCAGTTGTCAGGCATGCTGGCATTAAGTTAGCTTCAATCTTCTTGTTGTCTAGCTGCATCTCTTCCAATGATTTTTTATTGATGAAAAATTATATTGTGTATTTGATAGTTAAATATGCTTTGGTTGCTCTGCCCAACGGTATGTATGTTTTCCCTGGTCCATGGTTGTGAAATGACAATAAGGTGTATTTGACAATTTTAACAAACACATTGTGATATGTACAATGTAAGGTGTGTTTTCATGTATTTCATTGGACTTGCTCTCTTTATTTACGCCACCTTGTTAATACTTGAGAGTGTGAGATGTAATTTTGTTGAATAAAGCCTCAAATGTGCGTCTTCAAAGGTTTTGTTTTCCACATTTGTAATTCTTTTCTGTTACACCGGAGTCATGGCGTTATTTGTTGGTTGTCAACTTTTTCTTGCCTCCTACTACTATTTTGATGCAATTTTATTTTGAACACATTTTAGCTACTGATATGCCAGATTTAACACCCTACAATCCTTCACAAAATATATTGAGACCAGTGATGAAATCAGAACAAATTTATTGACAGTTATCTACTAGAGATTTATTTGATCCCCCTCCCCCTTCAAGCAATGTTGTTGAGATCTTGTTATTATATACAATCTTTGTACACAAGATTTGCAACTATTTCACCAAATCTCAACAAACAACATTGCTAGGAGGGGGCAAGGGATGGACCAGGGAAGAGGTTGCACTACCACTATAAAGATTCTCTAACTAGGGTTAACAAATGATTTCTTGCTATTGTTATATATTTATGCAACAAAAACTGAAATTTAATTGCATTCTTACAATTGAACAGCTGTACATATCACATGAGAGTAAATGGAAGCAGAAAGATGGGAACTGGTAAGTTTAGATTTATTTGATTTAATGTGTTTGCCTTTGAATCTTTCTTATTTTATCAGGAATGTTTCAATCAATTTGAACACAAACAAATATTTTGCAAACAGAACCTATATGTATAAATAGCCAACTTCCTTAGACTCTTTATAAACAACTTTGACAAACAAATAAACTTTTTCGAATTATTCAATTAAATTGGTCTCGACTTTATGAAACCTTAATTCTTTGAAACTTCATCCTTTCAAAACAGTTTTGCTTTTAGACCGTGTTGAAATATGCATAGAATATATTGAACATGGAATAATAGACACTATTAAAGCCCCTTTAAGGAGGAAGTAAGGCATCCAATTTTTCAAAATATAGGGACAATGTTCTTCTACCTCTTTGTAAGAAATATGAAATGGATCTATTCTCTATTTCAGGAATCTTCAAGATGGTGATGCTGGCCTAGCCATTGTTTCTGAACTAATACGAAGTAAAGCATACCAAACCTTGTCTGACTTTGATAATCACTTAGATGACATAACACAAGACTGGTTAAACCCATCTGTCAATAAACTTCTTTTATTACCTATTTCAAAGTAAATTTTATTTCAAGAAGTCTTAACATAAAGCATTATAGACTCATTAGCTAATAGAGAGTGCGGGAACTGTTGTCTGTAAACTCATTAGCTACTTCGTAAAATGTTGGTTGAAACTGCCGGAACCTAGTTGGTAATGAGGCACAACTATTGACATCCTTTAACTCTATATTGATTTGTGGGCCATAGCTTGTGGACCAAATCACAAATCCTTTGAGATTAGGACACTGTGCAGGTTCTGATTTAAAAATAATAACAATTTTGTTACCAGAAATGAATTTAAATGAATTGCAGTGTGGCTTAGGGCTATCAATCAGGCAATGAAGACAAAGAGGAGTGGTGAAATAAATGTGACAGAAGTTTTGAGAACATTGTTCATTTTGTATCTACCTGAGATACACATTAGATTAGCCTAATTCTAATACCCAAAATCGGTCTAAAATATACTTAAATACCGTATGGAATATTTTCACACCATAACACCGAAATAGTTAACCAAACAGTGGAACGACTGGCAAATTATTTCAAATTGCTTGCAAGTATTCAAGCACTATGTTTACTGGAAGGGACAAGATACACTAAGTAAATATGGGACAGAACACAGCAAATAAAAAGGTAGAATATTGCCAAGTGGAATAAACAAAAAATTGTATACCATTTTAATGGTTTTTTTTTCAATCAGTAATGCCCAAGACTGCTTATCATTACTTGTAAAATATCAAATTTTATGAACTAGTATCCAAAAAAAATATTAATACACTTTAGATATTTGCTTTAGAAATGCTAGCTGTTATCTCTAGAAGTGATAGGGAGAAAGGGCATTTGAATAACATCTAGATCAAATGCTCCTTTGAGAGCTATGCCTAAGCAGGCCAACACTTTGCCTCTGAGACCAACTTTATTTATGTGCCAGCAGCAAGATCCTAAAGAGGTCAAACATTATTTAGACATAATAATTTACAAATATTTATTTATCTACCTATCAGAAAAAAGCAGGGGTGAAATCTAAAACAATTTTCATATAGCCTAAGTTGTTAAAAGTCCTATCACCTAAAAATAAGTATGATTCTTTGCTGGGGATTAAAAACACTAACAAAGGATATATCAGGCTCCACTAGGGCTTTTCAAGAAAGTTTTGGTGAAAATCCATAGAAACAATGATGATCTCGTTTGATAATGTCTACCATAAAGTGATTTTTTATTCATTCAAAAACTTCCTATAAAACAGTGTCTAGTTTTAAATGCCAAATTTGTTTTTGACAAGAGGAAAGTGACTGTTTTGATTATGGGCTACATTGCTAGCTTCCATCTTATGTCGAAAATTTCTCACAAATAATTATTGCAATATAAGCTTACAATATCAGTTTTAGGGCTTTTCTTAGAGGCCAAAAATATCTTAACTTAGTGACTCTATACTTTCAGACAAAGCCAGCCAGATATTTAAACATATATTCCTTTATCATTCTATTAAAATTGAATCTGTTTCACCTCCAGCATGAAACAGATTTCCATAAATCACAAAAATGACTCCTAACTAATTTTACTAAATGATTGTAAAAAAAGGGTCAAAATATCAGCATTGACATGCAAAGCGAGAAACTGAAAATGCATCTAATTGAAATCAAAGATAGATCAGGAAATCTTACTGCTTTAAATTCAACATATTATGGATAAAGTTATTGATCCATTTCTTTAAATGTAAAATATTTTGAAATTTACTTGCGATCTTCTAAGAAAAAATTGAAAACAACCTATCTGTACTTAAGAATATAAAGGCTTAGGCTAATTAGGTCTTGATGTCATAAAAACTATTCATCAAGAGAACCATTACAAATAAAGCTTGAAGCCTCTTGAAATACATGCAATATTGAAATGGCCTAATAGTTTGAAACATCTACCAATTTTGTTTAACCTCACAATAATAAAAAACACCAATACATATATATCTTGCAAGCAAGAAGTGGGGTGTAACTTGCTTAATCACAATGGAGGCACAAGCAGGTTATGATTACCCCAGGATATAAGCATTAAACATTTTAGCTTTCACAAATCACATCTTTCTTTATAGACATTTGAATCATAACTACACTATGAAAATTTGCTAGAAAAATTGCCTTATATTTGATATAAGCTTGGGAAGAGGTATTTCAAAAAGGTTTAGAATCTCTTTTACCACGCCGCCTATGTCCTGATCCATACTTATGGGAATGATTATCATCATGATAAGTCTGGTCATATGAATTCTTTGTATTTTCACTGTGGAATTCCCTTGAATCTCGGTTGCTTGATTTGTATCTATGCTCGTGTTTTTCATCATGACTTCTATTGTGTTCATGGCTCTAAAAATGAGAACAATTTTCTCAATAGTAACATTTCAATTTTTTTCGTAAATATAGGATGACAAAATCTTAAAATAGATTCATGTACACTCCTGTGCTGAAATCTTGAAAGCGTCCAACTTCAAATTACCTCTAGTGTACCCAGTTTAGAATTTTTCCTGTCAGTAAATTTGTAGAATTTATTTTATCCAGAAAGCAATTACATATTAATGGTTACACATTCAAAAATTCCGCTGAACTTTTATAATTAATTCATCTATGTCTCCTTAACATTTACCAGAGAAGTATTACAAGTTAGAGGGAAAAGATAAGGTATGTTTTTGAAAAGGTACTGGATTTTTCATACCCATTTAACAGACAAAATAAAGCAGAAAATGACAAATAAAACGTTTTTCTAGTTTTTATTGTAGTCCAGACGCTATCAAACCTGGCAAAATGAATTCAGCTTTGACTGGCATACCCTACTCAAAATCTGGTGGGACTTTTTTTTGAAAATAAAGTTTACAAATAAAGTTTACATGATGAGTATCACATTTCAAGTTTAAAAATCCCTGACTGAGAAGATTGGAGGATAAAGAAATTCATTTACCCCCATGCCCAGTTTTAAAATAACAACCTAAATGACAGCACTTTCCAAAATTGTGTGCATCACCCCTGCTTAAATGCAGGAAAATTAATATTTCAGAAAGAACAGTGATATCAAAGAAAGGAAAACACAATTTGTTTCTTTCCAAAAGACAAAAAAGCAGTAAAATAAGAAATCTACTTTTTATGCATTCAAATAAAAGCTCTAAATAAAATGATAAAGAAACCAACCTTGTGATCTCTTGAATTTTTTCCATCTTCTCTAGCCCATTTTTCTGGCTTAATGATGGGTTTTTCAGGTGATGAAATGATGAGCTGACGAGCTTGTCTAGCATTTGCTAAATCCTGCTCGCCTATTCCTTCACATGGTGAGCGTGGCCTTCTGTTTCTATAATGATGTGAACTTCTTTTCCCTGTGTGATTTCTATCATCATGAAATTTAAAATGGGCATGGCCTGTAGCTAAATGTAAAGGTCTTTTTGGAACTTTATTCTCACTTGGGGAACTTTCATCTCCCGACCACAATGATGCTCCCCCACTACCTATTTGGTGCCCTGTTCTTTGGCAGACTTGGTCTTCAACATCTTGTGTATCAGAATTGTCATCCACAGGTGTATCATCACAGAGGTCGCCCCATGAAACACCTTCCAGGTATGGCTCAAGAATGAACTCGTCAATGTCACTACTTGTGCTACCAATATCAACAACATTATTTTTCTTTGTTTGTGCATTATCTGCTGAATTTGTATCTGGTTTATTGTTCTTTTCTGCTACATCCTGTGTTGCTGCCTCACCTATCTGTACACCACCTTCTGTATCTGATAGTCTTTTATTTAATGGCAATGATAATTGATTTGAGTTACTTAAAGATGTTGTATTACTTTTCTTTTGCTCTTCTTTAAATTCTGGCTGATGAGTCTCTGCTAATTTGTTTTCTGCTACAGATTTGCTTGAATTTGTCCTACTATGTTTAGGAATAGTCTTTGGTGACTCAAGGGGAGGAAAATCATCATTGTTTACGATATCAATCTCACATGTTGTTCCTGTTTGCTTGTCCACTGTATGGCCATACAAAACCTGAAACTGGTGTTTCACCCACTCTCTGTATTGCACTATTTCACTGGGAACCTGAATTATCCTGCTCAAGTAGGTGCTACAATAAATCAATAATCATAAAGTTAGCTTATAAAGTGGAGCTAACAAAAGCAGTAAGAGATTTCCATTACCCAGTGTGTGTTACTTGAAAATAAATGTACAAAAGACTGTAATGACAATAAAAGGTTAATTGGGTTTGATATTATTGGCAAAACTATTCTTGAAAATACTGTCCAGGGAAAAATGATATATAATGAATTGAGTGAAAGTTTGAGGGCTATAAAAACGTCAACAGAAAAACGTTTTGCATCCAAATCTGACAGAAGTTTCTCAAATCAAAATTTTAACACAGGTGATTAACGGCAATAAACTCTGGGAGCTTGAAGGACCTGGGGGATCCATATTACACCATACATATACCATTCAATATAAAACAGGAGTTTTTTCCTTAGAAGTTTTACTGAATTCAATGTTGTTTGCAAAAAAGGGGTTCTCATCAACAAACCAACAAAAGATAAATTTGCTCTTGTAATAAGGCTAATAACTTTTTGGCTAATAACAACAAACACCTTTTTGGCAAGCCTGTTAGCCACCATATTTTTTCCTATTCAAATCCTTGTTATGGGGTTCATTTATTTACCTTATTTTTTACAGATTTGTAAAAATAATCAGTGCCCTAACACTCAGAGCCGCTAATTGTTTACTTTCACATAACTTTTAATCAGCTATTGAACTGATGTCCTTTTAAAATACCTTTTTGCTAAGATTGGAAGGCCTCTGTCTTCTCCTTATTTTCCTCAAAAAATATTTTCAATGCTGCCACCTTTATTAGGATAAATCTTGTGTTGTTTTCCTAAGGCATCAATGCTTGGGTAATAAAAAAGCATACATTGCATGGCCATGAGAGTTTTCATGGGGCATTTGAGATTAGAGGCTTGACACTCCCTTCCACCAAAATAACATCTAGAAAGTCACCTAGCACACTGTCTTCCTTCATAAAGCAGTCATTAATACATAGCCTTAAACACAAGGTGTGTCACTTGCAATCCCACATGTTACAATCCTACAAAAAGGAAATGCTAAGAGTTCTGTTGAAGCCAACAGAAAATGTGCTACTTCATGAATAAATGATATCTTTACCATGTAGGCTCTTTTAATAAATTTAATTACATTAAGCAAAAGAAGGTGCTTTGAAGAATCAGCGAAATAAAATAAGCAAAACAAAATAAAAAAATTTGAAATATTCTCTTTATCTGTAACTTAAATCATTTAAACTACTTTGAGGCGGACTCAGACAACAAAGAACAGAATTCCAAAGATATTAATAATCCAGAGATAAGGGTCCTGCAATGGTTGCTTCAAATCCTCATGTTTTCTTTCAGTATGATTTCCCAAATTCAGGTCTCCCATCCTTGCTGAACTTTCAGTCTACACGCACCATCATCAGCTTTCAACAACACCCTTGCTTTATCTTTAAAGCTCTACTCACATATAGCTTTTTCAAAAAAATTGACTTAATTTAAAATAGGGTATTATAAAGTATTTTGTAAAAAAAGTCATCCCCTACCAATCTAAAGGGGGTGGTCTGAATAAAATTTCCTGTAGGTGTGCCCCCAGCCCATTCCTCTTGTTACAGACATATGTTCCTCTAGACTTGCACCTAAAGCAGGCCAGACTCTATAATAGACCTCCTTGTGCAAAAATCAACAAATGAAATCTGGCTGAACTTTAATTGCATAGCATATTCCTTGGATTTCAAAAAGATGAGTATTGTTTACCTGTCTGGGTTGATTTTAAAGTAATGTCGATTTCTCAAAGCACTGTCCAACACATTATATGCATATTCAAAGGCTTCTTTAACTCTCATTATTCCAAATGAACTCTTGCCAATGTCAATTACTAAAACAGAATAACACATGTCATCAAATCTTTGCCACTCCAAAGGCTGTTTGAGAACTTGAACATGGGCACTCAGTCGTGACAGGATCTTTTAAAATCAGTCATAACAAAATTATACAATACCCAGAGAAATTCATATTGTTTTTCTGTTGTTCTCAGCTTACAGAAAGCTGTCTAAAAAATTATACACCTGGCAAGCAAGGATGGTCTTTCCCTTCTCAGTGGGCCTCCTATCTAAAACAGTTATCTGAATCTTAGGCCAGTACACAATAAAGAAAAATAACATTTATAAATTGTGAGCCCCAGCAAAAAAATTTTTTTTATCATTTCCATTTTATGAACAATTTTTGTGTCCACATCTTATTTATCTAAGAACATTTGTCTTTAAACAGAAGATCAAGGTGCAAGACATAAAAATAAAGATCTAAATTTGTTTGGCAACTAAATATAATTTTTCATCAAATGGTCAATAAAAAAGAGGGCAGAATCCTATTCTAACAAATCTAAACAATGCAAGCTTTGCTGGAAGAAAAACTTGCCATCATCAATTGTAATAAGAATTCAACCCTGAAGATCTGAACTTATTTCAAAATGCTGACATCAAAATTAGTTTTGTTTTATTTAACCGCCAATAATTTGATAGTGAAACATCTATCTACATCTTTAATCAACACCTATGAGCATTGAAATTCCCAATACTTTCAGGGACATAACAAATTAATATAGCAACACCCATAGAGAAAGAAGTGTTAAAGTTGCATGACTATCGCATTAAGCGTGAAACTGGGAGTAGCAACTGAGAACTGTCCTGTTCTATACACCAAAAGCATGTACAGCTCTGCCTATATGGTGCTGAACACTTAAGGCAGACCAAGGAATAGTAATTTATATCAAATGATAACAGTTTGATAAAGTTTGAGCAGTTGAAATATTCTGAAATTAGAAATTTCTAGCAACTGACAACCTTGAACCTACCTTTGGAAACAGGATCCTCAATGCATAGTAAAGACGGAAATTGCCCATCAACCATTTCTCTCATAATCTAGATAGAAAAATTAAATTAAAAGGATTTAAATTCTTCATAAGTAGGGTATAGTTTTCTTTACTAGATCTTTTCAATTTGATACAAAGTTCACACACTACATACCTCATCCTTTGAGCAATAACAGCCTCCATTTCTAATTTTTATGCCAGTCCTCTGATAGTTGAAATTTCTTCCATACAACTCAAAAAACTCAATCAGAAGAACACCTAGGTTGGCATTTGGAAGCTTTGACTCCTGCCTTGGGTGCATCTGTAAAAAGGAAATGTTGAATTTGAAAAATGAATGTGGTTGATAGCACATTAAGAAATTTTTCAAGCATCTCAAACTGTAAACATATAAAATATGGACAACTCTGCATTCAATTCTTATTATGAAAAACCATCACATTAATGGAGTGCTTAAGTAGCATTACATTAAAATATGACATATTTGACTTCATGAAAATGATACATAGTCATACTGTACTAACCTGAAGGAAGCTTATAGTCAAAAGCATAAGGCAATAAGAGCTAATGCCACCAGTGAAAACTTCATTTAGCTGCCTCATAACAAGAAAATGCTTCAAGACAATGAACAACTGAGGAAGAATCTTGTACTCTTTCAGAAACTCCTACAAAAATGTTCATGCAATTAGCAACATTGGAATTTGAACATATTTTTTATAAACGCTGTTTGGTTCTACATTAATTAATTTCATTGCCATTTGTATAACAAATATAAATACAGATTCACAAAAATACTCGCATTGCACCCTCTTTTGGTAAGGACTTTAGTAAAAATATCTTAGACAAAGTACAAAAAATAAATCAATGTCTCAAATGTGACATGTGTCAGATTAATATGTTACCAGACAGATTTCTTCTGAGTTTCAGTTAATCAAGCATTGGTTATTGCTAAAGAAATTTGGCCCTGCCCTCTATTTGTTATGTAAATAATGATATTTCAAATATTTTAGATTTAGCAGTGCAAAAGAGAGCAAGATAGCAACACATATGGTTCCTGAGTACACATGGCATATTCTCCCTCAAACAGAAATATGGGCAAATTGGAACTTAAATAGCTACATGCTCGCTCCTTTTTTAGTTCAAATGAAAAATAGATTTTGATAATGGGACAGATCAAAATCAAAGTGGTGGCTCTGGAATCCACAGGTTCAAGTATGGGTCAATGGTCAGGGTCGCTGACTACAGACCCAAGGGTACATGGTTTGAGTCCATGACATGACCAAACTTTCCTTTAGAGTGAGGAGAGTTGCCAGCTCTCTAAAATTTCAGACGTAGGAATCACAAGGTGTGGTCACATCAAGAGGAAGGACCAGGGGCATGCTTGATAAGCATAGCTTTTAAGTTTCCTAAAACTACCTTCAAAAGCTAGGTAGCAAACAATACAATACTGATTAAGTCTAAGAAAAATCTTCAGTGGTTGGTACACAGGCCATCTCATTGTTTGTATCAAAGAACCAGAATAAAGCTATTGAAAAGTGTAAAACATACCTGAATCAGTTCTGCTCCTTTCACAGCTGTGTCCATGTTAAAACTAATATCAACTTTTATATTTGAGCGTTTGTCTGTCAGCTTGACAATAGGAACCTTGAAAGAGAAAATCACCCATGAAACTTTTTTAATGTACAAGAAGGAAGAAATGCAGAATATGCTGTCTGCCGGATTCTGTGAATTTTGAAATGAGTAATAATCTGAATGTTAGTAGAACAAAGGAACATGATAACAAGAATCCAATCTACTGAAATAGGATTTTAAAATAAATTAAATTTGATAAATTTAATAATTACATATATCTAAACTATTTTAGCAAGGAAACTGACAAATGGATACTAATAAATGGATATTTGATAATTGAATACTGCATTAGAAACGAAAGATGCTGATTACAGACAGCAATCTACAATAAAAAGCTTATATATTTATATAAAATGTGATTTGGCATAGGAGGAAAACAATTATGTTGGGCAATCAAAAAGGCTTCTAAACACAGTGTGGCAGCAGTTTACAAATCACAGAGCAAAAACAGTTGTCTTTTCATTTTGGCTTTCTTGAAAACGTCTTCATTAAAATAACAAATCTTGGTTTGTGTAGACATGAAAAGTTTGTTTGTTCTCTTGGGTTCTTCAACCATGTTGCAAGTTAGCAATTCTGATTGGTTGGAAAAGAAAAACCAATTAAATGCTTCATTTTCACGTCACTTTGACACTAGATATAAATTTCACTATACACTTTGTTCACTGCATTTTTGGCAAATGACAAGTGCTTCAAAATGAGATGTTTCTGCCTTTCCATCCTATTTTCTTATTTTACTGTATGCCAGGCTTATTTGATTACAAAAAATATAAGTCTTAATTTGACAATATGTCAAAAGAGGCTAAAAAAGGGAGAACTGAATAGTCATCTGAAAAAGAAGAAGAATGTCCTGAATTAAAGGCTTTTGAAAAAGGCAGTCCAAGACAAGTCATAAAATGCCATGAAAATTGATATATACAACATTAATGAAAATGATGTGTCACCAGGCTGAGCATAAAACTAATAAATAACTTGAAATAGGCAGGGATAGCGAGGAGACCTTAAAAAATTCAGGATTCTTTACAGGTACATAAATATCTAATAACAGTTGCCTTTGAAGCATATGATGAAGATAATGGTAATGAACATAGTTATGTTATTGTGATAATTTTTTATTGAGAAACAAAACTAGGCAGACTTACTGATGCTTTGTCCAGTACTTTGATAGTCGAGGAATCAGCAACATCTTGATCCACCAATGCTCTTTCGAGGGTCCATAAGGGTAGTTTCTCCCAGTAGCCAAAGACCACAAGATCAATGTCACTGGAATTGCAAGCACAAAACATAACAGGAGATATCTAATGATGGCATCAAGCATGAAAATTTCCATTTTTGGAATTATAGCTGTTTTCCTGCTCTTTATTCTCAACATTTTTTTAAAAACTATAGGACTATAGGAAGGCTTTAGCTATGACTGTTGAAGATTCGTTTACATGCTTAAAGCATACACAGGCCTTTTTGCTTTATAAAAATTCCATATCCTGTGCATCATTTTCAAAAAAATCCAAGTCTGGCATAATTTTCTTCAAAGTTTATTGTTCCGAAAACCCTGATAGCCCCCACATACAACTCTGGTTACTCAAAAGCAGGAACAACAAATATCGAGAACAAGGGACAATGATAAGAACTATTTTGGTTACAAACTGGCAGTAATTGTGCATTTAGAAAATCAAAGGTTAGGCAATTGTGGGTAGACAATACCCTAATTCCCCCCCCCCCTCAGGTCCTCAAGGACTTTGTCTAACAAATAATGTTTGATGGGCGATCACCCTTGTAAGCTGATCTACACAGGCAGTTTGTAGCCCTTGCAAGATTGTTTTTTAGAAAGGCCTCAGCATACTTAAAATCTTAAAATAAAAAGAACTATTCACAGTAATTGCAAGTTATACCTGGTAGGGAGGTAAAGATTTGTTTTGTAACTTCCAAATATTTCAACCTTGAAAAGCAAGACAAACAAAAATTATTGGGAGAAAATCACTGTGTTAAAAAGACAGGTTTTAAAAGATGCTAAAAGTTTCATTATTATACCTATCAAAAATGTTCTTTATTGCCAACCACCAACCCATAACTGATTCTTATAAATAGAAACTTATAACTAATTCAATGTTGATTCATCTAAATAGAAAATGGCAAATTAACTTACTTTGTTGCTTGCTGTTGGGAAATAATTAATTCACATAATACCACATCAATACATGAATTAATGTCCAGAATTATCAAAAGGGGTCCAGTACCAAGAACAGAAAAATACCTTTGCAGTCGGCCAGATGGAGTTTATAACATTTGTGATTCTATCCACTGCATCTTTCCTCATAAAGGCCTCTTCTGGTGTTGGTGACATATATTCATAGAAGTCTTTTACCTCAAGGTGCAGTCTATGGAATAAGAATAGTTCAAGACTAACTCAGACAAACAGGACTTATGATTAACTTACAAAGAGACAGTGAGGTTATGAAGTACTTAAAACTGTTATCATAATTTAGACTAAAGGTTTTTTAGATCCATTTTCACATTGTTATGAAAACAGATTGTGTTAATATTTATGACACCTTGTAGTTCCACACTTAATTCAAAGGTGCAAAAAATTATCTTTGCATCATTAATGCATTTAGGCTTCAAAAATATGAATCACAATGAAAATTGTGTTGCAATGCTTTAACAACTGCTTGCCTCTAAAGAAATTTGCACATTTCAATGCCTCCAAATTTGATCAAAAATATAACTTGTTCTTAATGAAAACCATCAATGAGGCCATTAAACTGACTTAAAAGTCAAAAAACAAGTATCATCATCTTTATCTCTTATTCTGATCAACATCTCCTTGATAACAAAATAATCTGTGATAAAAAATAAAGCGATCTGTCTTGTTTGGTCATCATTCAACAAGATTTTGATGAGAAAACTGAGTAACAAAAGCAAACAGCATTGTCTCAAAAGTTGACTGATGACTTGCCAATTGGTGTCTTGTTTCAATCCAATGTCGGGTGAAGAGAAACAAAAGAAAAGCTCTTAGAAAATGTTTAGTCTTGCTGAACTGAAGAACTTGCTTTTCAAATTTTTTTCTCGTTGAAGTGAAAGTTAGGTTCAAATTTTGTCCTATCTTATTCATTTCACAATATGTTGAAGCAGAAGTCTACCTATAAGTTGAAGGTTTAGAGTTAACTTTGGCAATTTCCAATGAAATCTTTGGCAACAAAAATTCAGATCCTAGCCTAACTATAAAAAGCAAAAACCTAAACAGCGTGAGATGATAAGAAATAGCTTGTTATGTTTTTGCTTTTAACCTCTTGATGAAAAGTTCTTAGCTACACAAAAAATTCACAATTTTTCAAATCCTTGTTCTTTAAGAAGCAATTATTTGAGAGTTTAAACTCAAAAAAATCTTTCTACAATTACAATAAAATCTTTAAGAACAGTTAAGGATGTTTAGTTGCCCTATGTGGTCAAGAACCACTCCTAATTGACCTCAAAGGGGAAGCCCTTATATTTTATTAAGCTACTTAACTAAACCACTTCCTAATACAAATAGCGTGTACAGCCTTTCTCTAGCATAACCAACCAATAAAAAAGGAAAAAAATATAGTTAAAACATACTTGCAGCACATTTTCACACATTTAATCAAAACTTTCAGCTGTAGCTTCAATTGCCTTTTTCACAAGCTCAATGTGTGAAACTCTATGATATTTTGAAATATACAGGGTGGGGCAGACCTACCATAGCTTGGCCTAGGATTAAATCACAAATTGTTTAACGTTTTTTTACGTTTTTTAATAATGTTATATCAGAAGCGACTGCTGTTTCGCCAAAGCTTTGGATAAAAAGCTGCTGTCTTATTTCATAACAAAACATATCTTATCATTTCAGTACACCAACACCGTGCATTTTTATCATTACCATACCATTTCTTTATTTCAACAATTCAGAACCAAAATTTAAAAATAAGTCTTGAAAATCTTAGGAATGCCGGCCACAAGATTGCTAGAAAGATTTACTCCAGTTTGCTATGATTAACAAAAGGCAATGTCACTTCAAAACAAGTTTCCAAAACCCTTGGGTGTGCCGATGCCCTACCTTCCTGTTTGTTTTTCAAGCGCGTGCAAGATATAGCTTTAGTTAAGACACTAACCCATATGCATTTTCTGGATAACTTCTTTTCTTCCAAGGTGCGTAAAGAAGCGATGGGACATCTACAACTTGAGAGCCACTTGCTTGGTTCTCGTTATGTCCTGGTTTTCTTGATCCAGAGTTGCTTGTTTCTCCAAAGCCTCTCTGTTTTCTTGTGTCATCGGTAGACTTGAGTGGAATAACCTCTTCAGCGGGAATCAAATTCGCAAATGTATTATCTGAATTTACATAACCATTTGGACTAAGAAGTGGGGACGTTGGGGTCCCTGAACTCATGGCGGCCGTCTGAATAATTCGAGCCCAGGTTCGAAAAGCTGGACCTTGGTGCTCTGGCAGACAGTTATACGACCGTAAATCAACAGCCATTTAAACGGAATAAACACTAAAACATTAAGAATTTACGTCACTGATCCTCTGTGCTTAAAAATTAAAATACTATGAATAAATCTCTTGTCCGTCGAAAGCTCTTCACTTGTACAGTAGTCACTTGTAGGCCTTCTTTTCCTTCCACTAAGATTTTCTCCTTTCGCCCCCGCAGGGCCAAATTGATCTCTCGCAGCTACGAAAAGAATAATTATAAAGAAACAAGTTTCAATGTAAAATTGTTCCTAGATCCTTTAAATGTTGAAAACCCAAATCGAGATATACAAATATATTTCCAACTCGATTCTTTGCCCTTTTTGTGAACTGTAAATGGCATTCCAATAGCTGCTTGACCACAAGAGTCAAATTTTAAGTTGATGAAAGTAAACTCGCAGCTTCATTGAGTCATTGAAAAATTTCACATAATTCACAAATAACTATTTCTTGAAAATCATCTTTTTAAAGAAAGAAAATCTTTGATACTGTCTGAATGTGTATTTTTAGGAATATTGTTTTCAGAACCAGCATTCTGTTTTACGTTAAAGAAGCATATGCATATAGAATTTTAGGGATACGCTAAAGGGAGGGAGCAAAGAGACAATGCACATTGTCGAGAATAAAAAACCCAATATTCTTCTTTGTACCCCTTCATTTTTAAGTTAAAGAAACGGTATCTGGTTTTAAATTAAAAATGGTCGACGAAATTGAGAATCAAAGACGACGATTAAATTGAATGTGTAGCCATGAAAAAAGGTTGAGACGTTTCAGACATTGGTCTTCATCAGTAATGATCGATTTGGTTAAGGCAATGGGGTGGTTAAAGGTGAAAGATAAGGTCCATGGTGTTTGGGGTCAATGGGGGAAAACTGCTCTAGCCTCTTATTGACAAAGGCCCTTTTTAACAACTTTGTATCTTGCATGTACATGGACACGATTCAAGCGTTCCTTTCAATAAAAAAGTGTGTTGCAAAAATAGCTTGGCCAATATTATGCTTGGAGAATGTTTTGTTTATGGCGTTAGGTCTTGTCTTTCGATACACTTGCAGAATTACAGGTGTCCGGCTCGGGTGTTTTTGCGTGCCCACTAACAAACTGCTGCAAACAGTGCTGAAACCTGTCGTATTCAGATAACTGATTCGGTATGCAAGACCTAATCATAAGATCCAAATTCACTTTTTGCGACATTAGGCCAAAGATATATTGATTAGAGGGGGATAGAGACCGGAAAACGAAACCCCAAAGGTACCTAGCACATCAGCATTAGTTTTATTGAGAACAGTGTTTGCTTTTCTGACCTCCAGTGCTTAAGAACTGGAATGTTGTCTAGCCTACATTTGGATTTTTTTGTAATTGCATTTGCACATAGCATCCGAAGGTAGTTTTTAGGAAATCGAGGGGATGTGCTTCTCGAAGAGTGTCCTGACCATTCTTCTCGATGTGACCACACCTCGTGATCCCTACGCCTGGAATTACAGAGAGCTGGCAACTTTTCTCATTCTGGGTGAAAGTTTGGTCATACCAGCGACTCGAATTTAGATTTCATATAGGCAGGGGCGCTGGAAGCACGGGGGCAGCGGGGACAGCACTGTGCCCTTTTGAAAATGGCACTATGTTTATGCGAATTGAATAGTGAGATAAAATATTAGTGCGGTTAGGAACAAAATGAAAGCAATTAAAACGTTGGGTGCATTGGTTATGAACTTACATGCAATAATGCTATTTCTTTCGACAACACTCTAAAATGTAGGAAATTACTGTCGAATAAGGTGAGTGGCGTAACGGAGACACCTGGGGTCCTAAGGGAAAACTGAGATGGGGCCCTTTTGAGCGGACTCTAGTAGAGCAAGTCAAACACTAATGCAATAAGCAACACTAATCCAAGCTAACTAGTAGAAGCTTCAATTGAAGTAATCTAAAAGCTTTTAAAAATGAGGTGAACTTTAGCAAGTCATCAGAAATTATAAGAAAGAAGTTGCCATACCAATAAAGAAGGTAACAAAGATGGAAACCCTTTGATCAATCATAACTTCAAATTAATGCCATAAAGAATGTCTGCAAGAGTCATTCATTCATTGCCAGTCATTGCAATTGTACAATTCATTTGGAATTTCATCTGCAACTGCAGAGCGTACTTTTAGCACAATGCAGCGTGATACGACACGACAACCAATAGCCCACGGGGTGGGGGGGGGGTTAACTAAGCCTAATTTTTAACGGGGACGTGTCATTTTGGTTAAAAAGTTTGAGCCCGTAATTCCGTAAATGTCTGAAAAATGTGAACCTTAATTCCGCAATCATGTTGAAAAGTATACCCATAATTCCGCAAAGCAAATAACAATTTTAAAGCACAACAAAATCATCAAACAAATTATGCTTGTCCTCTGCCAAACATCCCAATTTTGCACATATTTATACTTTCATTTCTAACTGGACATTCATTTTGTTAATGCTCAATCTCCCTCCTAATAATTTTGCAATATTTTTCGAAAATGGTACCCATTGTTCTGCACATTTTTGAAAAACTGATCCCGATAATTCCGCACTTTTCAGAGAAAGGTACCCCTAAAACATTGCGCGTCCTCCTGCCTTCGAACATGTTAAGTTTCCCCCCTTCCTTCCCACCCAGCAAAAGCCTAGAGAAAAGAATGGGAAGTACTAGACTGGCCTTTTAGATTAAACGTTTTATTGGTACCAATGTATTATGTTATATCATTTTTTGCTATAATTCTAATATTAGTCATTGAAAATGTGCCCTTTTTGAGTAGCTGCCCCCGCTGCCTCAAAATGCTTCGGGCGCCCCTGCATATAGGTTCATACAAAATATGATTTCAGGAATGCACAATAAAGCGGACGAATAATGGATTATATTATGAAACATATACCTATGATTCAAATATCTAGTAAATTGTTTTAGCAAAAATGGCTTGGTGACAAGAAGATTTCTGAAAAACCGTTCTATATGTATGTAAAATACTTTGAAGTAGCCAATACATTACGGCCTTTGATTCTACACTCATAACACTTTAAGGCTGAGTTGGACCATAAGCTAATTTTCAAGTGAGAGGGAAATGGATGTGCAATGAAGACCAGCGAGAAGCATGGCCCCTTGAAATATTTGTAAGAAAAGTTGAAACATCTGAGGCTAAGGAAACTCTTTTTAAAACCTTAATATTATCCCATGTATCTCTTTTTCTGTTGGCACATTTATTCACTAAAATGCATATACATTTATTTCTATAATTTGAATGTCTTTTCGGTACAATTAATTGAAAGCATGAAAAGACGAAATGATCTAATTTTGCTGAATTTCTCGTCGAAAACAAATAGATTGGCTAACACATTCAAAAAATTTAGAATGTAATTCCGTGATCAACAGGAACTGCAAAAGTAATGATGAAATATAAACATCATCTTTTGTAATAAATTTCTTTGACAAACAAAAACTTGTTACAATTTAAATTAATGGTAAATGCAAGCAAACAACTGCTGAAATTGTTGCATTCAAATATATTTATTTATATATATCCTAATTAGACAAATTAAGCTACCTTATAAAGAATTTCAAAGATTGTGTTTGAACAAATTTGCATCTTCAAATACAGAAGAGCTTCGTAAAATACAAATATATGCTATCAAAATTGATCTTCAGATTACTAGTTACTGAAAGACAACTGTTAGTAAATTTATCTTTTTTAAGGCTGGGATACACGATAAGCTTCTGCATCAAAATTACTTGGTTGGAAGAAAATTCAAGAAGAGGAACGACACTCTTGAAAGATGATCATCAGATATTTAGCCTAAGCATGGCCTGTAGATCTCTCATTATACATCAAATATTGAATCCGATAGTGCGGAACTGTGGGAACGATACCGGAACAATAGAATATACCAGCTCACGGTATCGTAAAGATCTGCATCGAGAGACTGGTCATATGTTACATTAGATGCGTTTAGGGATCTTCCGCTTTCGAATTTTGCTAACAACATACCAAAAATCAAAATTGGAGTCATTTACATGAAACGGCCTTTTAATCACATGCTTCATGGCTTTACTTCACGGCGAGGTAACAATGCTGCAGATGAAAATCTAGTAGCCCATATGTTTAGTTTTTTGTCATGAGATGATATGCAGGACCCTGACAAATACATAATTTTGCAAGTCAACATAAGCTAACATTCGGTTCAAACTGGTCGTGTAATTCAGCCTGTACTTAAAATTGTTAACAATTCTTGAAAGAGCTAAGTTTATTTTCATTCACAAATTTCGACGAAATGACTCTAAAATTGGAGTCTTTCTTTGAAAAATGGATTAATTTTCTTCTCTTCGGCCTTCTGTTTGCTTGGTGTAAGCTCTGGATATAACGGGCACACCTACAAAAACAAAAATGCTATACTTTACTTTAATAGGACCGTCGCTACGTAAATAAACTTTGTTTGAAGAGTAGGGCAAGTATTGAATTTTACATCAAAGGCACTATGTTATGACGCATTTCGCTGGCCATTTAAATTTCCCCTTGGTTGGACTACACAATAGACCTATTGTGACATAGTGGATTTGGTATTGTTTCAGTCTTATACATGAGCTGCCTATCTCCAGGATTTTACTTAAGTGGTCAAAAAAGATTATTTGTTGCCACATAAAATTGTTAAATACTTAGTTTCTCTTTATATTCCGTCGGCTATATGCATCATATACAATGAAATTTACCTTTGGGGTCGGTAATGCAGTATTTAGGCACCACTTTTCGAAGCATCTGCAACAAAAGGAAATGATCGATAAGTGTCGATTCAAGTCATTTGCAGCTTCGAGCAACTTCAAACTAGAAGGAAGCATCTAAATGGTGGTCTAATTTTCACACTGATAACGCAATTAAATTTTGGTACATTCGTGATTCTATAAAAGCGTGATGACCGAAATCATTCAAAAAAGACTGTTCACGAGCTGTGAATGCAAAAAAGAAATGGTTTCCTTAACATGTTACAATATCTATAGAGTATATTTTAAGCAAACCTATGAAGAATAATAAGGGCTTAATGTCAAAGGAAATAAATACCTTTGTCCCTCTTCTAGGACTTGTTGATCACGGCTTCTGCAATACAGGCGAAGGTGATTTTCCGCGAATTGCTCCGGAAGCATCTGGCTCACCTAAAATTCCATCAAACATTATCTAAACTCAATTTCGAACTCTAGTAAAAGTTTTGAGTAAACAAAATTCATATTTACCATTAATAGCTTAAAATCTGGTGATTGGGGTTTTGAAGTCACATCATTACGTAATAGTCATATAGATCAAATGATTCGTGAGCTAAATTCCAATAAAGGCTCCAAATGTCACCCCACCCAATTGCGGCGCCAGCCACCAGGCCATTGGGGGAGGGGGCAAATATAAAAGTAGGCCATGACTTTTTCCCTGTACCAATATGCACTTCTACCACCAGGGAACGCCAATTTAACCAATAAGGAACGCCAATGACTAACGCTTGGTTAGGAAAAGGCAGTTTCAAAATCTTAGAATAACATTTCAAAGGTCTGTGTGATATATAGCACTACACTAACTAATGCCAACTATAATTAATAAAAAAATTATTGCTAACTTCAATATACAAAAACCAATTTATCTCATCAAATTTAAACGAAATAATAAATCGCTAGCCAAAAACTGGGAGATGTGGCCAATTCCCCCTGTAGCACCGCCAATAATTCCACCACAAGTTGACCTAGCCTTGAAATAATATGTGTCAACCGTGTCATTAGTTCTCAGAATTATCTAAATTCATTCTTGACGAATCCATATAAGATGGGAGATGAATTGAAGTTTTCCAAATTTGATGGCAGTTTCACTTGTCAGAAGTTGTGTCAACAGAGGGCAGTAAATTCATAAAGATTTGTTTATCAGTCAAGAGCATTTACATTGCAAATTTTGAACAATTTTGAAGAATAAAATTATGAAGATTCAAGCATGACATTGTGCAAGGAACTCAGTGAACGATTCGGCAGCAAACGTGGTTTGTGATTTTTATTTGCTGAAACTATTTGCTTCAGAAGAAGCAGTTTTCTGATGCACGTGGGCGTGGACAAAGTGCAAAGAAGATTTACCTGGTCTTTACGAACTTTCACGGCCACATTTGGATCTGATTTGTGATAAAATCGAAGAAAATCCATTGGGTTTTTGTCTTTCATGCCATAATCAAAGTTGATTATCTATAAAATTGCAAATGAACCTAAGTCATCAGAACCAAAGCAGAAAGGCATATTTTAAAGAAAATTCAAATACCTCCGAAATAGATAAATTCATATTGCATGAAAAAATGTCGAATTTTCTAAATTAAGGAGAATGATTCCTATTTACATGAACGATGAAGTCATCGGGATTCAGAAACTTTGAAGACGCCACTATTTCCTTTCTGGTCTCTTCCTCTCTGCACTGAAACGAAACTGGGTTCGTTAAACTTATGTCAACAAGGTTTGAATAGCCTGCACACAGACTTGACTGGCTTTCCCAGTGATTAATTTATATGAATGGAAAATTTAGGGTTTCTCACTGAATTTTCCAATCAACTAAATTCATCTCTCGATCAGTCGAGTCTGCGCACAGGCTAGGTTTGAATAATTACTGTTATGCTAATTATGAATCATATATAATGATATTATAAGTCTTATATCTCAATTCTATTAAAAGTTCAAATAATTCTTCATTCACCTAAAGTGTGCTTGGAAATTATTTGCTGCAGCGGCAATTAAGTGCCAATAGTTTTGTACAGTGTCTATTCTACATTGAACATTTTACAGAGTAAGAGGGCCTACTTTCATGCCTCTATTCTAGTTTTTTCCTTTTATTTGTCATATTTACAATTTTTACTACAGGAAGAACAAATATAAAAGACTGTTTTACAACGGCTCCTGCATTAAATAGAATTTGAAAAAAACCTTTTTACAATAATTCATCTAAATCAAGAATAATAAATACTATAGTTGAAGTGAAAGAAATGAGAAAGAGGTATAAAATATTAGAATATAATCAGGAAACTGACAAGAACTTAATTGCTCCTTGAAACTTTGCAATTTTGATGCAATTTTGGCATCTAAATTGAGATTATTCCAAAAATATGTGTATATCTTAAATGTACGTCAAAATTTGTACCAATGAGAGAGTGTTCATACAGGTGACCATGAAAACTTAATGAAGCAACAAGAATCTTTAATTACCTTGAGAATCTTAACTTTCAGGATGGTCTGTCCAATCAACTTAAACAAATCTCTTTTTCTTATTCTTCTTAAAAGGTCTCTTGCCTTTGAAAAATCAAAACAGTCGTTAAAAAACGCGCAGAATTCAAGTGCATGACTTAAATACATTCAAACACAGCAAATAGTATTTGAATACAAGTTATTAGTTTTGTAAATAAGGTTTAGAAACCTGTCGACTAATCAAAAAATTTATGTTCACAGCTGCTCTATTTTCTCAAACTACGAGGAGGTCCTCTAAAAAATCTTAGGTTTTCCTTGTGCGTTTGAAGTAATTGACAAACATATTTCTATTGTAGATACTGTGATAATCTTTTGAATTCAAAGTCTATGTGCATACTTGTAAAATGACTTTATAATGAAATACAAAACAGGTTCTAGATTACATAAATCTATCCAGAAATGAGCAAATCTACTGCAAAACGACGAATGAGTGAAGAAATTAGATTCTGAATCCAGGACTTTTATGATCCACTGGCAGCGCATATATCCCTCAATTTACCGCTGATATTAGGGGCAGCAATGTCACACAAGAGATATAGCTTTGGTTTGTGACGCAAGCACATCAAGAGATTAAACTGTCATGAAAACTTGAAATTTGTGTTGTTATTACCTTAATATTTTATTTCTTAAGTTATTAAAAACCATGTAGCAAAAAAAGACGTGAAGCGGAACTTTAAAACTGAAACAACTGAGCAATATTTCGATTTACTAATTCTAGAGGCTTTCACCGAAGCCAATCTCAATATCCCAATACCAATACAAAAACTGATTGGGATGCTGTAAACTGAAAGCAAATTATGGAATACGCCGTTGAAAGCTGCTATTGTGCAAAATAGCTGTTTCCATTTTTTGTTTATAGAACTACCCAAAGGCTCCATGGGCCTAAATAGAGGACAAAAGCAACTGAGGTGAGAGAAAAGATTCATACCTCTTGAAGTTGAGGGTCCGAAGAATTTTCGATCATACTGAAAATTGAATCTGATATTTTGGAATATGCAACCATATCATGAATTGATTCGGAAATCTTCAACTTTTTTCTAAAATCAGGAAGGAAAATGACGTGGTAATGAGAGAATGGGCCTAAAATTATAGTCACTTTTATCTGCGTTTCCCGATGATATCAGGAGCAGTTTACTAGGATCAACTTAAAAAATTCGTTCTACACATGAAAATGCATCTGAAAAATAAGATCAAATGGAAAAGAGACTTTTTTGTATAAAGCAAAATTGATTAAAGGATATGATAATCTTTGCGCTCTATGAATGAATATGGTTTTATTCACAGTCAGGAAACCGCCATCTTAATTTGAATTTGTTACTACCTAGCATCCGAGAGTGGGCTTTAGGGCTCTGTGAAGCAATGCTGATCGACCAGTGTCCTGGGTATAACTCTCAATATGACCACACCTCGTGATACCTACACCTGGCACTAGAGAAATGGCGACTCCACTCGCTTAAAAAACTATTCATCACGAAAACCAAAGTTACATGGAAGATATTTTAGCATAACTGAATCACCTTACAACCTCAGGAGCTCACTGTCACTAGAAATAGTGAGCACCAAAAACTATAGCATACGGATTAGACACTTCATCATACAGATGTCAAGAAGTATGGAACTCAATTCCCACAGAATTAACTTCAAGCTCAAATATAAAAACCTTTAAAGCAAGTATCAAAACTATGTCTGCGATATCTTACTCATGCCGCATTCATAGGACAAGTAGGCTATATAAAATGACAGGGATGTACACTGATGTATCTTCTTAGTCATTCATCTATATTTGTTGCTTTGTTAAATTCGGTTATTGTTGATATATTTGGTTGGTTTTAATTAGCTTTAGTATAGCTAGTAGTGTACGTTTACAAACTCAAAAAGAGAGTGAAGAAAAAAATATCAGAGTTTGGTCATGTCAGTCGAACGCAGACTCTCGGATCCACCCAACATAGCCAACAGAATCTAATGGAATATAGAAAATCAATAAACATGTGGAGTTATATGTTGCTTGTGTGATTGCAATGCAGCACTCAAGTTGCGAAGTGGCCTAAGCGGACAAGATAAACGTTATTTCCTTGCATAAAATTACAACACCAAATCAGATAGATTAGATTTATCAAGACTATTTGCAACTCACCCGTCCTTTCCTTCCACCAGAAAATAAGGATCTGCTTTTAATAGCACCTCCGAAAACCTGAGACAGTTTTATCAGTTAGATTCTATTAAACGTTTTTTCAGATTAAGATTACTTACCAGCTAATAAGAGAAGTCGCTATCTTTTAGGTTAAGTCAAATTCTCACTGGGAATTACAATTTAGATGTTTAAGATAACGTATTAAGCTAAGTTCCATAACCAAATAACATACTGACTGATCATATTTTATGCTTGTTGAATTTTGCATAAATTACCGAGGGAAACAATTTACATCTACAGTATATAATTGCAAGGAAGAGCGTACTTAATCAAGTGTCAGCCTGTTCTTGGGTGTTGATTTAAAGGTGCATAAAGGAGTTGTAGGATCGAAGGCTCTTACACTATGCTACTATCTAAGAGATGTATTTTTATAATAAACTTGGTTGGTGATGCCTAGCAATAGGGGTGTTTCATGACAATAGATCATTGGGTGGACAGAACCCTCTTTAATAGAAACCTCGTCATCTTGTTGGTAAAATTGGGGTCTTAACAGGAAGATGCTTAGACTAAAAAGGATTCTTAAGTGGCAGAGATTTACTGTAGTAGCAACGGAATACAGGTAATACTTTCATCAAACTGAAGTGAAAAATATATTCAAGGAGCTTGAAAAGAATTCAGTATGTAAACACATACGTATAAACGTGTTGCCTGATAACTGTATTACGCTTTAAACTCTGAGTGACCAAATAGAACCATCCTGTTCTATATAATATAGCGTGCATGTAAACTTGTTTTGCGTTTCCATTTTTGTGCAAAAACTGAATCTGTTAAATATCTTCTTTGAGCGGACACAAAATAAACAATCATTACAAATAATTATCAAAAATATCATTTCGACATTTTTAAGTGACACAGTATAATACTTACATGAAATCGAGTATTTTGCCAGTCTTATGCTGATATGCTCGTCTATGTAAACTATTTCGGGTGTGGAACATATCGTACAAAGTGCCAACTTCCTGAAATTTGCAAGTAAACAGCAAATAAGAAAAAAACTAATTAAATTTTGTTAAACATAAAAAAATAAGAAACTTCAAAAATCAAAACAAACATTTTTAAAATTAAAACCTTGTCTCTGGTACAAATTTGAAGCTCATCATCTACCTCAACCACTCGTGCGAACTTAACGAACCTCCTGCAGAAAACAAAAACTGGTTCTAAGTTATATACGATTCTCGACAAATCAGAAATGAGAAAATAAATAAGTGAATAAGTAGGCCTAGACTAAAAAAACAAAAACACCAGTCGATATTGAAAGGCCAGAAAAAATCAATGTCTGTGAAAGGATATGTTTATTTCTTTGTGTAACAAAACATTTCCTGAGATCTAGAAATCCCATACACTTTTGGGAATGATTCATAAAAGCAATAAGAAGGAAACGAAAATTTTGTTTCACTGTCTGACAAAAGGCACTGGATGGAACACCCTGAGGTCAATCAATGTTTTTGAGAAACTAAGAGTCTCTTGTTATAAATACAACAATTTTACCCCTTTAATCCTGGGAACCTTTAGCATTGGAAACGATTTATCGTTATCGTAATTGACAGGTTGCGGAAAGGAATGAGATTAGAAAAAAAGAGACGTATAAAGGAAGAAAGAATTGAAAATGCCCAAACTTAATTTATTATCATTTATTTCACGGAAAGGCTCTGCTGTTACCGCCATTTTGAGTTTGCGGCCAGGCAAACCCCTACAATAATGTTTTTTGAAAAGCTAATAACTTCATTGTCTGGCAGGGTCACATTGGCTAAACCATAAGCTCTGAAATTGCTGCTATCTAACATTCTTTTAAAGAGAGAGGGGGATGCTACTAAAAACGTCAAAAAAATCTATATTGTGTACCAAGGCATTTTAGGCATTGCACATTCAGAAATAAGTTAACAACAAACGGTTATTCCGTTATTCGATGCTAATTTTTCACTATGCTGTGATAATAATGATGCTAAACGCATTGTAATGTCAGTGCTCATCTGAATGCCCATTGGCTATAACATATAAGAGGCTCATGTTAAGCTTTCCGATCGGCAACGCTTCTCAGTGCAACGCCTATGGTTAACCCTGTACATTTGACTGACAGGACAAAGTGCATTTAAACGTTACATACTTGTAATCAAAGTTGTTCGAGATGCCGAGGTGATGGCAGTCACGTGCGAAATAATCCCATTTGTCTACATCGATTCCAGTTTTCTTGTTTGCTACGATCTGAAACATAACGAAGTATGTTATAAAAACATACCCTAAGATGTTACAAGAAGGATTCTATTGGACGATGGTGTAAAGAGGATTCCAATAAACGGAGCTATATTTGTTTCAAAACGAACTGAATATCTCGACCTGGTACAGATAGCTTTTGTCTTTCCCTCTTCCTTTAGCAGTCCATTTCTGCAAAGAAAATATTGATTTGAACATTAATTAGCAAGCTACGTATAATAACTGACAGTTAATGTTCATTACTATACATCTTTACTTGTTCTTACACTCATAGGTTTTGTCAGAAAATTTCGGATAGGATACTGTCTCCAATTTTTGGAATCTTTAGGTTTCAAGCCATACGTATTACTTTTATAAGGTCATCAAAGAGCAGGGGGGGCACCAGGGAAAAAGCCCTTCCCATCTGGCATAAAAATCGCACTTTTGATTTTGCATTTATCAAAGTCTGGGTTTGCATTAGTTACCGGGGAGTCCTTGTAACTGTTGCCCAGTAAATTATAAATAGTTTTCAAATATCACACTAACTCATATTATAATTAAGCAGTAACAATTGATAAAAAAACTACAAAAAATGCAGGGAATGCCTTTAGATACATTCGCCGTCTCCGATTTACATCTTGCACAAGAAAATATTTAAGAATATTGCAAAAAAATGCTTCTCTCTACTTTTTCCTGACTCCCAGTGAACCCTGCAATCATCTCTTTTATAAAAATTAAGTCTTTTTCTTCCAGTCCAAATTCTTGGAATGACGGCCATAAATCGTTTTCTTTAATCAAATGATCAAGCATTTCTGTTGATGCATTTTCATGCTAAAAGCAAAGACATCGAAGGTCAAATATTCAAATCCTTAAGACTTCAAAAAAGCAATCAATGAATACTTAAAAACATTAATTAAAGCCATTAATGAAGAAGTATTGAGCATTCTTCAGCTCCCAAATATGCTACAGAAAATGATGATACTTTTGACTTCGCTGAGTAAACAACGGAGAAATTGTATATAAAAAAATTAAATTAATACTTAAACCCAAATCATGATTAAAATACTTTTTGTGAGATCACAATGCTTTCCGGAATCAACCCTTTTCCCGGGAAAATCTTATTTACCTTCCAATTAGACGTTGGTTGAGCCATTGGTATAAAAATTCCATCAAAAAGATGTGAAAAGGGTCCATGGCCTGCAAAACAAAAATAAACTTGACCACTATTCTTCAAGAATGTTCTATTTGTTGGGGTGAGGTGTAAGCACACATTTTTCGGTTTATTGCAATGTCATTGTTTGGTTTCTTTATGGTGCATATGCATGAAGCACTTAAAAGGAAAGATTGACAAGAGTAAGGGGTTAACCTATGCATGTGAGCATTGCAATTATCAAGCCCCGACTGTTTGTTGTCGGGCACTTACTATCATTTACGTAGGTGTTTTATTTTATGGGATTATTTTGTATGTTCTGCCTGTTATGTGAGAGAGAAAGTAAATAGCAGAAGTTTAGCTTGTTTTGATTGTCAATAGATTGAAATAATGTAGTTTAACTTAATTGAACCTATGCTTTAGATATATATCAAAGGGTAATGTACATTGTAGGACAATGGTCTTTTGTTCTAAAACAATGGGAAAATATGACGTCATCTTATCAAAACAATAGGCTTGCTCCCCAATATTTGACCAAGTGTCTGCCCCTGGTAGTGCAATGTTACACTATATTAGTAGTTTAAACCAAAAATTAAAATTCTTAAAAATGGCCTAGAAAGAATAAAATGCAACCTTTACAAAAAATTTTTGATTATAACAGAATTTAAATGACCTTATTAGCATCAATGGCAGAGCCAGCCATTAGACCCTTAGACCAGGAATGCCAATTTTACCTGAAGGGAATGCCCATGGCTAACTTTTGGTTACGTAAAGGCAAGTTCGAAAATCATAGGATTAAATCAGAAGCATAGATAAAGATAAAATAATATGTTGTCAAAACATTATTCCTCCCTCAATATTTTCTCATCGAATTTAGATGAGATACAAACTTGATCCTGCCAAGAACTAGGGGGGATGTGTCACCCATAGTTACCACATGGCACAGCTACTGGTTGGCATTCTAACTAATTGTGGCATTTTTATCATCCATACAAATTAAATTGATCTGAAAAAATATAGCAAAGATATTTGAAATAAAATGATATTACCCAGGTCATGACAGAGGCCAGCAATTTTTACGCAGAGTATATCCTCAGGAGTGATGCAAAGACTTGGTTGTTTCTTGCAAAGAGTTTGGCACAGCTTACCAGCCAAATAAGAGACTCTAGCAAAAAGAAAATGCAACTTGCCTCAAACGGGTAAGCTTCAATATCTATTTAACTATAATGTTTTATAATATGAAAAAAGGTAGTATCAAGCTATACATTCTCAGAGGCTTTTTAATCAAATTTACTTTCTTTTATTGAATATGCATTTTTTGACTTTTCATAATTATAAAAAATAGAGATTTGTTGAATATTTGTGAAAAAATTACTGGCCTTTCCAGTCTCACCACCCAGTTTCAAATCCTCTTTCACCCACTGAAAACAAACAATAGCCCAAAAATTCTGAATGCTATCTGCAATCTTTAAAAACTACCACAAAGTTACTTTTGAACCACAAAAACAGAAAAATGCACCAGATCTCTGCAATGCACATGCCTTGGGGCACATCATCACAACTTGGGGCACAAATCTCTTTTTAAACATTCCCATTTTCATTTCATTTTCATTTTAAAATTCCAATACATACAAAAATCATTCAATATAAACAAGTGACTAAGATTATATAACAAGAATACAAAAGATGGAAAACAGAAAATTGCTAAAAATGAATACAGAAAATTGATATTTGTATGGAGGGAAATTTCTTAAAGAGGGGCTCTATCAATAGATAAACTAATCAAGGAGAGAGCACCCTCTTTTCTAGTTCTTGGTTTCATATTTGAGAAAAAAAACACAATAAAAGTGCGAAATGGCTATGGAGGTAATTCCCAGCATAATGGCTATGGAAATTGTGTGAGATTTGGAGCAGATTTAAATGGTAGAAAAGCCAAATATGAAGTGGTTAAAATAAATACAAGTTACTAAAGAAACTTTAAGCGAAAATTGCCATGGTAAATAAAATGCTTGGAATTGGCATTGCCATGATATTGTGAACAGCATGATAGCATATTTACCATATATATGTCAAGAAAGGAAATGAAGAACTGTTTTTATAAATGAATTTTCAAATTTCAAAATCAAGTTAACCTACCCAAGCGAATGCTCAAATCTATTATGTGAGGCACCAGGAAAGACTAAGTAACATCCGCCTGAAATTTTAAATAATGGGGTACAAAAAGACAATGAGAACAATACAGAATTTAAACCATTATTAGATTTTAGACAGCATGCATTATTGTAGATAATGCAATGCTATGAAAATTCACATTAGTCCTAAGTAAGTTTATGAAATCACCCTTTGATAATGTTACAAAAATATCAATTCAGTACCAGAAGCATGACCCTGACCAGGGGTGGTGGGGGAGGGAGGGTAGTACAATTGCCTCTACCGTTGTCCAATTTCTCTTCTTGGGTGGCAATTTTTTGATTTACTCCCTTTTAAATCTATAAAATTAATGGTTTTAATTTACATAATTTATCTTGCTTGAATAGAATAATTGAATAAATTACTGAGGTACATTTATAATGGCAAAGTAAACTTAACGACACATGATAAATTGTGCTCCTAATAGCAGTAGGTGTGCTTGAAGGTGAGTGTGTGTTTGCCTACGATTCATGGCTAGCCCTGTTTACCTGATAAACCCCTACCCCCCCCCAGACTACCATAGTAGTATCTATTAAAATATATGGTCATTGTTATCAACTTAAGTTTTCTGTAGTCATGTGTTATTTTGTGTTAAAGCTTATTGGACAATGGACACTTATATCACTTGCTTACCATGCTGTTTAGATTCTAGTTTTGTTCCAACCATTGTACAAGGCCTGTTGTGTTTAGTTAATGTTCATAATGTTCATATTATTAATGCTTGATCACAGCTCTGGAGAAATTTAACAGTGTATCAGATAGGTAATAAAATTATCTAGACATTTCCTGGCAAAGAGACTTCCTAAGAATCAATACAAGGATACTTCTGTTATTTAGAATTTTTTAGTTTAATTCTTACAAAAAATAAACTCTGGATCAATTGGTATGATTTTTCAATGCTTCATTTCAACAAAAATATAACTTGGTGCTATATGCCATAAGACAAAAAGATGTCTCTAGGAATTTGAGACCATACCAAGTTGTTTTATGTCTCGCAACCTCTGAAACTGTGGCGTATCAACAATTTTAGTGCAAAGCGGGTGCATCTCTATGTGGCCATGAACTGGATCATTGAAAACCTAGAAAGAAATGTTACAGGTTATTACAGAATATCAAATATATGGAGTATTGATTCAGAAGGAACTGTTGAATTTTAAGTGATAACACCACCTAACAGTGCTATGGGACAAACCCATATAGAAAAGAGATAATTTACTTTGCAGAGGGGTGTAATGGTCTAAAAATTGTCTAATAATTCCTGTTTAAAGTTTCTAAAGCAATAGGTCTTCACCAATATCACACAGTTATGCTTTTTGCATCCCTATACTAAAACATGTTGGAAATTTTCTCTCTTTGCATTTCACTAAAATTTAATCACAAATATAACCCTGAAGTTTTCACAAATTGAGCTATAAAAATAGAAGATCTTTTAAAACTTCATCTACTTTTCAAATTGTTGATAGCAAGTTCAATTTTTCACATCTCCTTTTTTTAATTGATACCATTGAAGTTGAGCTTGATCCAGCAAGAATTCGCAGATTCTAGCAATAACATTTTAGTCCCAGTGAAATGTTGGTGCTAGTAACAGGCAAGATTGCAGGTAAATTTTCGCAAATCTGACTCGTAAACTTTAGTTTAAGGATCAAATATTACGAGCTATGAAAGTGAAAAGTAAAGCCAGCTCTTAAGATAGACTTGAGTAAGTTGAGCTTGCTAGAAAATTGTTGCCAACGACAAAGCACACAAAACAATTAAATCAAGGGCCCTGTGTATTACCTCTTGTTTGATTACATCAAAATTCCTTATGCCTAAACACTAGTCCATTTCTCTCTTCTGTTACATAAGAAAAACATTTGTTAGGTCTTGGCCTATGAAATGACGATATTGATACTACCTTGATGGACAGTTCCTGCCCCGTGCTATCGCAATCCGAACTTGTGTAATCATCAAACTGCAATCGAAGACTTTTATCGCTATTTTGTGAACTTCTAGCGTCGTTGAGTTCATCTTGAGATGGCTCTTCTATTGTCCCGAATTTTCTTTTGCGACTAGCCATGTTTTTCCTTCCAGCTAAAAGATCAAAGGGAAATAACCATTCACCTAGATATCAAATCAGCGGGAAAAACCTTTTCCGCGAAATAATTTCGCCGCGCTTCAGAATCACAGGGTTTGTCCTGAAACGAGGCTGTCTCGTGACGTAAAAATTCAAAATCATCTGCAGGGGGAAACCGTAAGAAGTACAAAATATGTAATAAATTATATATGTGTATGAAACTCGCCCTTTTGCTTTCCGTGACTGCTTTTTTCTGCACTTTGCATCGTGTGCGTCTTGGCGTCCTTTTTATCTTAAAAAATCCTATGAATTTTCTCAGTTTGGTGAACGTGCTGGAACTTGCAGACTTGACCTGGGCATGTTTTACCTTTGAGCTGGCATATCTCAGAAGTATTATTGTGCAATCAAAAGCTTGAACTTTGTCAATATTGCGTTTTCATACTTAAAACTTGCCCAATATTGGTTGGGGTTGGGGTGTCCTACCTCTTGAATTACAGCTTTAGATGTAAGATGCGTTTTAAAAGTAAGGGTTGGGCACATGTAGCAAAAATAGGAACACCCCGTAAGCTGCAAATAGATCATAGATACTTTGCTTCTGTTTCTGAATAATGGGAGCACACGCCCCCTGTACCCCTTGGTTCCTAAGTCTACTATCACAAGCTGACGTTTTGCAACTAAAAGTTTGATTCCCTGAAAGTTTTATCTTCTAGGCAAAATATCGCTGCTATTTCATTTGATACTGCAGTTGAACGTGAAGCAACACCTAATGACGTAGTAGTGGCTTTTATCTTGAAATTTTCCATCGATAGGAGTCACATGACAGTTGGCTCACTATAGGCTCTGTGGATAAAACACGCAGGAGAGATACCTACAATGCCTGCAAAAAGTACTTGGAACAGCCAGCAAATTGTGTTGCATTTGATATCTTTCATTCCACTTTCGAAAAAATTATTTGTTCCGCCCCCTTCCGGCTAGAACAATGTTGATAATTTAAAGATATATCATAAAATAAACGCAAAAAGAAAGTGCCTTCTTAAATCCTAACCCATTTCATAGTAAACCAACATTGTTCGGTGGGGGAGAGGGGGGTGATTGATTTTGACCTTGGAAATTGGTGTCAGTGGTCCAAGACTTTTGGGAGGCATTGTAGCCTAGATAAAAATAATGGGATTTTGTAGATAATCAATTTCAACTCCACTGGCTAGCCACCTGGCTGTGCACACAAGTTTAATACTCGGACGACAAACGATGAACAATGTAAAATCAAATGCTAGCATTGCAAAATTTTATCAGATATTTTATAAAGACATCTGAACATAATGTTCGATGAAATACGTCTGGAGTGGCAATAGGGGAAGACTAGAGGCTTTATCTTCACTGGAATAAAACATTATTTGATATGTCAGGATTCTCCCAGAAACAATGTCCCAATCAGCTTTACTGCCAAAAATATACTTCGCCCCCACCCCTTCAAAGAAATAAGTTATTTTGGAACAATTTCTTTCTACTTTCTACAATCTTAAATTTTAAAAAAGCATCATGATTCCACTCTATTTTAAAATAACAATATTATAAGAATGCGAGCCTCAAAGTCGGTCAAGAGTTAAGAAAAATATAGAATTATTCGAGGCCAAGGATTTTGATATTTTGTAAAATGTAATTTGAAAAAAGCTGTGAAACTCCTTAAAAATACAATCTCAAAATGAGGAGATTTTTGCCATCTAGTGGAGCTTGATCGGCGAATTTCCAAACTTTCGTAACTGAAATGCAGTCTATCACTTTTCAAGTGAAATGCAAAAATCGACTTTTGGAAATGATAATAATTGCATAAGCTTTGCTATGTAATCAATATTGGAAATACAAATATAAAGCAAGTTATTGATTGTATTTTTTGCACGTAAGGGATGTGTCATAAAGTATCTACTACAGGGGGGGGGATTGGAAGGCGGAGGATATAGGCCGGGGCCACAAAAAATGTGCACTGCTTCATAATGGGCCACAAAAAATATTTGCAAATTTTTAATGGGCCACAAAATTTTTTTGAGCAAATCCAACTAAAAGTTCTAGAATTATACAGGGCAGCCGTACGCAGATTTGAGCAGGGGGGGGGGGCCAAAAGGAATAAAAAGGGAAGAAACATATATATTTTTAGTACCATTGGTTATTGCCAAAATAGGACAGCTTTCATGGGAATTCAGAAGTTTAGAAAAAATAACACAGCGTAAATGGCTATGTGCTCCATTTAGGAGCCATGCACTCTTGGGCATACTTAATTGTATAATTCCTCATGGACGTTGAAGTTTTTCGTTTGTTTAAATCTTTCATCAACGTATGAATCATATTTTCTTTAAAATTCGATTTACCCTATTTGTGTTTTATTTTTAATATTGTAAGTGGAGATCGCGGCAGGCACACATCATTCTCCCGTACTTATGGTGGGTGCATTATATTCGACAAATATTCTGATCAATTACAACATACCAAAAAAAATAATCCCACATTAATGCAATCAAGTAACAAAAACTTACAAGTTAAACCAAAAACATAGTGTTCAAAATTGAAAGTATAATCGAATTTTTAGGCTCTATCTATTTCAAAGTAAATTTTCAGACTTTATATATTTCAAAGCAAGTTTTCAGTCTTTATCTCTTCCAAAATTTAGCAAGATAAAAAATAAACATCTAAATTGTAATCTTTAGGCCAATTGAATTCTCCGAGATCATATACACTGCATAGATGTACGCTGGCCGACCTACCGTATTCTCTCTAATGAGCGCCCTCTCTCTAATGAGCGCTCCCTTTTTGAACAAAATCTCCAATGAGCGCTCATTAGAGATGGTATTGGAAATTCAGATATTCAAGATGCTACGTCAGTGTTTATGCAAATCGACGAGAGTTCCGACTCGGAAGAAATTGGCATCTTGCAAATTTTTTTGCTTTAACAAGTGTGATGCAAATTCAATATTAATTTTTGTAAAAACAATGTTCGTTTGAATTTCAAAGCCCAGTTTTTTATTGGTGGATATCCATCTATCTTCAATGAGCGCCCCTCTCCAATGAGCACCCGTCTCTAATGAGCGCCCCCTCTCTAAGGCCAAAGAATAAAATGAGTTTCCCCGGCGTTCATTAGAGAAAATACCGGTTGAGAAACAACTGGCGACACACTGAGGAAACTTTCTCGCCAAAGAGACAGTCTCCTTCGCAGTAGATGTTGTTAGAAATTGAGAATCACTGGAGCAACGCCTTGATTTAAGTTCTTTTACTTGGCGTCTAAAGGAAAAATATCTGGCTTTGAAAATTTTTTTTTCAAAAAGGGCACTCTGCGCACTTTTTCCAAACAGGAGGGGCCTGTGCCCCCGTGCCCCCCCCCCGGCTCCGGCGGCCCTGTTATATGATGCTGTCATTGACTGTAAAAGAAAAGTTCAAATTTGGTTATAAACAGTCAGAATCTGAAGATGAACTTTCACAACTGCTTGAACTTTCCTGGGGTGCTTCCATTTTTCTCTGAAAGCATGAAAATAATGTTCTCTATTTACTTTTGTCCTTTTTCTCTTTGCCTTTTTCCTCTCCATACACAAAACTGATCCACTTGCTTTCGGACTTTCTAGGTTGTCCAATAGTCTTTTCACAAACACTTCTGCTCTCTTGTCGAAATGGTTACTTTCCAATGAATTCTTAACTGCATTAAGGTGGAACCGTACCGCTCTGCGGCACATTCCTTATTGAGGTTCTCTTCTGTCACTTGTACCTTTTTTGCTGCTACTTCATCAAAGTTGATGTATGGTGCAACAATCTTGCAAACTTCCTTTCATTTTACAGAGTTTCCTTGCAATCGGTTGTTTCAATGCGAATCTGTTTCGTTTGTATGCAAATCAGTTTATTCTAGTGAGTGGCAGTTATGGGCCATCGTAGAAAATGGCAGTTATGGGCTATCATAGAAAATGGCAGTTATGGGCCATCTTAGAAAATGGCCGTTATGGGCCATCGTAGAAAATTGCAGTTATGGGCCATCGTAGAAATTGGCAGTTATGGGCCATCATAGAAAATGGAGTTATGGGCCATCGTAGGAAATTGCAGTTTTAATGGGCCATCGTAGAAATAGGCAAGTTTATGGGCCCATCGCTGAGATAAAATGGCAAGTATCATAGCCCATCGTATAGAACAATTTCAGTATATGGGGCCATCAAATTAGAAAAGGCAGGTTATTGGGCCCATCGTAGAAAAATGGCCGTTTAATGGGCCATCCGGTAGAAAAATTTTGCAGTTATGGGCCCATCGTAGAAAATTTGCAAGTTATGGGCCATCAATAGAAAATTGGCAAGGTTTATGGGCCAATTCGTAGAGAATAGGCCCGTTATGGGCCAGCGTAGAAAATTGCAGTTATGGGCCATCGTAGAAAATTGCAGTTATGGGCCATCGTAGAAAATTGCAGTTATGGGCCATCATAGAAAATGGACGTTATGGGCCATCGTAGAAAATGGCAGTTATGGGCCATCGTAGAAAATGGCCGTTATGGGCCATCATAGAAAATGGCAGTTATAGGCCATCGTAGAAAATGGCCGTTATGGGCCATCGTAGAAAATGGCCGTTATGGGCCATCATAGAAAATGGCAGTTATAGGCCATCATAGAAAATGGCCGTTATGGGCCATCGTAGAAAATGGCAGTTATGGGCAATCATAGAAAATTGCAGTTATGGGCCATCATAGAAAATTGCAGTTATGGGCCATCGTAGAAATTGGCAGTTATGGGCCATCATAGAAAATGGAGTTATGGGCCATCGTAGAAAATTGCAGTTATGGGCCATCGTAGAAAATGGCAGTTATGGGCAATCATAGAAAATTGCAGTTATGGGCCATCATAGAAAATTGCAGTTATGGGCCATCGTAGAAAATTGCAGCTATGGGCCATCATAGAAAATACAGGTTATGGGCCATCGTAGAAAATGGCCGTTATGGGCCATCGTAGAAAATGGCCGTTATGGGCCATCATAGAAAATGGCAGTTATAGGCCATCATAGAAAATGGCCGTTATGGGCCATCGTAGAAAATGGCAGTTATGGGCCATCATAGAAAATTGCAGTTATGGGCCATCATAGAAAATTGCAGTTATGGGCCATCGTAGAAAATGGCCTTTATGGGCCATCGTAGAAAATGGCAGTTATAGGCCATCATAGAAAATGGCAGTTATGGGCCTTCGTAGAAAATAGCGATAATGACTTTGCTCCTGCGAGCATCTTCATAAAAACAAAAGGTGACCGTTTCTACAACAGAGTACCACAAGTCCACAAACTAAAACAGAGTTCGTTTCATTTTGATACATATTTAGTTACAATAGACCAGCGTGAATTAGTGTAAATAATGGTTCAAGACCTTTATGGCAACAATTTTAGTGTCATGATGAAAACATACAAACAAAATCAAACTTCTAGATAGCTAAATTCTATCAGCACGCTGAAAAATAAACAATGTAGTTTCGACATGGGCCAAGTAAAACATTTGCCTTTTTACAATGGGCCATTGAATTTTTCTGTCCCTTTTTATAGGGGTATGAAATATTTTTTGGATAAAGCCCCATACCCTCCGCCCCTGTCGTAGATACTTTATGACACATCCCTAAAGGGCGAATTGTAATTTTACGTTAGTCGCTAAATCTTTAAATTGTAAGAATGTAGCCGATAGATCATTTTGTATTGAATTAAATATAGAATTTTGAATTTTACGATTCGAAAATAAAAATACAAAGACCCTTTTCCTTCGCAAAGAACTTATATAGAGAAAGAAATAATGTTGCCATTTGGATTGGAACAATTTCGTTAACAATGACAGAAATTCAGGGATGGGCTGGTACAACCTGAAAAGCTCGCAAAGTATAGGGTTCAATTTCTTGTGCGAATTATTATTATAATTCGTTAATAGAAGCGTGCAAACGTGCAAATTAGGACTGGTTTGTATATATATATTGCGAGAACTGTAAGAAAACAAAAATATAACATTGCCTTCCAACGTATTTGTAAGTCGCACAGTTGCCAATAGAATTGAGACTTTCTGTTAGATGATTACGTTCGAAGCTCTTTACGATCAATATGTTTAAGTCAATTCCAATTTACTTTGATGAAAATGAAGGTCATTTTCTATTTCTATTTCTTTAGATCATTATAAATTTAAGATGCAATGTTTCATGTTCTTCAGAAATATTTTTGAGGTTTAGCTGTACAGATTTAAGAAGTAAAAAACCAGTAAAGATTGACAAAATGATTGAGATCAGCCTTCAGCCAAAATGATCTCAACAATATACAAAAAGCTATTTTCAGCAAATTTGACTTTCAATACTGTGCTCGGTAAATTCAATACTGTTTGACTTTCCCAACCCCTCTCTGAATTTTTCTAATAAAATGGCCAAAGTAACGAGCTAACCCATTTAGGTACCCATACTGGAGTGCATTTCATAATAGAGAAAAAGCTATTTCGCTGTCTCCATGTATCTTTGGCTATATTTGACGAAGTTATTGGAGTGGGAAGCTTATTGAAATTTTGATCTCAAAAGGGGAATCTTGTTGGATAAGAGCAATTCATGGCGAGGGACAACCGCTGGAGGGGGATGTTTATAGCATCAAATATGTTCAGCAACCATGTGCATATATGCAAATATTCAGCAACCAATCCTTTTCGTCATTTCGGGTTGTAAGGCCACACAAAAATAAAACAAACTTGAAGCTACAAGAACAAGAATTTTGTTTTGAATATGAATATCCATACCTACTAGCAAAGCTATAAAACCAAAAAACTGATAAAGAATTCAAATAAAGAATTCTATTTGTTCTTTACACTGTCCATGATCAATACAACAACAGTATTGAAATTTCTAGTTTTACCTAACACCAAGAGAGCCAACGATGGCACTGCGTTCTCAATATTTTCGTATTGTTTATTATTAAAAACGTTTCTAGATAGCATCCATAAGACAAATTGGGGTCAAAATTCTACAGAAGGTACGAACACAAATAATATTGTTGCTAATATTGACAGAATAATCAAGAGTTCTTCTCTGTTTTTAATTCTTGGGGAGCCTTGAGTACCTGAAAAGAACAACACGACTTTTATAATTTGCAATCAAAACAAGTACAAATTTTGTAACGCCCATCTCTTTAATAATTTTCGAAAGTGTTCAAGTGACAGCTTCAAAAAGTTTTGATCCTGATAAAAATGAAGATTATAGAAGGAAATCTCGCTTGAAAAACAAAACGTTAATGGGGAGGGAGAGGGGGAGCTCCTATGATGGAGAAGGGGCTTGTACGCTACAAACAGAAAGCTATCATCAAATGGGTACTGTGTAAGATATACATGACAATATCAAGGTGCTTTGGGGGTACTTCAGCTATCTTGTGCCTTTTATAAGCAATATAACAAAGAATGAGAAGTAAAGGTTCCAGTAAGGTTAAGGTACTCTGGAAAAATAAATAAGAAAATAATAACTAGAAAATGAAATAAAACACTGTTTAACACGTATTTCATTGAAAGAATAGTGAAAATGATGATTAATGAATTCCAAATCCTTCTATGAGTTTCGCTTATTGATAAAAAAGAACGATTCACAGGAAAAAAAACTTCGGTGAAGATATTTCTTGAGAAGATAAGAAGAGGGCTATCTTGTCAGATAACTTTAACAAAATGCTATTTTTTATTTAATACTGACACCAAAGCAAACGATGAAAACGGCAAGACAGCTGGACGCGATAATAAAAATCAACACGAGTAACACGCTTTGTTTTAGAGAATAATCTACAGAATATTAAGAGTAAAGAGATAAGGCTATAAGAAAATGGCTAATGCGGCAATAGAGTGGTTAGAATTCGCTTCCAAAACATGGAAAATACAAAAAAAGGGGAAAGGATCCAACTCGACAGTGTTTGATAATTAACTAATTGCACCTTACAAATAAGCTCATCGCGTGATTAATTGGCAAGCATTTTGAAAAAATGACAAAAATCGTCGGGATACATAGCAACAAATAACTTTGCAAAAAGTTTGGGCACCAAATTCTCCTGTTCTGGAAGAAATAAAATACAGCACTGGCTGAAAACCGCGTTTAGAAATACCCAACTGGACAGAAAGGCCACAACCGAGCGACAACTGGGTCACGTGCCCCCACAACCACTGGGAAAATTCCCTCTTCTTAGGAGCTTCTTCTTGTGGGATTTTTAAAAGTGCCCTTTTTTAGAGACATAGTGCCTCTCACTAACTGTTCCCCTCCAACTTTGAAATGCTTCAGACGTCCCTGTAACATCAAGAATAACGAATTTACAAAATTCATAAATTCGTTAGAAGTTATTTTTGCAATAGATGATACTATGTAACTAAATGTAGTTTCCTCACAAAAAATCGCACATTTGTGGTGATTCAACCCCCTTAAATCATTCGAACATGAAAAATCGGACACAAAAGCCAACGGTGCCCAACGTAAGTGATAATTCTCAAATGGCTGATACTTTCTGAAAGCGCTTTTCTGATACTTTTCTGAAATTTTAAAAAGACTGGGGGGAGCAGCGGATGAGCTTTTTTTACATTATGTTTTTGTTTTGCCCTTGTTGTTTCACTCCACTTATGTCTTTACTGTGAAGGCCTACCGGCTCACTCATCTAAGAGTGGCATTATGAGTAATTTAAACGCAAATGTGCAAGGACAAAGATCTAGTCAGGGCAGAGATCTTTTAAGGGCAGATATCATTTTTGGCTAACTGACGGTATGCGAATTCACTCGCGAATTCGTCTTTGTTGTTCCCTGCTCCCTCCAAGCGCAACGATGAAAATACCAGGAAAGGGTTGTGAAAAAGAAAACATAAACACGATGGTCCAACATATGGAATCATTTACGAATAAAAAACTTAGGAATAAGAATGCAAAAATCTTGTGTTATTTTGAAGAAATATGTATCATGGCCAATAACAGCCTTGAAGAGTTAAACTATTAGCATATGCTTAGACAGCAAACACTCAAGGCTCCGATGAACAACACTTTGTCCCAAACGTAACCTATGAAGGATAACAATACGGAAACTGTCACTGACTACCAGTGGCTGAAGTAGATAAAAAGGAGCTGACAAACCTCAGAGTGGTCCACTGTATCTCGGAGGCATTCCTCCTCTGGGCCTTGGGTACCTGCCCTGGGTACCATACGCTGGCATGGGCTGCCCCCTGCCTCCCAAAGGTCGAGGCGCTCGAGGCCGAAACTGATTCATGTCACGTGGTCCTGACTGTGGTGCTTGAGAAGACAGCAGACCTTGTGACCTCTGCGGAGGAGCTGCTCGTTTCTGCAATGCCATGCGACTGTTTCTGGCTTCTAAGGCTTCCTTGTGATCCTCTGTAAGAGCATGCATAGTCCGTTCGGTCTCGCTGGCAATAAAGATCTTACATACACCACAAAAGTACATTCCTTTTGAGATATCCTCTGGCCTGACCCTAACTATAGCTTGGAAAAGCCCTCCAGGATCTCTTCCTGCATTTGGTGCCTGACGATGCTCTTGGGCCCCGACAGATGGTGATGTCTCGGGTAGCCTCTGAGCAGGCTTTTGAGACCCTGGTCTATCCAGAGGCCTGCTTGGAACATTTCCAGTTTCAGTCGGCCAGGACCTCTCCATTGGGTGCTTATTGTACATGGGTCTACTGCCTTCCTCTTTGTATATTTGCTTCTGATCAGTGTCTTGGAAAGATGCTATTGACATTTCAGCTGAAACATGACTATATTCAGAGCTGCCCGCCCAGCTTTCACTTTCAAAATGCTCCTGATGGTCTTCATGTCGGTAACGCCTAGGAGTTTGGTAGCGTGGCTGCCTGTCAAACTGTTCTTGGGTACTGCTTTGATCTTGCCATGGTCCAGAAGCCCTGCCCTGCTTCTCGTTATCCGCCTCAACATTATGCTCCCAAGTGCCTTCGAGGCCTGGAATCTGGTTTCTCTCCTCAATCTCTTCTCCTATATGCTGTCTTGCAATATGCTTTCTATCGTCAAATGACGGTACAGCTGGTCTGGATGGAATCTGGCGGGTTTCCGGTGGGTGCCTTTGGCCTACTCTTTGTTGTGGTATGACATTGCTCTCACCTGAGCTCTCAGGGGGCATTCTGTTCGCTTCTTCAATCAATGCCGCTCTTTGATGATGCACACCATGCAGCATTCGATCAGCTCCCCTTCTCTGTAGCAATTCAGAACCAGGAACCGGATATGCACCGCTGCTAAAGTCTCGTCTAGGGTGCATTTTAGGTGGCTCAGTACGTCCCTGCCGATTGAAATTTGTCTCAGATTCTATAACATTGCTGCTTTCTCTATAGTCGTGTAGCTGTGTTTTTTCTTTGCTTGGCCTCAGTGCACTTCGAGGTTTTGAAGAGGGTTCTTGCTCATAGTAGATGTGTTCAGCGTCCTGTTCGATACCTTGGGATAGTGGTATTTTCTGTCTAGCAATTTCAGGCGACAGTCTCCTTCCTACTGCATTGGGATTCTCTGGCATTCTTTGCCGCTGAGCCGGGGGTGCAGGAGACGATCTGAAATGCTCTTGCTCCCCAAGAAAGGAATGCTTCAAAGGCTGCTTGCTTGGAATACCTCTCCCTTCCTCAAACCTAGACATGGGAATATTAGGAACAGCTTTGCTAGTTGACTGGCCTACATCTTTATCTGGGACCTTGATTGGAAACAACGTGGATCTTTTATCAGCTCTAGGGCCTATTTTAACTTGTGCTTCCTTTGTTGCCTCGTTCGAATGCATTTGTCTCTCTAAACTGCCTGCATCGCTACTGTGGACGTAAACAAAAATATGGTGCTTTAAAAAATTTATTACCTCGGAAACTGTCCTAAACATTGTCTAAAATCTATAAAAGTCCACAAATCCTTTTATAAAAACTATCGGAAACTCAAAACATGACATGGGCAAACATTTGGAACAATTATTGTCAAAACTCAACACAACATTTCCATTTAAGCTGAAGAGAACAATACTGTAGAATAAACCATTCCCTCTACATTTAAAGTATCGACATCGCACCACATCTTTGTCACGGAGGAAGGCTAAATGGAAAACGGACTCACCTTTGATTGATGGAAGACTTTACACTGTCTACACCAGGAGCAGTGGGAGTCTGTCGTTCTAACATTAATTTCAAATCGGCTTCGATTTTTGAGCTGTCCCACCCCGGACCATATTGCTTCTTCAGACCATCAATAACCATCCGTACTCTTTCCAAGTCTTCCGGAGAAATAACATCCGGAGTTCCGGTTTTCTGTTGCACAACTTCCGGTGTCGGATCAGGCTGTTTGCCAACTTGTTTTTCTTCAGTCCTGCTTGTTCCACCATCAGCATCATCTCCAGGCAACTTGGTATCTTTTCCCGGTTGCCCATCTTTAGAAAGGAATTTATCGCTCGGTTTCTTGAGAATACCTTTCTTTAGGATTCCACGTGGTGCTGTTTTAGTCTAGACAGAACATGGAACAAACTTTAAAACCCGAAGCTTATTTTCGGAACCATAAAAAAGACTACCAAGGAAAGCTGACATAAGGTTTTTGTTGACAGTTTTCTGGGTAGGCAGTTATTAACATTATCTGAAGCACATGAGTAAACATACAAGCAGCAAAAGGCTGCATATTTGAAGTGATTCTAAAAAAAAACGAAAATAAAGACTGGATGTTTTATTTACCGCAGACATTTTAACTATACTTAAGTCTGTAATAACTGAAGAGTTGATTAGAATGACAGAAACATCAAAATCTCTATAAAGCCAGTTTCATGACGTGAATGAGTCAATAACGACATAAATAAAAGACAGAACAAATCATAACATTAAAAGACTTGTCCCTCCTTGTCGATGGAAATAGACTGGTGTAATATCTGAGGTCTGTTATTCCTATATGCAATCAGAAACGATAAGGACACCGCGATCATGGTTATTGTGACAGATTTATGAAACATTAAATGGTCATGGAAAGCATACAGTGGTATTGAGTATGTCTGGAGAAGAATATGGCAAAACTGTTAATGACGATAACAGCATACAAGTGTAAAAATACTCACATCTTTTTGCGGTTCAGATTTGCTTGCTCCTGAAACTATAGGTGGAGTCTTTTTCCTGCCTTCCTCTATTAATCCACTGTCCATGAACTGTTTGTAAAATTTCCCCTGTTTAGAGCCATAACCCAGCTCCTGGCCCGCTGCCAATCCTTGTGGTTGTTGCTGCAATGTTTTCTCAAAACTGTCTTCAGGTTGAGTAATAGTTCCGGTTTTAATTCCAGGAATTTCTGTCTTCCTCTCATATTGACTATTAGTCTCTTCCGTCGCCTGCTTTTCAATTGCAGGGCTTTTTTCAGTGGAATATCTTTTGCTAGTATCAGATACACGATGCAGTTTACCTTTCAAATAATCATTGTCAACTTCAAGGTCAGCGAAAATATCAATAGCTACTTTGTCTTCTTCCTCTTGTGTTCCGGTCTCAAAAGCTGCATCCCAAATGTCCTCTTTACTCTCCGCTTCCAGAGGTGCTTCATTTTTGGCATCTTCCGACAGAACACCCGTCTTCCATAAAGCAAATTGCTCCCGTCTTTTACTATCCTGTTTAGAACTGTTAGTCGATGCTGTATCGCTTTCGGGAAGCCGTTTTACTTCTTTCAAAGCACTTCCAGGGTGGGCACTGACTGTTTCCTGGTTTTCAAGACCTTGATACACCCCTAAACCTGGAACCATGTTTAGCAGATTCCACTGTCCATGGGGATTGTGATTATCTAAACTACCTGCTTGTGCAAATGGGGAAAAACCCATTGCTCCAAATGGATTAGTATTCATTCGCCTAACTTTTTCCAATGCATCCAAAGCTTCGGCAAGAACATCACCCTCTCCACGATTAGAATATCTTCTTTTTCTCCTCTCTCTGCTATCCAAATCGTAATCTTTGTCCCTCTCTGGACTTGAACTTGAACTCCTAGATCTTCTATGTCTCTGGGCAGATTTCCTCTTTGCTGGACTCATCTTTCGCTGCCGTTTTTCGTAAGGGTCCTTTCTTATCGATGAATCAGGAGATTCACTCCCCATTGCTTGTCGTTCCATCTTACGCTGCCTTGCGGGGACTGGTCTGTCAATTCCCTTTCTTCTTTCACGACTGTTTCTGCCAAAGTCCTGTTCATCTTCATCACTCCCAAAATCAATAGCTTCTTTTTGTCCTACATCTGACTTTGGTATTTTGCCTGCACCTATCCGCTTGTATACCTCTGGTACCGAAGACAATTTTCCCTTCTTATCGTACCTACCCTCCTTTTCCTCACTTAGACGTTCCTCTCTTGCCTGGCCAGTTTCAACATCGTCCGGGTCTCTTCCCATTCCTGGCACAGCAGACCCTCTGTCGATTTTACGCTGCCATTTCTCATGTCTGCTTGGCAAATCTTGGTCCTCTCTGTGATCTTCCTTGGACCAAAGGCCTTCTTCCTGAACGTCCTCTCCTTCCATTTTTCTTTTCTTCTCACGTTCCAGCAACTCAAGCTCTCTTCTGCGTAACTCCTCTTCTTTTCTGCGCAGTTCCTTCTCCTTTTGAACCCAGAATTGTTCCATGTCTTCCCCAGCCTCGGTTTCCATAGCCTCGTACTTGTCTGCCACTGAGTAATCGGAATCGTTCCTTGATTTATGCTTTCCAGTCGATGAACGTCTCTCTTGCTCAAACATTTTGCCGGCAACATTAGCCTTTCCCCCTCTAAACGATGGGTGACTTGCCTCAATATCTGATGCTCTAGGCCCTGGAGAAAGCGTATCTTTTCTCTGGAAATTTTCCTTTACATCCAAAGCCTTTCGGTCAAAATGATCACGGGCAGGACCTTGAACATGATGCTTCCTCCCGGGAACTTCTTGAAACGCTGTCTCTTTCATATAGTTTCTTTCCTCAGCTTCAGTAGTTTCAGACGGGGTTTCCAACCTTTGCTCAACATTTTCTGAAACAGTTAACGCATTTATGATTCGCTGGCGGATCATTGGATCAAGTCCTTCAATCTCCGGTGCCAATTTCCTCACGAGACGCTCTTTTTCGATCTTCAATCGCAAATCATCATCTGAATCGGAAAATTTAGGTTCCGTAGTCAAATCCCGAGGGGGAGCCCCCTTTTGTCTAGACCCTTTATGCTCTTTCATCTCGGCATCCCCTTGTGGTTCGTCCTCATAATTATCTTCTTGTTTTATCATAGACTTTGCTTTCTCCTCTACTTCAGCAACAATATTGCCTCTCTCTTCAATGCGATTTTTCAAAACAATCAAATACCTTTCTTTTTCTTGTATCATAAGATCTCTTACCTCAAGTTCTTCACGTACACTTTTAATAGCATCCTGGATTTTTGTCAAATCCGCCCTATCGTTATCTTTTCGCGGGTCCCCGTCTCTAAACAGTTCTAACCTTCTGCCCAGATACTCTTCTTCTAGGCACAAGCGCCTGTACTCCTCCTCTGCATCCTTGTATTTAAAGATTTCAAGGGTGTGCTCTTTTAAGAGCTGTTCCCTCAATACCAAATCAGCTTTATGACGACTCAGGATAAGTTCTTCGTCCCTTTTCCCTTCAAAAGCAATTTCACCTCCTTCGTCACCCAATTTCAAACTTGCCTTTATGCCCTTGGTACTTCCCTCCATCTCATTCTTAACTTTCTTTGTTATCACAATATTCTTACTACGATTTAGTTTCTCTCTCAGGTCACCCACATCTTCATCACTGGCCTCACCCTTTATCTCGATCTTCCTTTCCTCGTCATTGTCTTCTTCAGAATAAGCCTCAATTTCCTTACTTTTCGCTCCAGATCCTTCACCCTTCTTCTTCTTCCCTTTAGACTTGGACTTCTTTGCTTTGCGTTTTCTACTCCCTGATCGCTCTGGCGATGAGTCAATTCCGCTACTGCCGTTTCCTCTTTCATCTGAACTACTAGCTGCACCTCTTCTTTTCGACTTTCTCCTTTCGACATTATCTTCACTGCTACTATCTTTCGACTTCTTCTTCAAACTTTTACTACTTTTTTCTTTGCCTTTATCTTTGAATTTCTCCTTGATTTTCTCCTTACTCTTTTGCAAACTTTTCGATTTTCCCTTTTCACTACCATAGCTCTTCTCCTTCCACCCTTCATCGTCCTCGCTCCGTTCTTTACTATGTTTTCTATCGCGCTGTTTATCCTCTTTCTTTCTTCCACGATCTGAACTATAGTCTCTGCCTGCTCTCTTACCTCGGTCTTTACTTCTGTCTCTCTTTCGTCCAGTCTCTTTGCTATGTTCACTACTACGTCCTTTGCTACGATCATCCTTCTTTTCAATACTGCGACTTCTTTCCCTATTGGCACCTTCCTCGTTAATTTTTTTCCATTTGTATATCTTTTCGTTCTTGATTTCTTGGCGTTCAGTACAAGTAGCTGTAGGTTTGCTTGCTTTGCGGATATGATCCTTGCTTTCGTAATGATCATTAAGGTCTTTCACAGAACCCAGTTTGAGGTTACAAAAGAAACAATGAAAAGGAGGCTGCATATCAGAGACAAATCTTTTATGCCTCTTTTCATAAATATGAGAAACATAGTCTGACAAACTGGTAGAATGAGAATTGCACATGTCACAGTAGAAATCCAAGATCTCCAGGGCGTCCGTAGTTTCTTCCTGCTTAGGATCGTCCTTCTTTGCTTTTTCGCCTTCCTCTTCATTCTTTCGATCCACAGCTGCTCTGTGCCGCCAGCTTTCAAGGTGAACCCTCATATTTGAGTTGTTCATGCAGTCAACCTCGCAAACATCGCAATAATTCGGCGGTTTCAGCGGTCCAAATGAGAACAGTTGCTTTTTCTCAGATGAGCCATCTTTGCCACTGGCTCGTTTATCGAATGCCTTCCCGTCATCTTTGTTGCTTTCTTCTGCTTTTGGCATACCTTCAACGCGGTACTTTGCTTGATGTTTGATTACAAGACAATGCTGGTCCAACAGCACCTTAGTCTTGAATGACATGGAGCACGTGTCACACAACCACTCTTGCTCTTTCATTTGATGGCTCTCCTTTCCTTCTTTCTCTAAATGAAAGACCGAATTGCAGTGTGTGATGTATGCTCCTTTGCTAGACATCTGTTGCTTACACAGCTCGCAAAAATAGCTGATTCTCTCATCATCGCCTCTCCTTTCATGACTTCTCTCTGATTCTGGACTTGGCAGATATGGGACATATCCACCTCTTCCGCCCCGTCCACCCCTTCCTCCTCTTGGACCTCTTACTCCTCGTGCAACTCTCCCACCTCTAAATGGAGGCCTTGTGTACTGAAGCCTTGTGCGTCGCATTCTAAAAAGGGGACGATCAGAATGAAGCAAGTCATAAACACTCTGGAAATAAAAAAGACATACGTAAACAGATCATTCCCCGACCATGCCATAGACGAGGCAGTCGTGATTATTGTGGGCTCCTCGCTAAAGCACCCAGAAAACTGGCATCATCAGAATACCACACACTGCATTATCAATTAAAATTAAAAACACAAGAATGCAGGCCTAATTGAAGAGATAAAACAGAGTGGCCTTTAATGTGATAATTACAAGACAAAAGCCTATTCCTGCATCATCTTACACAATGACTTAGTTAAATCGTGTATACGCACCTAGAGGTTGGGTTCAACTCTCAACCTATTTCACATCCACAGCACACCCTGGTATCGCTGTTTTTCCTTTTTTCTAAACCACTCTGACTTCAATAGAATAGCTCCTGAAAAATTGAAAATTGCATTTCTACTATAATTTAAGTTGTGTTTTTGTTTTGTATTCACAATCTTTCATTATTATCATTTATGCATTATACTAGAATCTGTAATATGAAATCATGTTTTGAAATTTCACAGCTGCAGCCATTTTATCCAAATGTAAGACTGAAGTGATGTTTCTTACCTAACATTCAACAAAAGTTTATTATCTTCACAGAGTTAGCAATGCTTCACTCGATATCTGCTATGCCATTACTGACAACCTTTGAACGAGAATAAAATACAGTAATAAAATATAGATCTTAACAAAAACTGACTTGCACAACGTGTTTAACAATGACAAAAAGTGCAGAAAATCTGGAGATATAGTGAAAAATGACGTTCTACTCTGACATTATGCATTGTTAAATCTGTTTCATAAAAATTTCACAAAGAATAATACTGTGCCTTAGCTTATAATAAATTATTTACTGTAAAGTAATATTTCTTTCACTTCTTTTCATTTTGGTGATTCAACATTTTCTTCGTGGAAAATATTTCAATTTGCAAACATGTTTTTTTGGATAAAATATGAGAAGATTTCATAAAAATAGAATTTGTGAAAATAACTGACAATAGATAGTCTGAAAATATTTTAAGACTCGAATAATACAGGAACATTTTAGATACTTTGTAAAGCGATAAAAAACAAAATGTTTTATTGGCTTCAGGATTTGCATAAGCATTTACAATAGAGTACTTGCGGATTGCACTGCATCTCATATAGAGACCTTTGTGCAGTTAACCAGGTAATGTAGGCATTATAACTCATTCAGTATGCTAAAAAATACCAGTGGTAAGTCATTCTTCGTCCAAGTTCAGATATCAAAAGTATCAAGGGAACTTTCAGTAGGAATTGGAGTCCTTCAGTTTAAAACCAGATCACTCAATACCAACTGTTTAACAATATCTAAAACACGAATTGGCTTCATGTAAATTATATTGTGTCTGAAAAATTCTTTCTTTCGTGAACGTATTTAATGAGACAAAAATTGTGAACCAAATAGAAATATTGCATGAAATAATTATGCAAATATGGAAAGAAGCTTTTACTTTGGTATGTCATTTCAGACGAAAGGAGTTGAAATTTTGGAATGCAACAAATCCCCTGATTTAATAACTAAAGATATTTTGATATCTAATATTACAGTGATTAACAAATTTATCTTGTAGTTCTGAAAATTTTCTGGGGCTTTACTTTTTAGGTTCCAATATTTTTAGTAACCCTGCTTAATATCATAACATCTTTAAAGAAAAAGCAAATAGATGCTCTTTTTAAAAACACTATCAAAAATTTTCACAGATTAAATTGAAAACTAATACGAACAGTAGTGAAGAAACATATGAAATTTCCCTGTGAAAAAAATCAGAATTCAATCCAAAAAAGTGCAACCTAAGAAATTAAGATGGCAGGCACATGATTTATACTTGACAACATTTCATGACATAAGTGTCACAACAGCTCAGAAATATTTTGGTTTCTTAATCAACCTCTTGATCTTCTGCCAACTTCTATTATTGTCATATGATACCTAAAAATAGTTAATAAAGTTAAAATATTTAGTTGTATCAAAAAAGGGATGAAATACAAGAGGCAGTTGATCTGTATATTTGTATAATCCAAAAAGGCATTTCAAAAGAACATTAAAAAAATTACTGTTCACTGGTCTGTCATAAAGTGCTCAATGCCATATAGGCAGATCTGTGTACAGGCAGAGCTGTACAGAATAGAACAGTATGGTTCTAAGTTTCTACTCCAAGTTTCATGCTTAATGCAACCAGAGAAAAGTTGCTTGATGATTATATTAAGTGCGAACTGCGGAGTAGCAGGTTAGAACCACTCTTTTCTATACACTAAAAAGCATCAAACAAATAATAAACATTTAAACTTACCAAGGAATGCTCTTTGTCCCTTCCCGTCAATTGCAGGCATGTCCAGCAGTCTTTTTTGTTCTGTCTCTTGCCTTTCTTTGTGTTTTGCCCTTTGCATGTATATCCCATTTCCTTACTGCAGAACACAGGTTTTTTGTGTACCATGGGATGACAGACGAGAGGCATTGGAAGTACAAAGGACAGCAATCTGTCCAAGTTCAACAAAAATTTGGGGCTTTCACTCTCCGACAAAATGTGCAGGGTTGGAATGGCAGGCACATAAGAAAGCCTATTCAGTAGTGTCTTGTAATGAACAACCCTGATTTAAATGTCCTTGTATCTTTGAAAATGTTGCATGGCCCTACTAACCCTGAATTTCGTTTCTAAAAAGCTAGTCCTTTTCAGTCAAACACAGTATAGTCTAAGCGATAGTATGTATGGTGTAAGATTTTGATTTCCAAAAATTTATTTTCTGCTCAGTTAGCACATACTGTTAAATATTGTATGTGGCTGGAAACTCTTAGTCAACATACAAAATATCTGAGACATGCTACTGTCAAACCACATTCAAATAAGACAAGTTCAACAACAATTCAAAACAGTGTTATTATCAGCTTAATGCTCTAGTACACACCTGATACTACAGTAATGAGTTTCAGCTCATTCCTCTACCAAATAGACATTGAAACCTTAGTAGGTCAGCAAAATAAATTTATGAAGATAAGTAATTGTTAAAAATTGTATATCAGGTTAAATCTCAACCACTGGTAGTTTTCATCCCATGAAGTGGATACATAAACAGGAGATTAATGTAATGTATTGACCCAAGCCCTGTGTTTTGGTATGGAATGAATCAGTGATTTTATTTTGAAGATAAAACTAAAAGACAGAAACATGGTATATGTACTTCAATTTAACTTTTGTCAAACATTCCTTAGTATACAAGAATCAGATAATTATTTAAGGTAAGCTGGAACTTTATATTTGTCATTCTATGTCACTACTGTAAATCCTTGAATTGCCCCCCCCCCCCTCAAAATCAAAAAGCCCCCCCCCTCAAATAAGCTCCCATTTTATGAACGTACAAATTGTGCAATAAGCCCCACGGAATAAGCCCCCACTGCTAATGTAAATTCTCGAATTGGACCCCTCCATTTGATGATTTTTGCCATCTGATGTTGCCTATGGTGTTTTATTGAATTACCACAACAAATTCATACTTTTGGTAATAATCAATTAAATGCTCATAAAGAAATTTATACTAAAATAAACAAGGTCTTTTAATAATGTTTCTTAATGTCTACAATAATTTTATAAGCCCCCCCTGGTATAAGCCCCCCTCATATAAGCCCCTCCTCATATAAGCCCCCCTCGAATAAGCCCCCATCCAAAAATATCAAAAATACAATTCGAGGATTTACGGTATCTGACAAAGATTACCTGTCAAAGATTTATCTGTCAAAGATCATCTGTCATTTCCAGATGTGAATGGAAAGTAAAATGTGAGGAAGAAGGGTAAGATCAGTTGTTTCTTTGTTTATGACCAAATTGCGAAGACTTTGTACTGTTGGCTCAAAAGTCAGAATCTGCTACAAGTTCATTGCTTCTTCCTTTTGCTGAACTGGAGTTATCTTGCTCACAACAGATTTTTGTGCCTAACCATGTTTGGCCCTCTCTTTGCTGATGCAATAGTAAAATGATTTACAATAAACTTTTGGTATTTGAAGTTAGCAAAGAAAGCCAAAAAGGGCACCTGAGTACTTGTCAGAATATAATGGCTAAAGGTATGCAGGAGCTTATTCATTGGTGCAGATCAAAATCTTCATGAAAGGAATGAGCATCGGATTGGCTCCCTTTTCATCAACTAACATCTCACCTAGGATATGTTTATTGCTTTTGTTTAAGAATGTAAATCATTGCAACTAGAACATTTTTAAAGCTATCATAAAAACACAAAACAATGAGTACCAAATATTTATCTCAAAATGGACCAAAATTAATCTGCAACAGTATGAGCGTAGCCCTGCACAATGTTAGCAGATTTTCCTTTCAATATCAGATGTTTGTTTTGTTTGCTTTTGACTGTAATTACAATTCAATCTAGTTAAAAAATTGTCTGAATTTTCCACTTTTAGAAAAAAGAGCAATACAAAAGGTCATGCAGCCACTATCCAAGTACATTCAACCAAAAAGCGGCATTCCATTCCCCTTCCGCTTACATATTTATAACATTGAATCAGACCATTGTTTCAACAAAACAGTAAAGTGAAGTGACATTTTATTAAATATTGGGCCTGTATTAAGATTATCAAACCTATTTCTTTGAAATAAACCAAACAATGTGTTTAAAAGGTTTACTGGATTTTGACTGTCATCACTTACTTTGATAAAAATTGTGTACAATAGGTAGGCTATTAAGTTCATGTTTTGGAAATTGAAATAATTATTTAGGATCAGGAGTCTTAAAGTGCTTCTAAGGTCCAAAAGTCTTAATTTCTTCTTTTTGATTGAAACCAATATGAAATTTTTCACTGATATTGATGAATTAAACTATTTCCGAAGATCTAATTTGAATATGCTGCTAAAAGGCTCGGAAAGTGCTTTAATACAGAAAAGAGGCAAAACAAAACATGCCTCCAGTGAGGTCAGGAGGTGTTGCCGATGTTGCTCAGGGAGCATGAAAATACAATAGGGCTGTTTGAGCCTAATACAACCAGGGAATAATAGCATTTATTTCAACATGCTATGAGCCAGAGTTAGAAAGCTGCCGTCATAACAAACTGTCTGCTCCTCAGTGATTTGATTTGGCCTAGCCACATATAGAAACAATTATGATCATGCTTTGAGCTCACAGGGCGAAAAGTGTACTGAACTTTATGACTTTATGAATGAACTTTCTCTCTATATATTTAATCTAGCTTTGTTATTTACTTGACATTTTTACCAAAAAAGAACTAGATTCATTGAAATCATTGTCAACTCGACCTATACGGCCGTTTGTGTGGATCGAGCCATGTGACTCTAGGCCCCCAATCACGTCACAGATTCTTTGCTCCATTCACAGCTTAGGCCAAAGTTTGAACAGCAATAGCAATAAAATGAGACGCAATATAGCAAGTCCAAAAAAAGAATTGAATCCAGATTGATAAAATGAATATATCTTTTAAATTAAATTTTTATTTGACCTTAGAAGCACTTGTTTGTAAAGCTGAATAGCAGAGCTCTTTAAGTCCCTCGACTCAATTTTGTTTATTTTGTTAACACAAAAATAATGAAGTAATATACCTGAAATACCAAATAGCAATTTGCTTTGCTTGGTCTAGTTACATCTAAAACCTAGTTTTGTAACTTTTTTGGGCTTTTATTCAATAATTTGAGACAAACTGGCTTCTTTTCAAGCAGGCAACAAACTTTCTGTTGAGTAAGCTTACCAACCAACTTTAAGATCTAAAATTAAGCTCATAACAGACGACAAATGAGTCTTTCTTGGCACTTTCAATACCACTTTTCCCATTTTGTAGATTATATTTCTTTCGAAACTTATTTGCTACAGAGCTGCAAACAGCGAGCTACAGAGCTACAATGCATATAAATTTTTACTTCAGCATTCCCAATGATTTACGTAGTGCAGTAGCCCCTATCAAATGTGGGGGTATTTCAGTGCTTCTTTCTGTCTTAAAATACTTTGCCATGTCACATTTAAAAAGTTAAACTATGGTTTGTGCTGCAAATTAAACTTTTAAATGTACCACACCTATTCCTAGTCTCAAAAAATTGACTTTAGGTAAGAATTCAATACCTTGAAACTTAATGAAACTTGATCAGAAAGCAAAATAGGAAGTCAGAAAGACTGATATATTACAGCATGATTTAAGAACTTTGTGTTCAGTCAGAAATTACACTATGTGTAGGGCATTTGTGGTAGCCTGGATCCTTTCCTGGTAAAATAAGTACTGTAAAACAGCTTTATGTAGTTTCATAAAATGTGTTTTACAGTCAATGTGGTGACAGGATGAAGAAATGGATGGAGATGAAAATGAGTGAATATTAGACTTTTGTGGATTATCGGTCTGAAACTGAAATCAGTTATCGATTAAAGCTTTCTTTATTCTTTCAGCACCCAATGCAGCTTGCAAAATTTCAAGAGTTTATTTTACCGGTAAACTCATAATAGGCTATGAATTGGAAACTGGAGATATGATAGATATGTTTGATCCTTTGACTTGGCAAACATTTAACTTCCCCCTTTCATCTTGGCATACAGTTACAGCTTCGCCAACGCCACATTTATCTAAAAAAATTCCCTATGTTGCGCGCATTTGCGGACTGAAAAAAGCGCTATAGGCTGTTGAAAAACGTTTCGCTGGAAAAAAAGTGGCCTAAAACTGAAGTAGACGGATTTGCTCATGGAAGGTGTCTTATCAACTCATTTAGCTTTTCTCAATTCTGCTAAGGTTCAAGAGGAATATATTCTCAAGATGATAACAACACACTATTGCTTTAAAATTAGAAAAGTAGTTTAAGAGCAAAATAGAAAAATACCTTTGGGGCAGGTAACGTACGGCCATTATGGTTTCCGACCAGATGGAGTTTTGCGTGTTGCACTGCGTACCAGAATTAGCTATGGTAACTCCGAAGGAGATCATCTTTGATTCCATTTCTTGTGCTTCTATATTTCATATTTATGATTTTGGATTTTACGGTATTTTTACCAGGGGCGTAGCGTGCGGGGGTGGGGGTGTGGGGTGTATACCCCCAACTTTCAGAGAACTCGTCGGTAGAATTAAATTTATAACAAAATATTAATGTAACAAAAGAATTTATATCGGTAAAATATGGTTTTGCATCTCTTACACCCTCCAGCGAGAATGGCCGCGCGACGCAACTGATTTGTACGGCAACTCGTGAAACCTGATCAGCTGTGGTTTTTTCTCATGACATTTTTTTGCTATAACATGTAATAACAAAAATATTCTATTCCATGAAACATGAAAAAACTACTTTTTAAACGAAAACGGGAAGATCATACTTTCTCTACGTGGCCTGAGAATCTGATTCCCCTCAATTACTACCATCCTGTTATCTGCTTCAAACATACATTTGCTTTTTTGTTAATTAAAGGGCGAAAAGAGCTACAAGATGGCATCCCAGGGGGGGGGGGCATGTTTCAATATCAAGTTTTTTGCCTGAAGTGATAATTTTGGTTGAAACATTTGTGCAATCAAAAATGATTTCATCTTGAGAAAATAGCAGATAAAATTCTGTTAGTTTTAGGTATCACATTTTAAAAACTGATATTTTCGTTTTGACGAGAATGGCGGAATCAAACATGATGCTTACTACCAAAATAGTTTGCTTTGTATCGTGTAAAATTGTAGGCAGTTGGTCTTCGGGTTTTTTGTTTGAAAGACATATGTTTGTACTAACCCGAAGACCTCCAAAGACGTTATTCTTAAATGAGAAATTCACAAGACAAATTCAAACTTTGAAAAAAAACATATTGGTTTTGACAACTAACAGGACCGAATTTAAGAAAGATCAATAAGAATTAAGCAGACTCTGCGATACATTGGTGCCATGACCATTTTACACAAGTGACATGCCCTTTGCTTATGAAGCTTTAGAGCTGTTGAATGTAGTAGTAATTAAAATAACTATTGTTATTCAAAGCCTTTTCATTAAAATATGAAACGAAGTAACTTTTTTAGAAAATAAATGTTTTTAGACTATATTTGGATGTAAAGTCCCCTATTAGAATACCACAAGACCATATTTAGGCCTTGTCAACAAAATCATCTCTGTTTACACCATGTCCCTACACGATGAGAGTTAAGAAGAAAAAGTACAGTTTAATTTTCTTTTCATTTCAATATTGTTAAAGTGCGATATTGGCATTATCTACCGAGTCAATTACAGAATTATATATAGACAACAATCGTCATTTCCTTCAAGGAGTTAATCATGCGGCTGACACTGGGCACTGAGTTTGCAATAAGAAGTGAAGGAGTCAGCAGACTTGCCTTCAAAAAAATTCTTCGGGTCATGTACTCTGAAATGCTAGTATGGTTCCCTCCTCTGAATATAATTTTTGTTATGAAAAAGATTAATAATATTACAAAAACGGTTGTTCTGGGGTTGCAAAGTTATAATGTCTAGCATTTCCCAATGTTGATCAAAAACTCCATGCTGTTAAAACTGCTCTGCTCGGATAAATCGTTAGTCGGGCAGGCGAGTATTGATAAATTCGGATTTCATCAACAGGGAATTTGTTCCTTATAAAAAAAACGAGACTTTAAGGGTTGGATCAAATTCCTTGACCAATTTTTGAAAAACGGCGGAAGATTCAATATTTGTGTCAAAAGGGTAAAAGTCAGCTTATATAGGTCGACAATCGTGAAGACCACGTGGTTATGTCCCTCCGTTCCCCCTTTTCATAAAACCTCGACTATGCCTCGACAAAAATGCGTTAAAATTGTGCTGAAATAAGTGTAATTCAAAAAATACCCTAATCACTAAATAAAATTAAAACCAAAAGACGTTGCTTTTCTAAAGTCTCATAAAAATTCAAATATATTATATACCATGCTGAAAATTGTAAAATAATTATTGATCAGGGTCGTTGTTTTGTAATTCAACAACTGTATAAATACATCTAAAATCGTGCAAAAAAATTCAACAATTATTTCCTAAAATGAAACTAACTAATTAGTGATTTCATTAGTCTTTGCACCTTGCCGCTGTTTTTCGTAGTGCTTGAATGTTTCACTGTTAAGTCTAGCCTCAATGGGAGGTTCCGGCTTGCCTTTTGCTTGTAAAAGTTCCTGAACACAAAGTTGATCGGCTGGGTCAATCTTGTACTTCTTTAGCAGCTTACGACGAACCTACGAGAACCATGTTAACAAGGTCAATACTTGTGATGAAAGGTATGAAAATGCAGTGGTTTCCATTTTTATGAACCCTACTGATTACGAACTTTTGCTATTGCGAACTAAAAGTCTAGCCCCTTGGAATACTCCCTGTATAAAAAACCCTCATTATTGCTAACTCCCACTGGCTACGAATCCACTTATTACGAACTCTAACTATTACGAACTAAAACCTCAATGGAGTGACGAGAAACCCATCATATGGGCCACGAAGAAACTTCAAAGGAGCGACAAAAGACCCACCTAGGAAATGTCAGAACACTTCGAAGGGAATGACGAGAGACCGACCGAAGAACCGCGAAAAAACCTCGAGAGAATGACAGGAGACCAACCCAGTAACTACGGGGAAACTTGACGGAAATGATGGGAGACCCACCCGGGAACTGCAATGCAACAATAAAACATAAACGACATATTAAAGCAATGCAAGGAAAGGCAATTTTACAACTAATTTATCAACTTTAACTATGAAAATGATAAACACTACAAGAACACATCTGACGTCAACTTGAATTTGAGAAGATTTCTCAGGCGTAGCAGAGGCTTAACGCTTAGGGGGGCGGGGGCTTAGCGTGGGTTTTGCCCGAATATTATTGCTTCGTTGAGATAAGTTGCTCGAATGTGCCTATAATTCAATCAATTTTGTCTGACTAGGGGAAGGCTGCAGCCCCTATATCTCCTAGGCCTATGGTCTTCTTAAATGTGAAATATTTAACACTTCATCAAGAAGTACAATTGAGTAACTGTTTCCACAAAGCACGAATTAAATTTTTCCAAAACCAAATTGATAACCATGGCTTTCGAATATTGAAAAACATGACACAGAGCATTTATGGCTGAAGAAGCCATTTCCAAAACTTTAGGGTGAATTTTCTTCAGAAATACAATCTATCATAACTTTATCCTTATTTGTTTCAATTAAAAAAGGCTAAAGTAGACGAATAACATATCGTTCAACAAAAGTCATACCTCTTCTGCTTTTTTAAGTTCGAATTCTTCCAGTTGCCTTTGGAAGGCATAATTTGGATTGGCAATGCTTCTGCAAACCCGGATAGCTTCTATTGCCTCCCGCCATCCACATTTCGACACAACAATCAAATAGGCAGCGGTGATGGTTGTCGATCGAGAAACTCCAGCAATACTGCGTTGGGGGACAAATGCGAGCAGCAGTGAAAATTTGGGAATAAAGACAATGAAAACCAATTTATTGTCGTTTAGCAAAGCCAAAAAGATTGAGTAGTTACAGCCCGATCTTCAAAATTGGCACCGCTGATTGAAGGGGTAGGGGTGGGGTGGAGTTGTTAGGGGGACTAAATATGTTAGCTACCTAGCATATGTCAGGGCATCAGTTGTCAGTAAGTGTGCGCAGGGTTGTGTACACTGAAGTCCAGAACTAGTTTAGTTAAAAATTAGGGATGCATAGCTGGGTTCTTTTAATTTCTGAAAAACAACATAGTTTTAATTTATTGTAAGAAAGCTTATATATATAGTTAAAAAGCTTTTTTAGGAGCATGAATACAGCAAGAATGTAAAAATATTCTTGATGAATGAAGATATTATTTTATTAGCTAATGGCTGAAATTCTTTTTAGCACAGTTCTTTATTGACGAAAAATTTCGACTTCAAAATTGCACTGTTAAACAGTTACAATTTGAAATAATTATTGTAAAAACACAATGCTGAAAATGCTCCCCAAACCTACAAAGTATTGCGCATTATGTGCGAGGTACTTGCATTTGTGATAAGAGGAAGTGAAGTATTAATTAATTAATAGAATTAATCATTAAAAGGTGCTTACATAGGGAGACAAAGCAGGTATCAATGTGTCTGTTTCCATAATAAGGGCTCCCCCAGAATTCTGCTACCATCTTGACACTCAAAAAAGTAGTAAGGTCAAAAGAAAGATCGAATTCTAAATAATATTCATTATAAAGTCATTACCAATGAACAAGGACTCCATTGCCATCACTCCTTTAAAAGACAGAATTAAAATAACTTTTTAGTTTACGTTCAACAATGGCTAGTCGAAAAAGGATGCATAGCAGTTTTAACCCTTGAATTTCCAATCATCAGTCCCAAAGGAAGAGCAGCATTATTGGGGAAAATATTGTTTATGAAAAATATGAACAAAAGGGATTGTTCAATTGAAACAAAGGATTCTTTAGGTAAACTTGCCAACTAAGTTTGACTATGCTTCAAATGATAAACAAAAGATCATGACTTTAAGATATGACAGTTGCTGAAAATTATCAAATTTGGAGGAAGTAATAATTAAAGAAAAAAATAAAGGCAGGATTTCAAACAAATATCAAAGAAGTCAAAAAACATAAAGTTTTGCTCACAGTAAAAAATACATAGACCCCTACATATATGCATTTTGCTATGTTTGAATTAAATTAAAAAATAAATTAAGCTGACCTTGCTTTGTGAATAAACTTTATACAATCATAAAAGTACTTTGACCTGGAAAGAAGGAACCAGACTTTAATGACAAAAGACTTCTTTTTCGTGCTCTTATATTTGTTGTTCTATTCCATTTGTCTAATCCCATATTCCTTTAACGTTTTTAGCTCTATCATCGCTTTTCAATTTTCCTTGATAATGGCACAGAATTCTGTGATAACAGGCTATGCTCGAAATGTCATTTATTCATTTGATTAAATTTTCTCCCTGGTACAATTTACTTACATTCATCTTTATAATAGCATTATATTGTACCATTAACAATCTAGTATATTTAATGGGAAAAGGCTGCAAGAGCATAATATTGAAATTTACATAATGTCAAAATTTAGAAAACTAACTCTACATCCCATTAAAAGGAGGCAAGCCTCCCAACATTTCAAACTCCTATCTTACGAATGAACTATGTGGTTGATAGCACAAAGGACACTTTTTAAGGTACTACCTGTCTGTCAGAGCAGAATTCATAATCAATTGCATTTGGAAACTCTTGGTTCTATGTAACTATCCTTTGAGACACCCTCTCAATAAGCCTGGGGGACACCCATCCACATCTCAGTGAGTTTAAATACTTAAATGCTTTTGCAGTAAGAGCAACAAAACAGTAGAAAAAATTTGAACATAGCTTTTTTGGCAATTAGGTTTACCCAAAAGCCTACATTGCTGTAAACAAGGAGGAGATTATCTGTATTTGATTTCTTTAGCTTCGTATAGAGCAATAAGCAATTTTTTACTAAATTATTTTGGCAATTCAACTTCTGTTTCTTCCTCTGCAAAATGATAATCAACAATAAACTATAAAATGCCCAGCTTCTTGAAAAAATATTTTAAAGAACTACAAACACACTAATCACATACATTTCAGCACAATATATCCATAAATTCATGCGTGGGTGATGGCATAAATTAAATGATGCTGTATGCATTCATACTTTTTTCCATACCAATATAAAGTTTTTTCATAAATTACTTTGTGTGGTTACAAATGAAACTATCAAATACGTACAGATCTTGGCTAACAGAGTCTGATGCATCTATGCATTTGTATTTGAACTCCTGGAATAGGTAAAATTCAAATATTAATCAGAAAATGACAGCTGAAAGAAGGTGACTGTATGAAAAAAGCTAAGTAAAATTTTTCCTTAAAATTCTCATAACTGCAACCAGCAAACTATCAAAGAAAGGAAAATCTTTTGTACTTAGCAAATATGATAAAAAAGAGGAAAAAAAAGAAAAAATTGAAAAACTTTTAAAGCTTTGAAAAGGAAAAAACAAGAACCCCTAATAACAATGATGAGACAGCAATAAAAGGCCAACATGACCCTATTTCCATAATGCAGGCCTTGCCGTTTGAGGCGAGCCATAGCTCGCGCTCGCCTCCACGCTCCCCTCGCAACCTGAGGCGAGCTATGAATTGCTCTCCTAAACAGAACATGAAGGAAGAATTGCTCCCCTAAAATTTCCTATTCAGAGAATTATGAAAACGCACAAGGGTTAATTGGTTTATTTTTGTAACAGCAATTTCTCCCGTCATTGCATTTTTGCAATTAAATTTTTGCTTGTTGGGCGGTTTTTGTTATGATAGGCATAAATATAATATAATAAGACAGCAGGTCCCTTCAAGCAATAGAAACAAAACTATCCCTCAAAGAGAACAAGGTACTCTGTCTTGCAGATCAAAAACGACAACCAAAATATGGAATTCCATTATCCAGCGACATTTACTGAAAAACCCAGATTGGGTGAAAACTATAACGGCGACATGTTTCGCATTATTGGCAAAGCCTGATCATCGTTCCATCTAGCAGTTTGTGAATCTATCTACTGTATAAACATGACCAACCGCATTTGTTTAGACATAAGTGAGTTCGTTTTCACCTTAGGACTCCGTTGGTAATATTTTCAATAGGAAAGCGGCACTGATTGGACAACCTCAACAGTCATGTGCTCGCGTTTTCTGATTGGCCTATTTCGATCCAAAACTGGGTATTTCAGCGTAGAGTTTTCCATCTATGTCCTGACGTTTTATTCTCTGAAGAGTGCTAGACGTATAACTTCAATAACTTCAGCTTGTTTTAAATTTTTTTTTTCAAAGCCATTTTCAAATTCTGTGCAACAAAAAGATTGTTTTGCAAGAGAATTGTTGTTTTTGTGTTGTGCCAGCTTTGCATGAAACTGAAAAAGTCTGTTCTTTTAAATCCTTCAAGTAAAGGGGGTGCCAAAGTCACGGTTAAAGCAAATACAAATTGAAAGAATTAAAACAGCATACTCCTGACTGAGGCTATTAAAGGCAACCGGCAGATACTAAAGGGGCTTATTAAATCATCTGTCGATTGTCTTTAAAGTATATTCTATGTGTTACTGATTTAGCTCGCCTCAGCCAATGAGGGGAGCGATTCACAGCTCACCTATAAAAATACAAACGGCTAGGCCTGTATTGGTCCTCTGTTTTTTTAATGGTCTGTGATTATCATATGAGATTAAAAAGGATTTTAATAAACAAACCTTTAAAACATGAGTTGGGTTGTCATAAATTGCCACAATATGGTCAACATTGTTTTCTGTCAGTTTCACAACATCTTTAGCATCTGTTAATACAAAATATAGCATGTTGATATACAATATCATGAGTTCTAAGCAGCTGCAGAGGTCTAGAGAGGTCATGGTAATTCTGTTGCAAATCTCCTTGATATGAATTATTTAGTTCAATTCAGTTAGCATATTTTAAATTCTCCACATACAATTTATCATAACAAAACTAATTAATACAAAAAAATGACTAAACTACAATAATAACAATAATGTGCCTAAAATTAATACAACATGCAAATACCAAACAAAGAACAATACAAATTGCATGGGGGATGGGGGAATTACTTAAAGATAGAGCTTTCTCAGTAGTTAAACTCGTTGAGGAGAGAGCACCCCCCGTTTCAAAAATTTCTCACACAAATTTGATTATTTGGAGCTAAATTGATAGAAATTTATCTTTTGGGGACAAAACACAAAAATGAATACTTTGTTTGCACATCAAGGGCAATTCTTTTACCCATCATCAATTATTGTTTGAGCAACAACTATAAATTCTAATGTTTTTTATCAATTGGCAAATTGAAATATGTTCAGAAAGACTTTGATACTCTCTGCGTACATGAAAGCACATTATATAGCCATTGATAAAATATTTTAAAATCTCACTTAGTATACAATTCATTCTTTTTATTACTAAATACTTTTCTTTATTGAACAGATGGAAACTGTGAACAAGAATCAAAATCATCAGAAAATTAACATAAGTGTGCCAAGACTCTTGGCAAAGGTTGTAGGCTTGCATCCTTTTTAATTTCTTAGACTACAATATTACAATATAAGGGATGCTCAAAATTGCTTTGTAAGGAATGAATGAACTGGGAGTCAAATACCTCGAAAATTTCCAATGTATAAATTTGGAATGATCTGTTGGTGAAACAGATAGAGTTAAGGGCTGCATTGCATAACGTTATTCAGGCATGTTGAAAATAAGAAACATAGCAGCAAGCCATATTGCAAATAGAAAAATATGTGTTTGAATAAAAGTAAATGAGCATTTAATAATGGTCCATGAGCTACAAAAAAACAGAAAAGAGCAACAGGAGCTACATTTGGAAGGAGGGAGGGGGGGGGGGTGCAAAGTTGAACTCAACCCGAGAAGTAGATATGAGAAGCAATTGAAAACTTGCATAGCACAATATCGTTAAATTTCTTATAACGAATCAAGCATCTGCAATTGAACAACTTTTTCAGTGAAAATCATTAGATTCCAGAAGAGGATATTACCATAATTGAGATCTGACGCAGAGCTTCAAAGAAACATTGGATATGGATCGAAAAATCACTATTTGTTGCAAACATTTAAAACTTTTTTATACTTGGCATGGCTGGAAGATAAGAATGTGATTACTGTTTATTCAAGTAAAGCCAAACGAGTTTCAGATACTGGCATTTGAATGACAGACTTGCAAGTCATTCGATGATGAGGTGACCACCCGCATCAGCAAACCCGAAGAAGAAATATATTCCCAAAATATGTCTTACACGGCATGCAATCAAGGTAAAAACATTAAAGAAAATATGAAGATACGCATATTTTAATTCCATCTAACAAATGATTTGAAAAACAAACAAATTTTTCATACCTTGTTCATTCCATTTCCCATTTTGGCTTGCAAAAACAAATACAATCCAACTCAATATAATTTAAGAATGCCGCTGCCCAGCTCGCTTTCACGTGCATACCACGTGTATCCCCGCTCGTCACACAGCCCTGGCGTTTAGAATCTTTTCTTATGAGAACCAGAAAATTTGACTGTTCTTGATTTTTACGAAAATCTGGGGCTGGATCAGGGACGCCGGAGAAGAGGGCGCGGGGATCAACCACCCCTGTTGCCTTTTTATAGTAGGGGCTAGGGGGGCCAAAGTGCCCTTTTCATAGAAGTGCCCTTAACGCCGGCATTTGGTAGGAAATCAATGAGATTCATATGAAATTCTGACTGAAGTGCCTTATTTATGACGACATTTCTCGAAACTTGTCAAGAAATTTCTTATGCCAAAATTTAGCCGATTTTCAAGATACCGACAGAAGGTTGAAAAAAATTGCAGTTACGAAATAATTGTTGGTAGCTGAGAATTATTTTTTTCAAAAGGCTTAAGCCTGCCCCCCTTGCCCCTTGGTCGTTCCGGCGCTCCTGGGCTGGATTGTTCAGTGAGACAACCTTCATTTACCGACAAATTTTAATACCGTAATTTCTCGTTTTAGCTGTAATATGTTCAGCGTTCTAAGGACTTATTCCCAGAATTAAACGAAACAAACGACAAATTTCTCGGAAGAACAAGATGTATATCGACGAAATGCTTTTACAAGTAAATTGTAATTTCAGACTAACCGGAGAACCTTTCACAAGCGCTCTCATAAAAAGAACTGGACTGATTGTGTAAAAATCTAAACACATAATTGCGCAACATAATAGTATAGCTCAAGGGACATATAAATGATTCGCGAAGGTCTATTTAAAATCTGCCAAGTTTATTAGGATAAAAAGATATAATGCCGAGAAAATACAAATTTGTTACGGAGTTAATTAGAAAACGTGAACGTAGAAAACAAGCAAAATGAGATTCGAAATAACTTCCTATGTAACTTTGTTGGCAGCAACCATTAAACTAAAATGCTGAGCAACACAAGTAAGGCGTGGCGGTGCGGTCGCTGCGAAGCATGACGTGTGTTGCAAGGCAAAGAGGAGGGAAAAATTGAGAGATGGAGCTTAATAAATATTTTGTAATAAAAAACCATTTATAGTGGTAAACTAATTTTTTGTCATTTGCGAAATAAAAAACGTCAATTATTAATTCTAAAATATCTTCTTGGGCCCTGTCGCCTTCTGAAATCGAGAATTCGAAAAGGTCGACTTCATTCCTCAGAACGGCCTGTGATTTTTGGAAAAGGCTCTCACATGGCCCGTGCATAATGCACATTAAATCTTTGTCTTCGGATCTGTCGTGACTGGAAGAGACATGGTGTGAATTTTGATTTGATGCGAAGTATTGAACGACCAAGGGATAAAATGAAGATCCCTGTTTTTTTGTAAATAGTATACTTTTTTGGCCATTTTTTTGCGGTATAGAATTTGAAAATGGCTTTGAAAAAAGCAAACATTTTACGACATACTAAAAGCTTTTTCGTCTGACACTCCTCAGAGCATAAAACGTCAGAATAAGGTTCCGAAAGAACACGATGGAAAATATATACCCAGTGTTTGAAACTACCATGGATTGGTAACACTTCCTTGCGATTCGAGAGTCAGATTAGGCAAGCCATAACCAAATGTTTCTTTGCTGTCAATCCTCGGATTGTTTACAGCACTAGGAGAGCCCTTCCATCCATTCAAAAGGATTGCGCTCCTACCAAAAAAAAAGTTCCGTCATTTATGAATTTACGTGCCAGTGGGATTCTGGCTCCGTAGGACGCACAACCCAAGATTGGGGGATAGGATAAAACAGCATGTTCCCTCCGACATAAGAAACAAAACTGCCCCTCAAAGAGAACAGTCTCCTCGATCTTGTAGGTCTAGAAACACTGTTAAAACAAGTGATTCTGCCATCGGTCAACATCTTTTAGACAACCCAGATTGTGCAAAACTCTATAATGACGACATGTTTCGGATAATTGGCAGAGCCCGGTCGTCTTTCCATCTAGCAGTTTTGGAGTCGATCTATATAAAAACGAAAAAGCCGCCATTGTGTAGACAAAAGGAGTTCGTTTTCTCTCTTAGACTCCATTGGTAATTTTTCTTCAGGCTCGCGGCACTGATTGGTCAACTATACTGGTCTTGTGCGTGCGTTTTTCTGATTGGCCTATTTCGATCCACACCTGGGTATATATTTTCCATCGTGTTCTTTCGGAACCTTATTCTGACGTTTTATGCTCTGAGGAGTGTCAGACGAAAAAGCTTCTAGTATGTCGTAAAATGTTTGCTTTTTTCAAAGCCATTTTTTTGGCATCAGTGAAAGTATGGGGGGGGGGGCTAGATTGAGAGAGGGAGCTAATTAAACTTTTTCTTTTGAAAAAGGGGGGCTAATAAGAGAGGGGCTTAATTGAGAGGGGGTTTTTTGAGAGGGGGGCTTAAAAGATAATTAACGGTATTCACCGAAAAGCACCCACACATGGCCAAAATCCTCGTTTTTGAGATAAAGCGTTGTTCAAAGTTGCATTTTGCAGGAGCTCAGTCTTGTTCTTATAAAATCGTTCTTAAAGAAAGAAAAGAGTGTATTGGAGGTTTGTCTTCCTATGTTTCCGTTGTTATTTTGCCCGTTTCTGCAACAGGATGGAATTTATCAGCGATCATAACCACGAACAATTTAGTGTTGGAGCTGCATGAAAAGTCGGGGCACACCGTTCAAACCAAAAAGCACGTATTTTGGTCGACGAGGCTCGTTGAATTAATGCCTGACAAGCCATGCGGCCATTAACAACTAATGCACGAAGAAAAGAAAATAGAAAGTTAACTTGCATGTAACAACCTGAAAAATACCTAGACATGGGTTGGGTGGGCAGGGTCGCAAAAGAAAAACCTTTGCTCTCCACTGTCCAACTTCAAGTTGTCTTGTAACGTGTGAGGATGAAACTATGCCAACATAAAATTTATATATCCAAGCCAAGGCCAATGCACGCTTCCACCCTTGTTGCTTTAGCCATATAAAAGACACGATGTAATGCTTACTCGAGCACTGCTACACAGTTTGACCAGATCTAGCGTAATATTATGCTTTTAGCATAACATTGGCCAAAGATCGTCATTCAGCATAACATCTAGCATAACTTGGAGTCTAGCATAACTCCGGCATAATGTTGATAATTTTTAAAAAAATCATT